AAGCGCGCTGTGATTCCAGAATAATGGAAAGGATTTCTGGGAAGTCGACAGGACTGATAGCTGACAGTCTGGACTGGAAAACTCTGGAAGCTCTGGAAAGTGTTCGTCTGGAACAATCGAAACATTCACCTGAACAATGATTGAGCCATGAGCGGGATCGTGGACTTCCTGATGTAGTCCCAGGCTGATGACTTGGGCAGGAAGTCAGGTGTAGAGCATGCTGGGAAGTGGAGTACTGAAACTGGTATGGTGTGAGGGAAGTGCTGAGTGTAGTGAAGGGTGGTTAATGGAGTTCTGGTGCAGGTTTGGGTCTGAGGTGGAGGAGTTCTGGAGTGATTAGGCATGAAGTGGAGGTCAGGGAGTCTGAACTGTGACAGACTGGGCCCAGCCGTATCAATGAAATGAAAAGCTTCGACTTTAGCAGTAGAGTTCCTGCTCATCTATATCCAAGGCATTTGTTTGGGGTGCCACATGGCTGCTTATCAGGTGAGAGGTTATCCGAGTTGTGTCCATCACTAGGGAGCAGCCTAGGATAGGAAGTAAGTAAGTGAACGAGGAGAAGGGTTAGGGTTAAGATGGATGCCTAAGATTGCTACATGTGACTCGGGTTGAATAAAGCTTTGAAAATGAATTCATACCTGCCCGTGCTACTTTCTGATACAACGGCCGACCTTAACACCCTCCATTTTCCAACAGTTATCCCAGAAAGGAAGCCCAGACATGTGACACTCTCAGCTCGTCCAGGGGGATTGACGTGTGCTCATACCAGAGAAGATATCGTCCACATTGTTGTGGGTCTGCCCCAACTTCTAAAGAGAAGCAACTGAGAGGCATCCTGATCAGATACCACCACAGTTTCCTCTTTTCAGTGAGGAGGCGCAGCAGTTTCACTCTGAGCTTCCAGATGACCAAATAAATTACATTAATGCCAAGTCTGGCCACCCTAAGGGGGAAGCTCACTGACCATGGAAGAGAGTTGGAACATAAATGACCAGTAGATCAGAAGCTTTGCTAGCAGACCACAACAGCACCCTTCTTACTGCAGAAAGAGCCCTGATTCCCCTTTCACCCTATCTTAACCGACATTTACAAAGAATCGCCCCCAACCTGCAGAGAGTATCCCACCTTTTTGCCATTTCCTCAAAAAGAACTCAAGGAGGTAGATGAAAAGAAAATGGTCCATTTACATTCATCCAACTTCAACAATGGACGGCCATCCATTTATTTACATTCTTGGTTTACATGAACTCATATGCTCTTGTTACTGACCAGTTCACTAAACACTCTCTGTTCTCCTGATCAGGTGGAGGTCAACCCTTCCTTAGACATGGCAGAATCTGATTTCCAGAACAATGTGATGCGTTGTCGGTGCAAATACGACGGTGCGCGAGTTTACCTCTTCAGCTGCCACGCAGGTAGGGAAACACCTAGCAACAAATTCTAGCAATTTAGTGTGAACTCGTGATTTTCATCGCTTTTTTGTGTTTATTTTGCTTTCTTTCATCTATGCTCTCAGGTGATGGTTACAGCGCCGAAGTCGAGGACGTGTTTGACCACCAGCGTCAGATTTCTAACAACTTCCTGTGAATCGGTAAACATCCAGATTTAGGAACTGTACAAGTCTTCGCCCCACCTCAGACGCCAGGGGAAGGAGGGTGAATGATAAAGGAAAGCAAATAGAGAGACGGGGTGAGAGGGAGGTGGTAGCGGGGAAAGCTAGAGAGGACGGTAGGACTTTAGGACTTAAGCAGTAATGGCTCGTTTGGATTTGTGACTGATTGTCTTCAGTAGTTTTTTTTGTTGTTGTTGTTTGAAAATCAAAGAGGAAAAAAGGTGTGAATAAGACCAAAAAGCAGACCAAAGTGAGAAGCATCCTGTCACCATGATTTGTGATAAAGCAGTTTACAGCTTGGAAATCAAACCTTGATGTTATTAATGCTGATTTTGTTTATTGTGTTTTAAGTCATAACCACAATTACAGTGCAGACATGAAGACATATGAGAAGAACTGATAAGGTGCTTCATCTGATGGTCCAACAAATTATGTCTCAAACTCGGTCTTCTTTTTATTTTATTGTCACATTACAAAATGCAGTATTCACTGTCAACTATTTTGTTTTTTTTTTACTATTTTATTTCATCTCATGGTGCTATTTTGCTTTATTTTTTAAATAAATATTGTAATGTATTGCAAATGTATTGTCATGTACAGTCTTATGTTACCTCTCTCAAATAATGTTCTTCAGGTCTCTAATTTATGCAGAATTTTAATGTACTTTTAACTTGTTTGTATTGTTTTTCTTTTTCAATTATGATCGCTTTTTGTCCATTTTGTTTGTTCTGTACCTGGTAAACATGGTACCAACGCTTGAGATCTGGTTGTACCATGGCGATGCGGTTAACAGTACTTGATAACAGTAGTGAAAGAAGAATAAAGATCAGATTTACAAACTGATCATTTCAGGACTCCTCATTTAAGTGCTGGATTTTCTATTTCAAACAAAAAAAAAAGAGAGGAAAAAATGCAAACCAAGATTGAAGTTGTAGTTTTGGGGTTTTTAAAACTCTAAAACATGTTTGAAGAAAGACCAGTCACATGAAAACTGCTTCAAAAAGACTAAAGGAAAAGAGTGAATTACCATATTTACCCCAGAAACACAAGCACTTTCACATAAATGTGACTAAAGTTTGCAAAAATATATTTCTATATCGCTTTGCATCTGAAGACTGGCCATTTTTTTTGCATTTTATAGTCATGGATTAGGAACTAGGAATATATATTTTTTTTATAAATCATTCACAACAATTGAATTCCTGAGTATTTTATCATGGTCATGTGCCACTTTGTGTTTTAGAATAAATAAGAAATAAAGTTGACTAAGTTATTAATACGCTTACTCTACTTTGTTAAATTGGGATTTTGTTTTCCTTTTGCTGTATCTACTCTAAATCCAGTTGATTGAATTCTCTAAGCTAAATATTACATGTTCATATAGAAGTGACTCACCTTTGGAGTCCAATCAAGATGTCTGCAACAGCCAGCTGACGTAAGAAAGCACAAAAATGTCTAACTCAGCTAATCTGAGATAACATTTGGTAAATTCGTAACTAATAATCATTCACAACACAAACTCCAAGTAGTTATAAGAGATATTTGTCACTTTTAAAGGTGAATTTCACTGAGAAATGTTTAATACTTGTTCTTTTTAAAATACCATCAGTCACTCTGCATGCATGTGAACATAGTCTTTAACCCCCATTTCCTGCATTAGCTGCAGAGAGAACATAGATGGGAAAACTCTTGGGTCAGGAAAAGCCACACAGATCTATATCACACTGTTTGCATTCATGGACTTGTCTTGGTGCGTGACCATGTAAGGTTTAATTTATTTAGCATCCAGGAGAGAGTAGAGCGAAGAAGCTAACCGTTAGCATCAGCAACTCCACAACATGATGCAACTCTTTCATGACTGTTAATTGTGGAGATAAAACTTCAGCGATGCTGTTAGTCAATCAGAGGTGAATGTCCACATATCATGTATATTAATGAGTAAGACTCAAAATCCTTCCGTTTTCTGACCCCCACTCCTTCTGCTAACTGCTACTTTCTGAAACATGAGTGCCAGATCTTTTTCTTCCAGAGAATGACTCATAAGAGATTTATTTATATAGATACAGCAGATTTATGGAAATGTTGACTGTAGGCTGACTTTGAGTCAACCCTGCATTTTGTTAGCAAAATATTACATGAACTGGATGGATTTCAATAAAACTCTAGGAATGGCCTATATTATTTGGTCTACCATTAAAATTGGCCGCTATTAGCATTAAAATGTAATATCGGAAAACATCAAAGTATCAGTTTTCAGTCTTTTAATGACACAACCTCTGCATAACATGCACATATTATACATCCAACTCTTCAGCATCTCCTTTCTCTTAAAATGTTAAAATATAACAGAGGGCGTAGCACTTTTCTGGGGATTCCTGCCATCAGTGCAGTCATGTCTAGTGTGTTTATGTATTTCAGAGAGTTTTTAACATGGACAAATTTGTCTTCCACCTCTTCATGCAGTCACCACCTCTAAACTCACATTTCCCTTAATTTCCTGGAATGAATAAAAAGTTTGCTGCATACCGTTGTACTCCTTCAGTCAAGGGTGTATTAACATTTATATTGTCAGACTTTTTTGTGAAACATTCATCAATCTGCTCCGTGTCTGCAGATATGTTGTTTGATTCTTGTTTTTTTTTTAGGCGGAATGGCGGTGCTGTTGATGAAGTTAAAGTTAATGTTTATTTATGTTTATTTATTTGGCAGATGCTTCCAAAGCAACTTACAATTTATAGCCTACAGGGCATGTTGTGATCTGTGGGGGAAATCGGAGTACCCGGAGGAAACCCACGAACGTAACTCCACGCAGAAAGGCTACAGCCGAGTTTCGAACCTGCAACCTTTGTGCTGTGAGGCAACAGTGCTAACAACTGCGCCACCATGCAGTTAATGACGTCCTGACCAGTAACAGGCTTGAAGTCTCCAATGCTTTTGATGGATGTTTAGAAAAGTGGGTTCCATCTGTCATTGCGAGTCTGCTGAAGAGCCCCTTGCAATGACAGATAATGGCGCTGCGTATCTCTGCACCAATGTAGACGGAGAAGTACAAACTAGCCTTCAGAGTAAGATCTTGCTAAATCACAGGGTGTTCAAATACTCGTTCCTCACTGTAAATGTGAAAATAGTCTGGTCACAACCCATAGGGAGAGCTCAGTCATGGCAATCTACGGTTGCCTTTCAAACTGTCCCCAAATGCTATTGGACAATGAACAACATGACGTACTCGCCGCTACAGATGTCAGTCAACGGAGCAGTCCGCCATACACCCTGGAAGAAGATGCAAATACATGTTTTTTTCAAAAGAAAGGACTTAAGTACCTCCATCTGCTCTTGATTCTGACTACGAAAGTCTAAATAGTCTAAAGTTGATGCCAAAGCGGTTTAAAACGAGCCACTGTCATCTTAGTTGTTCCACTCTGCTGCATCATCCCGCCCACCAAAACCGATAGAGTGCTATGATTGGCCCACCAAAACCGAAAGAGCACTGTGACTGGCAAGACATTATACTGCTCAGGCCAATGAAAGACTTGCTGAGGCTGCTGTGGAGCATAGCTAAACCGTTTCGTAGTTGCTACTGCCTGTCTACATTTCTAGGCAAACAAGGTTGCAGATTTCAGACGAGCTTGTACTGCTGAGAAAGTTCTTATATAAATAAGAAAAATTGCAGAGTGACACAAGGTAGCCTTTCTGCTGCTGGGTATCACATCTGTCACCACTGAGGGTCATTAACTGTGAGACATCAGTCCTTCATTTGCACCAAGCTCCATGCTTCATTTGCTCCATGATGAAACATCCAGTGATGCTGAGCAGCTCGTCTATGAGGACTCAGAACGTTGAACTGCGACTTGCTCAGTTGTGGTTTGTGTTTGTGTTGTTAATCTAATGATTGTGTATGAGTCTCCCAACAGGCTGCTCTGTGGTACATCACCTCCTCGAGAAGCCACAGTAAAGCACGAGATTATGGGCAGGGCTTGGATCGCACACGACGATGGTAAAAACGCAGCTACAGGCTCTGAACATTGCCCCGCCGCACAGGGACAACAATCAGAGAGGCCGGCTGAAAAGTTGTCAACAGATTCTGCTGTTTCACACTTTTGTTTGCGAGCTGATTGTAAAACAGATGGCCACATATGCACCGAGACTGAGGAAGGCCCAGAACATCATCTTTTTGTTGCAGTCACACCAAACGACATGATGGGGTTTTTCTTGCCTTGCAATCACCACAAACCGTCTTTTAAGGAATAAAACTACTTTAAAAAGATGAAATCTACATTTTCATCTCACTGCAGCAATTTTCAGAAGGCCCAAACAAATCTTCAATAAAGAGAATAGAACAAATCATAAAACTATGTGGATCATTTACTAAATTATTATTTTTTGTTTGTGTTTGCGCTCCTGTGAATCAGTCAGAATGCTGAATCCTCTAAATGAGTCCTCCGAGTTCATTTAAAACCAGATTGTTAAAGAACGTGTGATGATGCATCTTCAGAAGCTGCAGGAGTTAAATTAACCCACAAAGAGCAACGTGGCACCGTCACCCTTCAACTTTTACTAAAATAACGTTCCCACATCCGCTACAAACAGAGATAATATGTTTATTAAGAGAAAATATAAGCTCAACAAACTAATTCTGATTAAACCCTTCATTTAAAGTATTGTAATCAACTTTTTTAAGTTTTTATGGTCAGAAGAATCTGTGGTGTCCCTTCATTAAGATCTTCTCTGACAGCAAATATAAAACAGAAAATAATTTAACATCAAAGTTTATTTTTTACACAAAGAACTAAAAGCTAATTATATTTTTGTAGCTTGGTGTATTCTTGCCAGTCTAATGTGGCGTGATTTTTGGCTGAGGAGGTGAGTTAACCGCAGTGCCACGTGGTCTGTGGTTCACTGGGGAAGCCGCGGATAAGGCGGCTGCTAGAAGAGTCTTGAGGTTGTGTGTCTTAGGGACTCAGCTAGGAGAGAGTAGCCTTGTTTGGAATAATCTATTAAAAAATACTTAAATTAAGCTCCTTTGTAGCAAAGACCAGTTTAAAATGTTCCAGAAATAAAAGTCATTTTCCACCTCATGGTAATGGTGTGTGTGAGAGGAGTTTTTCTTGTCCCACTTTGGATCCCTCAGTACCACCTGAGCCTGGTTTAACCACCACATGTCAAGCTGAGTATTGTTGCTGACCACGATGACCACATGGACCCATATTCTGAAGTCTACTTCCAGCAGGAAAATGCATCACATCACAAAGCTCAGATCATCTCTAACTGGTTCCTAAAAAAAAAAAAGGTGAGTTCACAGAACTCGACTGACCCCCACAGTAACCAGGTCTGTCCAGAACCTTTAAGATGTGGTGGAACGAGAGGTTCCCATCAAGGATGGAGCTGATGCCATCATGTCAGGATGGACCAGAACCGGAGGAATGTTTACAACAGCTTTATTGAATCTATATGAAGAACTGACAGTTCTGAAGGGAAAAGGAGGTCCGGCTCGATGCTATGGCTGAGCGTGTGCTGGGGAACTACAGTTTTGGCTTGCTTTTAGCACCCCTAGTGTTCATTTGTAGAACCGTCTCGTCACTGTGCATTCCTCTTTTTAACACCTTAATCTAACAGCTGAAGTGTCTCCTTAGCCTTCCTTAGTGTCTACAGGAGTGGTTCATCACTAAATTATACAAATCAGCTGTGTTCATGATCTAAAACATGCAGGAAATGAAAGAAAGAAAGAAAGAAAGAAAGAAAGAAAGAAAGAAAGAAAGAGAGAAAAAGAAAGAAAGAAAGAAAGAAGGAAAGAAAGAAAGAAAGAACCTCTCAAGATAAAACCAAGATAAAAATCTCGAGGACACTGAATCAGCATTATGTTTATTTAATAACAATAAAATAAAAGCATATTAAGCTAAACACGACACTTTGGATCAGTACAGAAAACACTAATTTCATAAATACAATTGAAAAATCTCAGTGCTTCAACAGAGACCATGCTTGGACAGTTTCTGCTCCAGTAAATAGACGGCTCCCGCTTGGACTGAATACAGATGATGGACGAGTGACGGGACGCTTTAACAGGATGTCAGATTACAGCTACTGGCTACTGAGTAAGGAGACCATGAATAAAAGAAAAAGAGTTATATTTGTTTGAGAAAATTTGCTGAGGGAATGAGTGACAACGGGAAATGAAAGAAAAGTTTTGAGCTTCCGCTGCATCTAGTAGTTAAATGAGAAAAGACAAATGTTGATTCACTTTCCCTCCCAGGCATCTTCCCTTTGCTTGGCAGCCAGACGCTTTTGTTCTGAAAGATAAATCACACACATGAATGAGGAAAAGCATCTATAGAAGAAGCTTACTGAAGGTGACTCATCGATCTAAATTTAAATCAGTCTTCACCACAATAAGGGAGGGTGTCGAGCCGCGAGGAGCCCGCTGAAAACTTTTTTTTATCTGTGTGGCATCTCTTCCCAGAACACAGTTTAAAGCATGATGCAGATCTGCACATTTACTGTGCACGCAGGGATCTTCAGCAAAAAGAAGTGGCAGTGCGCCAATGCTTGGGAACAAAGGAGCTTTTTTTAGTTTGCATCCATCAAGGCTCCTTCTTCCTGGACTGACTGTGACTAAGAGCAGCAGTTGTGGTTTTTTTTTTTGTGCCTATATACTTATGTTGCCTCCATGAAGGGGAAATGTGCTGGGCTGATTATAGACCTGCCATGATGTCCACAGCAATGAATGGGCTTCTCTTGGCTTCAGTTTGACACTTTCCACCCACTCTTGTAAAAAAAATATGCAAACAGCTCCCACTTGTGATGGAAACCTGTAGATGCAAACACTGAGACTTGTCAATAAATGATCAGTTTAAAGGCACACTAGGCAACTTTTTCCGCTTAATCCATGTTAACACCTCGGAACAGACGAGTTATACCTGATTGGGATTTATTGTAACGTGTTTATTCAGAAGAAACAAAGGAAACACTTATCTAAAATAAATAAATAAATCAAAAGTCGGACCACTATTGGAGTCAAAAGTAGAGTAATGAGTTTTCTGAGTCGTGAGAGCTCAAAGACATCATCCCTGCACGTTTTTAGATCATGAACATGGCTGATTTGTTTGATGTAGTGATAAATAACTCCTGTAGACACTAAGGAAGGCTGAGGAGACATTTCAGCAGTTAGATTAAGGCGTTAAAAAGAGGAACGCGCAGCGAGGAGGAGTTTCGGTTTCAATTTTTCCGACAGTGAATAAAAACGGACACTAGGGGGTGCTAAAAGCAAGTCAAAACTGCATAGTTGCAGCGGTCACCAGCTCCAGTCCTCCAGGGCTACTCTCCTGCTCAGCTGTTTCTTTTCTCCTACATACCAGATTGAAATGAATGAGTAATTAACAGGCCTGTTCAGAGATAAACATTGTAAGGAGAGGATTAAATTATTCAGGTGTGGTGGAGCAGGAAACACGGAAAACTAGCAAGATGGTTGCCCTCAAGGACTGCAGTTGGTGACGCCTGCTTTAAAGGAACACTCGGCATTTTGGCCTAGAGGCTGTTTTAATTTCCATTTTTAAAAGCGTGACTTTGTGAGACTTCATGGGAGTCGTCCAGTAGTTTCAAGTGTGGTATTCTGGCCACAGGGGGCGGAGGGGGCTGAGTGACTTTTCGTTCACCCTGTAAAGGGTCGTTTTAGCACATGATGGCTCAAGAAAATGATTTAAAAATATGAAAAATGTACATAGTTTCCCTTTAAGCTTAATTCCAAAGGATTCTGGCATCGAGTGTAATCCTGCAGGGAAAAAGAGAGGACCACAAGGAAGAAGTACCTCTCGCTTCCTGGAGCTTTTTCCTCTCTGCTTCTCGTTGCTCCTTTGTTATGTTGCTCTTTACGCCCAGAGCGCCGATCACAAGCTTCCGAGCCAGTGCTGCACTCGTCTGAGGTCTCTCTTTAGCAGGTAGGAGGTAGTCTGGCAGGAAAAAGCAGGGAGAAGTTAAAAAGAGAAAAACATAGTGGTGTATTTCATCTTTAAGGATTTAAGACAGTAAAGTTTTAGTTGCTGTCAGACAGACTGTAAAAATAAAAAGTTAAGGTGGAGGGAGTATTTTAGCTTATTAGGATTCAAATGATCCAAGGAGCAATTATGGTTAAAGCCACAGAAAAATTATTTTTCTTCATGGTTTTAAGAGACTTTCCAGGAAGATAACTTGCAAATTTTGTTGCGCACCCTCTTATATGTTTTTATTCTGTACAAAAAATGTGGATACAAAACAATAAAGGAGCACACAGGACCAATGTTACCTGAGCAGCTACGAGCTTTGGCCTTTGTAGCAGAAGATGATTTGGAGAGAGGTCTTAACTTCATGAGTGGATTTTTGGATCTTAGAGCTTCACGAGCTGAAAATAAAAACACAACAATTAGAAACATATTCAGATTTGTTTACTCAGACGGAAGAGAGAGAGAGAGAGAGAGAGAGAGAGAGAGAGAGAGAGAGAGAGAGAGAGAGAGAGAGAGAGAGAGAGAGAGAGAGAGAGAGAGAGGGGGAGAGAGAGAGAGGGAGAGAGAGAGAGAGAGAGAGAGAGAGAGAGAGAGAGAGAGAGAGAGAGAGAGAGAGAGAGAGAGAGAGAGAGAGAGATGGTAAATGGCCGGTGTCGGTACAGGATCTGCTCGGGTGCAAAATCGGCTCGGGGTCCTTTGACTGCCGATGACGTCAAAGTACGGCAAACCCACTCGGACAAAATACACTACACATCTGTACTGTTGGAAAGAATTTAGCAGTTTCGTTATTAAAATAATGTTTCTTAAGACGTAGGTTTGTGTTTATAATGGTATTTGTAAAATAAAACACTATTTTATTCATAATGTTGAACTCCTCTTTGAGCACATCCCTTGAAGGATCATAGGTATTAGCAACACCTGTGAAATTGTATTTGCAGGAAAGAAGTGTGTCCCGTTTATTGAAGTATTTTGTGTTTAGAGTTTTTGACGTCTTGTCCATGCGTAGTTCAGTTACGCTCATAGCTGCTAGCCAAAACTCCGGAGTTAAAAGTTTTCTGGCTTTACTAAAATACCTGTCTGTACTTATTTGATTGATGGTAGTTTTACTTTCTATTAGACTCCAAATGTAATCATTTGGCACGTTTCTATTTCATAATTTGTAAGAATGTAATCGGTGATATTAGCATTAGCATTCCTATGGGTTTCCCCACGTATATTAGCATTGCGCTAACCACTCGCTGCCAAATTGCAGCCTTTGCAATTGCAAAATCTCCTTTTGTCACATCGCAATTTAATTGCACACGCAGTAATCATTCAGCACTAATATACATGCAGCTCTATGCTACAAGTGTATTTTCAAAGAGGTAATGATGGATTTCTTTGTAAAAGTTGTCCATCCTTCCAACACAAAGATTTGCCTGGACCAACGTAACGTGATAACAACGTAACGTGATTACGTAATTCCGTAAGGTTCATGTTCAGCCAATCAACTACTTAGACGTCATCGGTATTCGACGGACCCCGAGTCGATTTTGCACCCGAGCAGATCTTGTACCGACACCGGTATTAGATATAGCGCCTTATAGAGTCATGGAACCCCCCAAGGCGCTTTACAACACAATCAGTCATTCATCCATTCACACACACATTCACACACTGGTGGGGATGAGCTACGATGTAGCCACAGCTGCTCTGGGGCGCACTGACAGAGGCGAGGCTGCCGAGCACTGGCGCCACCGGGTCCTCCGACCACCAACAGCAGGCAACGTGAGTTAAGTGTCTTGCCCCAAGGACACAACGACAGCGACAGACTGAGCGGGATTCGAACCTGCAACCTTCCGATTACGGGGCGAGCACTTAACTCCTGTGTCGCCCCAGAGAGAGAGAGAGAGAGAGAGAGAGAGAGAGAGAGAGAGAGAGAGAGAGAGAGAGACAGAGACAGAGAGAGAGAGAGAGAGACAGAGAGAGAGAGAGAGAGAGAGAGAGAGAGAGAGAGAGAGAGAGAGACAGAGACAGACAGAGAGAGAGAGAGACAGAGAGAGAGAGAGAGAGAGAGAGAGAGATTGAGAAACAATAGAAAATTGTTCTGATTCATGTTTTACTGAGAATTTGTTATTAAAACAACCAGCTCAGTGACCTAGTGGTATGAGGTCCGCCCTTGGAGGTAATGGGTTAAAATCCACGGTTGGGTTATATCAAAGACTTTTAAAAATGGACCCAATTCCTCCCCGCTTGACACTCAGCATTAAAGGGTTTCGATTGGGGGATAAATTTGCCAAATAGTTCTGGAAACGCGGCCGTATCTGCTGCTCACTGCTCCCACAGGGGAATGGGTCATATTTCACCAGTGTGTGATAACTAACGGAACTTTCATTTTATTTCCTAGCCTAGAAATATAGACAAAACATAGCAGTAGCAAAAGATTTTGCACTGCAGGTCAGTCTACCATTGGCTCGAACAATTTTAGGTCGGGCCAATCACAGCGGTCTGTTTTCTGGGCAGACTAAATGCTTCAGCTGCAATGGAGAAAAACCAGAAAGGTGTTTGAAACGGCTTTGACATCATCTTTGGAACATTTTAGACTTGCACTTTTCTTTGAGACACGAGCAAATAAACTTCCTTAATTCATTTATTCTAAAATAGGAAGTATTTACTTCTTCTTCTTCAACGGTGTATGGCAGACAGCCCTCTTGACTAACATCTGTAGCAGTGAATTTGTCAAATTGTTCGTTGCTCTGACTGGTCCTAGCGCTGTCCATGTGCATGCAGACACTTTGAAAGACAACCATAGATTCCGCCCCACGAACGGGTGGATTCAATGGTTTGTGTCCAAACTATATATTAACTAAACAGAATAGCCTTCCAGAATACTTATTTGCAGCATTTGAGGAAAAAGAAATCTTTTGAAACCATTTATATTCCTGCATATTTAATGATGTATCCAGTTATTGTTTAGAAAAATAAATAAATAAAATAAACGTACTGACCTGCTATGGGGCTTGAGAAGAGGCCAAGTGCATGAGTGTCATCAATCCACTTAATATCAAAACCTCGCTGTCTGAAAGCATGAAGCAAGTACAGATTATTAATATTTTTCTTTTAAACGGACACCTGATGCTCGGCAGGGGAGTTGAACTTCAGGTCAATGATGCATGACAACTTTAAGAAAATGAGAAGACTACTGAAGATCAACTTTGACAGTCGGTTCCCATCTTAGACTGGAAGCATGAACACAAATAAAAATGTAACTTTTTACAAAAGATCAGATCGATGTCAGGTAAGACGTGTACATACTGGTAGCACTGAAATAACTTAAGAAGATCCTCTGTCTTGAAGTCTGTAGGGAAGTCATAGATCTCTACAATATGAGAAAGTTCCTCCTCAGTGAGATCCATCTCCTCCTCATCATCATCGTCGTTGCCGCTCCTGTCCATGTTGTAGTAACCAAACCTAGAATCCTGTACAGACTTCTTTATTCTTCCCTCCTTCAGAGCCAGCTGGAAAGGCAGAGCAGAATGGGACGAAACACAAGAGAAGAAAGTTAATAATTCATTTATTAGCTTTGCATTAAGGCAGTGGTGGCTTATGGGTCTCCATCCAGCATGTTTTAGTTGTTTCTCTGCTCCAAACACCCGACTCACTGGTTGAATCTCAAATTCTGCAGAAGCATGTTACCCACGTATTCAATATAGGTGTGTTGAAGCACAAAAAACATCTAAAACACATAGGATGGTGGCCCTTGAGAACCAAAACTGGACATCTCTATATTAGTGACCAACCAAACTTTAAGTGTCACCAAAACACATAATTCTCACCTCTTCCAGCAGATGAGGATCCAAACAGTCTCCATCATCATTAAACAAGGTGTCCCAGCTCTCCTCCTCCTCCTTGGGAAATGCTGCTTCCAACTGTGATGAAGTTTCTGCTTCATCTTTGTTTGAGTCAGACTGCCCATTTACCATCCTCTCTGCTTCCTGTAATCTCTCCTCTTTCTCATCCGACTGAACAGCATCACTCTGTGAAGATCCTTCCGCCTTATCCGTTTTGTTTTTAGCATTTTTTCTAGCTTTATCTGTATAACGAGGTTTGGTTCTTGGTTTAGCTTCTCCTTGAGTTTGAGTTTTGTCTTTAGTGGCGTGGACTCGATGTTTAGGGACGTACAGAGCCTGATTTGGCCTCTTTGACTCAGAGGAAGGTGTAGTTGATGGCTGGCTTGAAGCAAAATCTTCTTTCGGCTTTTCCATCTCCATGATGGTGGTTAAATTATTAAAACATCTAAACTGCAATGAGAAGACGTTCACATCAGCTATTTAAACAGGTAAAAGGTTCATAAACGAGACTCAAAAGTGATCAGCAACGCTAAATCTGTATTATTAATAATATAAACCGGAAAAATCCATAAAATCAGAAGATACTAGCTACAACATTAGCTAGTTTTGCTAGCTTAAATTAACCTCACGTAGCCTAAAGATAGCATTCATTTAGACACAAATGTAACATTGGAAATACACGAATAAAGGTATAGTAACACTAGTTTCATTGTAAGATTAATTCAAGCTTTCGGTTTACCTGTATTTGTTTTATCGCAACAGATTTTTGTCGCGTTTGTGACGTAGAACATCCTGGCGCTAAGCATTGTGGGAGATGATGTTCTTACGTTTCATTGCAGTCAAGTCGTCTTTAACAAAGAATAATTTTATTTTTTAAATTACACAGTATTTATTTTAATTATAAGTATATATTTCAAACAACATTATATGATAACATAATTCTGTTGTGTACATGTTATTTTGTTTTTGTGTTCCGACAAACAAAACTACAATCAAGAACAAACTCCGGGGTCTCTCACAGAAATCCAGGTCACTCATTGGCCAGTGTCTTGCTCGTCCAAAAACCTGCTCGCTGATTGGCCAGTATTCTCCACATTACACAAGCTGTTTCATAAAGATGTACGGGTTGTGTAAGGTGGCGGGACGATTCTAGCAGATTATATGAAATTGACTTTGTTGCAGGAAAATTAGAGCAGCTGCTTCTCTTCTCACTGACACGGTAAGAGAGGATTTAAACGCTGAAGGAGTTCTTGCTGACGGCGTTGATCAGTTAATATTTTTTATTGAATAAACGTCCTGCTAAAGTTAAAATATTTTATATTACACGCTTTACATATTTTAAAGATGCATACAATTAGATTTATTATAGAGCCTTAATTAATATTCTGTGACAATTATGTTTTAGAATAGAATAGAATATTCTTAATTGATCCCACAGTGGGGAAATTCACTTGTTACAGCAGTTTTGTTTGTTTAATTAATTAATTTTTTTATTTGATTTTTTTTTGGTGTGTGTGTGTATGTGTGTGTGTTTGGGGAGGGGGGGGGGCTTATTTATTTATTTTATAAAATTTTAATATTTGTTGATTTATCCTTATAGATTAGACCTTCCAAGTTCTAACCTTTGCGATTTATTAATAATGAATGCAAATTAGGAAAGGATCAATTAAGATGACAAATGATCAGCCTTGTGTGTTTTTTTCCAGCAGGTTGCAGTCATGTGGATTGCAGGTGTGCTGCTCCTCCTTGTGACTCACTGGCATGCATCTGAGTCCCAGGACTCTCAGCCAATGTTCCAGGTCATAACACAGACGATGCTCCCACCTGACAGCATGCACAACCCCACACAACTCAATTATGGCATGGCTGTGACAGACGTGGATGGGGACGGAGACTTGGAGGTGGTGGTGGCTGGGTGAGGGTTAAAGTCTTTAAAGGTTGATGGCATACAGGAGGGAGTGTGGGAAAGACAAACACGTTCTCTTCCAGGTACAACGGGCCAAACCTGGTGCTGAAGTATGACCACGCCCAAAGCAAGCTGGTAAATATCGCTATTGATGATGTTAACTCTCCGTACTACGCACTGAGGGACCGACAGGGAAGTGCTATTGGAGTAACAGCTTGTGATGTGGATGGCGATGGGCGCGAGGAGATCTACTTCCTCAATACCAACAATGCCTACTCTGGTAAATTTTATATTCCCTATACCAAACCAAATAAATGCAAGTTTACTGCAGAAAATTTTAGTTATCTGATGCATCTCGTGTAGGACGGGCAACATATTCAGACAAGCTCTTCAAGTTTCGAAACGGGCGATATGAGGATCTGCTCAGTGATGACCTCAACATTGGTCGTGGTGTTGCTAATCAGATGGCTGGACGTTCAGTTGCATGTGTTGACAGAAAGGTTTTTGTCTGAGCACATTTCATCTTCTGTTGCCTTCATTAGTTGTTGTCTTTGTGCATCATGATCCCTAAATGTTCTGCAGGGAACGGGTCGTTACGCCGTCTACGTGGCTAACTACGCCCAGGGCAGAGTTGGCCCCCACGCTCTTTTAGAGATGGATGAGGCTGCCAGTGACGTTTCCAGAGGAGTCATTGCTCTGTCTGACGTTGCTGCTGCAGCTGGAGTCAACAAGCTCACAGGTCAGAGGTCAAGCTACAGAACAGTAGCTTTCTGGTATAAATTGGAAGCTTTTAAGGTCTGCGTCCTGTTCAGGTGGTCGTGGTGTGGTGGTTGGGCCAATCTTGAACCAGGCGAGGTCTGACGTGTTCTGCGACAATGAGAATGGACCCAACTTCCTTTTTAAGAACAACGGAGATGGCACCTTTGTGGACATGGCCGGACAGGCTGGTGAGAAGTAAATGGCAAAAGGAGACTTAGTATGTAATAAAATTGATTACTACTTTTGACATTTTGCAGATTTGACCTTTTTGCCAAAAGTATAGATTATGCAGGGGTGTTCATCCCTTGTTCTTAAGGGCCTCTTTCCAGCATGCTTTATAGGTTTCTCAATCAATCAATCAATCAATCAAAGCTTTATTTATAAAGCGCCTTCCGCGCCCTGTCGGGAAGCCCAAGGCGCTGAACATGGTACATGGGAAATGTGAAACATGATGAATAAATCCAAAATAAAAGCAATTCAAATAGTGCAAAAAAGATAAAACTTTAAAGTAGAAGACAAATGGGTAAAACAAGGGATAAAGAGACCAATGAAAACAAGGAAATAAAATCAACATAAAAGAGGGCCAAATTCAAACACGTTCAGGGAACGCCAAGCGGAGGAGGTGGGCTTTTAGGCGACTCATGAGCCCCCTTCAGACAGGCCTGTCCGTAAGACCTTTGTGTCTGAATACAAACACCCGGATAACCTTTTCCGTAATTAAACCGAACGAAGCCCCTAGTAACAGGACCGGACTTGTCACGGACAGGGTGGCTGCTTCAGACTGGTGAGGTCGAGTTCCGGACAGGGAGGAGGGGGCCGGGGGACGCTGTGCGCGCCTACAGCTCGCTCCTGCAGCATGCGGCAAACCATGGCAGCTCGCCTCCTACGGTACCGTCTCCTAGATGTGCGACGGAGCACTTCACACCGCTTCCGTGATTTCTTTATTAACCATTGAGCTTCATCATCCAGGTCTCTTATGCGTCTTCGTGTGCGCAGAATTATGCTTAACATAAGTCCGATCAGTGAGAGGAATTCTGTCTCCGTCGGCCACGTTTGACTGAATAGCTTTGTTTGGGTAAATGACGCATGTACACCCGCTGCACTATGTTTACGCAATATCTGGGTGCAGCCTTCCTACCCCCTCCCCCTCAGACATCTGGAACTTTTCCCTGCTGTGTGAAGGCAGCCGAAAGGACAAGTTCAGGTACGAAAGTGGTGTGTCTGAAAACACAGTTCTGGTTAAAAACCGGACTGAATTGTCCACACATATTCCAGAATGTCAATCTGAAAAGGGCTTTAAAGACTGGCAGAGATGGGGACAGCCTGAGGGTGGCAACTGGTTCCAGAGTGACGGTGCTAGGACTGAGAAAGCCTGGTCCCCGCGAGTACGACACCTAGAACGAGTGACAGCGAGCAGGCCTTGGTCAGAGGAGCGCAGAGCGCATGATGGGGAATGTCTGTTCAGGAGCATGGCCAGATAGGGGGGAGCACCACCCTGGAAGAAATTGTAAACAAAGACGAGGAGTTTAAAGTGTGAACGATAACAGACCAGTGCAGGGAGGCCAGAACCGGACTGATGTGGTCCCGTTTCCTGGTCCCAGTCAGAAACCTGGCTGCACTGTTCTGCACAACCTGTAGGCGACGCAGTGATGACTGACACAGCCCTGCATATAGAGAGTTGCAGTGATCAAGCCTAGAAATTAAAAAAGCATGGAGTACCCACTCCAGGTGGGCTCTCGACAGCATAGGCTTGATTTTTGAAAGGCGTCTCAGATGAAAGAAACTGGACCGGATCGCAGAGTTGATGTGAGCATCAAATTTAAGTCCAGCATCAATTTTCACCCCCAGACTGGCGACAACTGGTTTTGAGTATGGAGAAGGAGGGCCAAGATCAACATAACGACCCACAGCCCTGCTGTTGGGGTGAAAAACAATGAGTTCTGTCTTTCCCTCATTCAGATGCAGATAGTTGGCCATTAGCCAACACTTTACCTCGTTAAGACAGGACACAGAGGACTGGATAGAGAGACCTTTCTGCTGACACAATGGAGAGTAAATCTGGCAATCGTCAGCATAGAGATGAAACGCTAGGCCATGTTTACGAAAGACTGACCCCAGAGGAAGCAGATAAATTGCAAACAAAAGAGGACCAAGGATCGATCCCTGCGGGACCCCCCAGCGGAGCCCCTCCCAAGAAGAAAAAACATCACCCAGTTTAACACAGAATGTCCTGTTGTGGAGATACGATCTAAACCAATCCAGAGCAGACCCTTTGATTAAGTAGAATCGCGTGGTCAACCGTGTCAAAAGCTGCCGTCAGACCTAACAGCAGAAGCACCACAGATGTACCCTGATCTAGTGATAGACAGATATCATTTAAGACCTCAGTGGAGCCGACTCTGTACAATGGCCAGACTTGAACCTTGATTGGAAAACCTCAAACAGATCAGAGTCAGCTAAATGTGAGACCAGCTGCTGATAAACGACTTTCTCAAGCAGTTTTGATGTAAAAGGCAGGGTAGAGATAGGCCTGTAATTTTTGAGACATCAGCACCAGGTTTCTTCAGGGTCGGCCGAACAACTGCTGCTTTCAACAGCTTCAACACGTCTGATTTTTTTCAATGGACGATTAATAGGTTTCTGCAGTGCATGATGGCATACAGAGCAGGCAATTCAACCATTAAGTGGGGGGTGTTAGAGCAGGGAAATAACTAAAACATGCTGGATGGTGGCCCTCAAGGATTAGAGTTGGACACCACTGTTGTGTGAGAATTAAACATGGGTTTGTTGTATTTAAAAGGTGTGCAGGACCAGTTCCAGCACGGCAGAGGAGTAGCACTCGCTGATTTTAATGGTGATGGAAAGACAGACATTGTCTACGGCAACTGGAATGGCCCACACAGACTTTTCTTACAGACCAGTGACTCCAAATTTCACGTAAGGAAAAAAAATGAGGCAGAGAAACAGGAAGCCGTTGATACAAATGGGTATAAATGTGTATATTTTTTTCTTTTGTGTGTGCAGAATATAGCTGACAGCCAATTTGCTGCCCCCTCACCGATTCGTACCGTCATCGCTGCTGACCTTGATAATGACAAAGAGTTGGAGGTGTTCTTTAATAATATTGCCTACAGAGGAAATGCCCCCAACAGACTTTTTAGGTTTCATTTTAATTAATATTCAAGTCCAAATAAGCATTTTTAAAATATAAAGTGCTAGTTTTAACAATAGAAGAATGTGTTTCTTTTCAGGGTGTCAAGAAAAAGTAATGCGGACCCATCTATCCAGGAGCTCAATGTAGGAGATGCTGCAGAGCCACAAGGGAGAGGAACAGGTCAGCGATGCGTCCATGAGTTAAATGCTACAGTTGTTTTGTCATTTTTCTGAGACGTAACAGCATTCTGTGTATTTTGACAGGAGGAACTGTGACAGATTTGGATGGAGATGGACAACTGGACCTCCTTCTGGCACACGGAGAGAGCGCCCAGCAGCCGATCTCAGTCTTCAAGGTTACACAGGTGTGTGTTTGCGTGTGTTAGCTGGCAATAACTCGACTCTGATTACTTTAAAGCTAATTCGTATATGGTGTTATCAGGGCTCATCCAACAACTGGCTGCGTGTGGTTCCTCGTACCCAGTTTGGAGCATTTGCTCGAGGTGCTAAAGTAACAGCCTTCACCAACCAGAGTGGAGCTCTCACGCGCATCATTGATGGAGGTTCTGGGTATCTGTGTGAGATGGAGCCAGTTGCACACTTTGGTTTAGGTAAAGATTTGTCTCAAACAGTTTGTTGTGCAATGTGTTAACTAGAATTCTCATTGAGCTCTAAAACAAATGGCATGACCAGAACTACAGAGTACTACCAGAGCTACAGTGCCAAGTCTGCAACACAAGCTAGCTTAAATTAAATGTCTTTCATGCCTCTTACAATGTTTTAACACAGAATAGGAATCATTTTTTAACCCCGTCCTGTCTGGCTGTGAAGCAAACAGAATTGATGTCTGAATGCTGGTAACAAGCCTTACAGATTTACTCTCAGGTGGAGCATCAAAGCGTCTGCTTTACTGTCACGCCTGATACTTAAAACTTTATTGTTATTGTTTTTGAATGCTTTGTAATTCCGACCAGACACGGAGACAGAGGTGAAAAGAGAAAGGAAGAGACAAAAGGTGGGAAGTGGGGGGGGGGGGGGGGGGGGGGGGGGGGGGGGGGGGGGGGGGGGGGGGGGGGGGGGGGTTGCACAAAATAAACAATAATGAACAAGAGTCTGCTTCTAGACCTGCAGAAAGAGAAAGAGCAGAAAAAAATGGGACACACAACAATACATCAGGAGCAAGCTATCACTACGTCAACCTGATGATGAAACATAAAATCAACATTGTTAAACTGAACAATCACACGATGATAAATCATAGTGCATTTAGTGGCAACGACAGCCTTAAGACAAGTGTTGAACGTGCCCAAGCCCATACTTTTGAGAGCACCACGTGAGCACCTGTGTGTGTACACGCGCTTGTTTCTGTAAGGTTTCTCTATAGGAGCGTCCAATAGAGAGTGTGAGGGACCACAGATCTGCCCCTCAAAGATGTGTAGGAGACGGGGGGAGCTCCAAGTCCCAGAGATCCAGGCGCTGCCCCAGAACACAGGAACCCAAAGGAGACAGCAACCAGAAAGGCCCCCGCCCCCCTCGAGAGGCACAGAGGATCGCCCCGGGGGACCACAACCAGCAGCCGGCAGAGTCCGGGGAGACATCAGCGGCAAGCCCACAGGCCCGCCCGCAGCCTCCCACCCCCTAGCCGGCCGAGCCCGGGACCCAGGGGCGACCACCCCCGCTGGGTTTGGCAGCCTCGCCTCTGTCAGTGTTCTCCAGGGCAGCTGTAGCTACAATGTATCTCATCACCACACCAGCATGTGAATGAGTGTGTGGGTGAATGGCTTGTTGTGTTGTACAGCGCCTTGGGGGGTTGTAGAACCCTGGAAAGCACTTCATCAAATACAAGCCATTTGTTCACTACCAAACTGTTCTTTGATGATTGTCAGGAGGTCCTCCTGGAAGACGTTTTGATTCCATTCTCTGTTCATCATGGCTGTTATGAGGCTAAACTGTGAGTGAACACCCCCTCTTGGTTAAGAATCATGGTCTCAGGATGCTTTATTGTTGGCATGAAAAAGGACTGATGGTAGAGTTTACCTCTTCAATCTTTTCTGGACAGCCCAAAATAATCAGAACGGAGGGTTTCTGTGGTGCAAATGGCTTTATTTTTGTGGCAAGGAAAGACTTTGCCATTAGGTTTAACTCTTGGACAAATGCATAATGTCATCATGAAAACTGGGGCAGCAAACTTAGTGTGAAGCTTTTGGCCAAAATTAAAGTAAAACTAATAAAAACTGACCCTGTTTTCTAAAAGTGGAACAGATAGTAATGGGTCATTATTGAACATTTTTGGTATGGATACTTTCTGCACAAGAACTGGATTGATGCTGTGACCTCATTAAAGGTCCTGTTTTAATATATGGGGACATCTAATGGCTGAAAATAGAATTGCACTAAAATGAACAAAAGCTGTTGTGATTAAAAAGATGAAAAGCTGCCTTGAGTCAGTTTTTGTCCTAATGAGGCTACTTTATGTTCCAGTTTTATTCACGTATTACCGTAAAGACAGAAATTAGTGGAACATTTGTATTTTTAAATTAAAATTGAGTATAAAAATTCTCCAAAGACATAAAAAATACAGACAGAATAAAACAAAGGAAACAGACGTCATTGATAAAACTTTTTTACATCTTTGGTTTGCAGGAACAGATGTGGTGAAAGTTCTGGAGGTCTCATGGCCAGACGGCACCACCATGAGTCGGGCTCTTGAATCCGGTAAAATGAACTCGGTGGTGGAAATAACTTACCCTAAAGAAGGGGAAGCAGCTGTGCTTGCTGGTGACACGCAGGTACACAACACGGACTCGCGTCATGAATTATGAGTCACAACTCAACACTTTCAATGCTTCGTCATTCTTTTTCTTTTAAAGTGTAAAGAAAATTTATTGTAAGAACAGAAAAATAAATTATATTAATTCATTTGACTTCCTTTCTAACGTTTTGCAATTTTTTCAGTGTGGTGATGGGTTTACTGTCAGGAATGGCCATTGTGAAGGTAGGGGAAATAAAAGGAATTAACCAATATATATATATATATATATATATATATATATATATATATATATATTTTAATTGTGTTTATGTTTCAACAGGTATTTGAGGAAAATCACACAAAGCTTCATAAAGAACCACAAAGTTTAAATCCGTTTTTAAAAGATGACCCTTTTGCTTTCTTAATTCTGGTTTTATTGCTTTTTAAATTCCCAATTCTTAATTTTTCTGCCTTAAATAACCTTGTTTAATAAAGTGCTGAAAGTCACTTTTCTGAGTGATTCTGATTATTATTTCATAGATGTATGAATAAGTGTGTTTGTCTCGTTTGCTTTTGGTTTTTCCTCTTCGTTTTCATGCACCTTACCTGAGCAGACACATCCTACACGTTCAGAAGAGTAAAGAACATTATTCAATTATTGTATTGCCATCTGTGCCCATCTCTTCGTGTCATGTTTGTGGACGTTTCATCCTGTTGATGTTGGTGTCACCATTACTGTTTGTTGTTTTCCCTCCTTCCTGCAGCCGTGTCACCGTTTCTCTATGGCCTTCCTTCTTCTGTCTCCACATCTGAAGCCTCCTGTTTTGTCACGTTTTCACTACAGTGTGTCGTGATGCATTTACCACTGGTGGATCTGAGGTGATAACTGTCTAAAGAAAACCGATGACCCTGATTTTATCCAGGGTGACGCACCTGGCCTAAACAACAGCTGGAAGGACTTACTAAGGTCTGGACATGTTGAAAGTTTCCTTATTTGGATGAACTGGCTGCATGCAGGAACTGACCGGTATTGTGAGATGTACCAAAGATTTAATGGTCTTACGTGTAAAATATTATTTTTCAATCACCAACTTCTCCATCAGATGACCCAGAAGGAGACAGGGGAAATAAGTGTTTATTTCTGGTGTGTAAACAAGGTGATGTACTTTTAATAATTAATATGTCAATAATGTATATTACATACATTAAAGAGCAAGTCACCCCCTACCAGAGTCTTACTATACTCACACTTCCTGTTTGAAAAATGCAACAAATGCTCTTGCCTAGCAAACCGAGGGCGGAACAGCTAACAAATACACACACCATCGACAAATATATATATAGACACACACACAGGCTCACAACGACATTGTGACATCATAATGCACCAGCTAACGTCATAGTGTACCTCTTGGCCAATAGCGATGGCAGATTTAAATTCAAATGCAGTGAGTTTTTACCTGACAACGGCACAACACTGACAGCTTTAGGCAGAAAATTACAATTTTAACTAAGATGCACTAAAGTGCAAAATTATTGTCTACATGTTTACAGCACGATTAGACATTAGTGATGGGAATTCCGGCTCTTTTTAGAGAGCCGGTTCTTTTGGCTCAGCTCACCAAAAAGAGCCGGCTCTTTTGGCTCCCAAGTGTCTCCTCAGATTTTCTGTTGCGTAAAGTATATTTATCACCAAAATAATGCTAAACTATATGTAAAATAATTTACTAATGTAAAAAAAAAGCAATATATCAAATATTTATCATTTCTATGGATTTAATATCTGAACACTTTAAGAAATCTCCACTTCCCGACTGCTGGCGCTCATTTTCTCACCGTCTTCGTTGCACTCTCCTCTCTCTCGCCTTTTTCCTCCTCCTCATTCCCTTTCGTCTCCCTCCACCTACATGAGCTCTGCTGTGTGTCTGTCTGAGTCTGATCCTCCCTCTTCCCCGCTCCTACTGCTCTGTGTGTGGACAGTCTGGACACACAGTTACACATGTTGACGTCTGTTGGCCTGTAGCTTTCACCAAGGCAGGGGGGGAGGGGGGAGGGGACGGCTCCCAATGACGAGCCAGCTCCCGTTGTTCACTTCAAGGAGCCGGCTCTTAGAGCTGGTTCGTTCGCGACCGACACATCACTAATGCATTTAAATAGTTTATCAGCAAAAAAAGTTGATTTGGTGTTGACTTGCTCTTTAAAAACTTTAGCAGATACTAATAAATCTCATGAGCTAATCATGGTCATTTACTCTAAATAAAACATGTTATGTAGACATATCTGTACTTATGTAACTAAATTACTTTCAACCTTTGTGCAGATTTAAATGTGCATTTCGTCACATAAGGGGCAATCTACCAATTTTTCCTCCTGAAAGCTTCTAGCTATAATTATTAACTATATTTAGTGATTTTGTCGGATATTTGAGGATCCAGGTCCTTCTTGATCCTAACAAACCTCTGCTGATGAGAATTTAGCTTAACATATTGTAAAAATACATTCTAAAAGATAAAACCACATGACAACCCTGTAGAATTAATAATTATTTGGGGGGGTGTTTGTTGTCGCATTAAATGCAGCAATTTTTAGAAAAATAAATGGCGGATCATACTTTTTATTTTCCCCATGTTTCCACAGCTCTACAGAGGAAAGAGCCATTGCTATCCAATAGAGAAAAAAAAAACATTAATTTCTTATCTAAAGAAATTTGCACTTGACTGATTATATGACAATTGAAAACATTGGCATAAAAACAGTAAAAAGGTGAAATCCAGCATAATAATTTCAGATTGTTTATGAAAATTAACATTTTAGATTTTTCCCAACAAGCTTTCCTCTCCGTTTCCTCCATTATATTCTCCGCTGCTGAAAAATACTTTGCAAGAAAATAAACAGAAGCTGTGATGAAACGGTTTATTTGACACCGCTGTTTGTACCGCACGTAACAAACAAGCGGAATAAGCGTTTTTACACAAAATGTCATCAAAACAAAACTAAAACATGGCGTTCACACGTGTGAGTCAAGTTTTGGCATTAAGGGGTTCTTTGGAAGTTTTCCGCAAATCAAGGAAAACTTGTTGTGATTTAAACCACTAGTGTGACATTTGAGGAAGACTTTATCGTATCATCCTGGACTCAATGCACAGCGAGTTCTTGCATAATCAGACTTTAGGAAGCATCGGTCTCACTCAGTGAACCCAAGAGGTGAGTACTTGTATACCTGTGCAGGAGTGTCTAACAAATAAATAAACATACAAACAAACAAAAAAACAGGCTACATGTGAAAAACGAGGAAGTTCTGCTACATTATTTACAGGAGTGGGTCAACATTCGCGTGCCTCCTAACCCGAACATCCAGAGTTAGATGTGGTGTTTTAGTGACTGTGTGGTGCAGCTGTGACAGTCGAGGTGTGAGGTTTGGTGAAAGCTTGTCGACCTTCAAAGAAGGAAAATAAAAAAGCAGGTTTGTTTCTGTGTAATGGAGAAGCAACAAGGTGAAGGAATGGTCTTTTAGGGCTTTTTAAGAGACAAAATCCTCTCTGGCAACCAACAATATCCACAAATGTTTAATCATTACTCCTAAAATAATTTTTGAAGTCTGTTAGAATCTGTTTACGATCTTTTCTGAGTGCAGTTTTCGTGTTTCCTCTGTGCCCGTGTGGGTTTTCCCAGGAGGCGCCGCCCACGGAACAAAATCATGCAAACATTTAATCAATGATACAAAAATAATATTAGTTTTTAGCAATGCTCTTTCAAGAAGGTGCAGTTTTCTACCAGAACATGACGGCAGATGTTGTCAGACGCGTTCTTCTACAGCTGGAGGTAAAGCGTTCTAGGTGTAGTTCTTGTTTGGGACCATTCCTTTATATGGATTTCATAACATGTATCCCAACATACACGGCACACGATTCTGCTTCAAGCATCTATGGTGATGAAAGTTCAGGATATGGAAAATGGGATAAAAAAAAAGTGTGAAATGTGGCTTTGGGATGTACAGACTGTTGGAACACCAAAGTTCTTGTTCTAAATCCTTCTTCCAGGGTGCTCGGTTTTAGCCCGGTCATCGAGCTGTGCTGCCGGACACAGAGCTGCTGCCTGAGCTGGAGCTACTGGAGCCTCGGTCTTCATAGATGGATATCTCAATCTGGAGAAGGTAGCTCAGGACCAAGAATTCACTCTGGAAATAAAATAATTCTGTGCAGACTCACCCTGCAGGGGTTAAGGATACAACACGCATTCCTCTTTCAATGGGGTCTGTGATGAGCAGGCCTCTGGGAGCGTAGATCTTCTCATTCTGCTCTTGAATGTACTTGGCAATCTTCTTCAGGACCTGAGAAGACGTGAAGAGTTCATGTTAAGGCAAACTGATCTGGACTTTCAAACTGCACTAAGTTGGGGATGAGCACTCTGACCTTCTCGTAACGCGTCTCCATGCAGAGAAAGATGAGATACGCCGTGACACAGGCCAGACAGCCCTCCAGGTAGGACTGCCCTCCGATCTTTTCTGCTTCTGCGTAGAAGTTATTCAGCGTCTTCACGGTGTCCTCAAACAGGGTCCGCTCAATCTGGAGATGCAAATAAGTGTTCTATTTTTTAATTAACTACAAAACTAAAGATTTTATATTAAAAAAGGCTCGTCTACATCACGCAGGATCTACTGGATTCTCAACACAAGTGCATCACTTCCTCATACAGCAAATCCGCTGTTAAAGACAGGAAGTTACCGCAACATGTGGAGAAAAAGGCTGAGAAGGTCATTTGGGTCTCGCACCACTCTTTATAAAGTGTGGAAAAGTCATTTAATCAATACATTTGCAGTGATCTCTCTGGAGGGGCTCTTGCCTCAGACTGGATAACAGCAACACGACTCAAACATTGATGCTTTATCTCCAGAGAATAACACAGAGTTGAAGGAGTTCTGCTGTGTGGTTGGGTTGCTAATTCTAGTTAGCACCTATTAGCTGAGGCGTTCTTTGCCGCTTCCTGGACGCTAAACCAACAGCATTCCTCGTCATGAGTGAAGATGGGTGAGTTCATGAATGCTGAGCGACAGTGTGACGTAGATCTGTCAGGATTCTCTAATCCTTGAGTTTCACCGTCTATTTTCTGTCATTAGCTAAGGCAGGAGATGGGTGTAGGAGACTATTTTCAGGTGTAGGAGACTATTTTCATGTTCAGCCCGCATGAAAAACTCAGAGGGATTGATTATAATTTTTATCAGATATAGTGGCTGTAGAGATCCATCGAACCCATTGTTTATTAAACATAAATTACTGAAATTTCATGATTTAAAAGACTGGAAAATCTTAAGAAACATGTATAAAGCCAATTTAGGTACTCTGCCAACAAACATTCAGGGGATATTTGAAATGAGAACTAGTAATTACATGCTGACAGAAACTAATGTGTTTACAAAACCTAGATTTAGAACTAAAATTAAGGAATGGAATACATCTGTAGATGGTGTTAAATTATGGAATAACCTTAAAAGGGAAATAAAAAAAACTCATTTAATATATTCAAAATATGTACCAAATTGAGTGTACTAAATAATTATGAACATGTAAATTAAATCAATGATCATGATCACACTGGAATCTAGAACAGGAAAAAAGTTTAAAATGAATCTGTATGCGTGTCTGACAAATGGATGTTGTATATAAATTGATTATTTCTTCTGGAAAAGGGCAGAAATTATAAGATGTTTTTCTTCATTCTGCTCCTTTTCGTTCAAATTTGATTTTTTTGTTATATATTTCTTATTGTTTATATTTTTTATTTTGAATGAAATAAAAATAATAAGAAGAATTAATCATTACAAGATGCTTTTTCAGTGTTCCACGCCTTCATATTGTGAAAAATCTGCTCACCCTGCTCATAAACAGACCATCTGGAAAAAGATGCAGTTCCGTCATATCAAAGTAACAGCTTCATCCCTCAGGCGACCGATGCTGCTGAAATTTCCAGCAACACTCCCGACACACAACTCGTATATTTTTATACTTCTTTGGTTTTTCACAGATATCTTCTATTTTTTTTTCCACACTTAAATGTTTCAGATCAGCAAACAAATGTCAGTGTCAGATAACCTGATGAAATTAAACTGCAATTTTCAAACAATGATACTTTTTTGGTCAGCGGAGGTTTTTGTCCATTGATCATGCCATCATGCCATTTTTGACGCTCCGTCTCTTTTTGTATTGTTCAATCGTGACCTTTGATCTTGACCAAGCGAGGCCTGCAGTCCTTTAGATGTTGTTCTAGGTTCTTTTGTTTTTACTTTTCTTTAGAACGGAGCAGGATGTGCTGCTTTTTGAGATCTTTAAGCGGACATCATGTTATCTACTGAAGAGATTTGTTAAGTTACACAGGTCTGGTAGTAATCAAATACGGGTGTGGCTGGTGAAACTGAACTCAGGTCATGTGATTAATCACAAAGAAGGTAATTACGGTTTACACAGAGCCAGGGTTACTTTTCAACCCTTCAGTAAAATAATCATTTTGAAAGCGTTGTTTATATTAAAGTAACACTAAATAGTTTTTTAAACTTTAAGCTAGAGCTTTCACATTTATCTCTGTGACTGTTGGGTTAGAAACTTGACCAGTTTCATATCCAACACCACTCTAGAGGCTTTCTACAGACCAGATACTGCACTTCAGTTTTGTGGAGGGGGTAGGTGTTCTAGGAGGTGCCCTTATACATGCCTTATGGCAGTTAGCATTACTTTTACTTCCAAGCTCTGCCATGGTGTCAACAGAAAAGCAAACTTCTTTTTTTTCTTCTTGCGGTTTTATCGACAATCAGCAAATTGAAAATGCTAACTGTACAGAAAATAGCGAACAGCCGTAATGCATGTATACGAGCGCCCCCAGAACACCTAGCCCCTCCACAAAACTGTCAAGAGCAATTTCTGGTCAGCAGAGGGCTGCAGAGAGGTGTCAGATATGAAACTGGTCAAGTTTCTAACCCAACAATCACTGATATTGATGTTAAAACTAAAAAAGCAAGTGTTACTTTACCTCTGGTTGTGTTTGTCTGATAATGACATTTGTTTGCGGACCTCAAACATTGAAATGAGACACAAAAAGGGGATTCTGCTAAGAAATGTGAGTCTAAGCCTCGTGTGTGTTTTTGGGTTGTACCCATGCCATACCCTGCTCTCCAGCTCGGAGGGGAACTTGGTCTGAAACTTGCATGTCGTCCCTTCGCTGTAGTCCCTCTGGATGAACACTTTGTTGGCCAGAGACGCGCTGTGCCTCAACTCCTGCAGGTTATGAAACTAAAGAGGACAGAAACATTGTCAGTTTATTTAATCAGTCTCCAGGGAGAGTTCTCACCATGTGTACAAACAAGTGTGTGATCCGGAGATGTAGGATGATGGGAGTTGGAGCAGACAGAATATGATCAGTCACTCTGTAGCTGGTGTCTGCCATCATTTCTGCCTCGTTGACTGTTGGAGCAGAGCCCAGCATGGACATACTATCTCCTCCACACACAGATGATCTTCTCCCTCTGGTCTTACAGAAGGCATTTCACTACATCCGACAACAGATCAATAGTGGGGAAGCCGGATGAAGCAGGCTGATAAAGGCCACAGCAGCTTGTGCTGGTTAGGTTAATGGTTATTCTGGTAAACTGGAGGTCTGCATGTCGTGGCTTCTGTCCTTGGTGCTGAACACCTGCCTCCGGATTAACGTTCAACATAAAAAAAATCTGCTTTCACCAAAACAGCTTAACGTGGAGGGTGGGGGGTTGATCTGATGTTTCTGACATATTTCTGCCTCCATGTCAAACAGCTGCCTCTCAAATGTCCCAGCTGCAGCTTTTTGCAACATCAAGAAACAAACATTTCAGAAAACACGTTCGAGGAGTTTTAAACGTGCCCGTGACGACACTGGTGTGGTAATGTAGGACACAGCAGATTTAAATCAGTTGCGCCGTGAGCAGCAGGCTCCATGCCCTCACTGACCGCCAGCTGCACCCGACCCCGATTCCTTTTGTTTTCTTCTCAGCGAAAATCAACTAACGGGTTCGTTTAACCACAAGCAAAGCGCGGAATAGATAAAACAAGAGGTCTTACCTCTGTCGCCATGTTGCCATCCGTGGACGTGGGGAAGAATCCCTGCATGCGCTGAAATCGCTTTAGTAGGGTGAACAATGGGGGCGGGGCTAATACGCAAAGGGGCGTGGTCAGATTAGCGGATTTTTTGTTATGTTTTTCATATATTATTTTACATTTATATTTTATTTTTACCATGGTCCAAATGTGGTCCTCTGTTTAGTTGTGGAATTTGGTGTGTCAATAAAGTTTGATTGAATAGAGAGCAGTAATGATGCACGTCTAAACGTTTTAAAAGTCCCTCTAAAACTGAGTAACTAAGATATATGCAGTTTAAAAACTTTGGAGCAACAGCATGAACCTGAAGTTAAGAGGAGAAAGAGATTTTCCAACTGTGCAAAAATTGGTTATTTCATTCAGATGTGGGGGAAGCCATTATTTTTCTCATTTTGAGAACCAGTAGGTGAGTCTCAGTTTTATTCTGCATATTGAAAACTGGTGTCACTCTTATTTGCATGCACAAACAATACATTTGTACATAAAAAAATGCATGTCATTTTTTATTTAAAATACTAATATAATACAATATATATACTACTGCAAGCTTACGTATGTCAACTTTTATGATTTTGTTTATTTTGAAATTTATTATACAAATTTAGACTTTTTTTCCTACTGAAAACATTCTATGGGTTTGCCATGATATGTTTACAAAGCTTGACTTGTCGTCGTCTTCCTCCGCTTATCTGGGTCGCGGGGGCAGCATCCCAACTAGGGAGCTCCAGACCGTCCTCTCCCCGGCCACCTCCACCAGCTCCTCCGGCAGGACCCCAAGGCGTTCCTGGACCAGATTGGAGATGTAACCTCTCCAACGTGTCCTGGGTCGACCCGGGGGCCTCCTGCCAGCAGGACACGCACGAAACACCTCCCCAGGGAGGCGTCCAGGGGGCATCCTGACCAGATGCCCAAACCACCTCAACCGACTCCTTTCGATCCGGAGGAGCAGCGGTTCTATTCCGAGTCCCTCCCGAAAGTCCGAGCTTCTCACCCTATCTCTAAGGCTGAGCCCGGCCACCCTACGGAGGAAACTCATTGCGGCCGCTTGTATCCGCGATCTCGTTCTTTCGGTCATTACCCAAAGCTCATGACCATAGGTGAGGATCAACATAGGTAGACCAACTGGTAAATCGAAAGCCTGGCTTTCTGGCTCAGCTCTCTCTTCACCACCAGATTGGCTCAGCGTCCGCATCACTGCAGACGCCGAACCAATCTACCCGTCGATCTCCCAATCCCTCCTACCCTCACTCGTGAACAAGACCCAGAGATACTTGAAACTCCTCCCACACCCGAGATTTTGCCTCAGCAACTGCCACTGCTGCACCCCGCTTGGCTATCCAGTACCTGTCTGCTCCCTCCGGAGACCCACAGACCAGCCACGCCCTGTAGGCCTCCTTCTTCAGCCTGACAGCTCCCCAAATGTCTGGTGTCCACCAGCGGGTACGGGGGTTTCCACCACGACTGGCACCGGCCACCTTGCGACCACCGCTAGCAACAGCCGCCTCAACAATCGCAGAGTGGAACAAGGCCCACATGGCAGGAGTGAGCACCACCTCACCCCTGCCACGTGGACCTCAAGGGATAAATCATTCCTGCTCAACTTTCCTCGTGGGGTCACCCATAAAGACAGTGGTAAATAAACATTTAAAGGTCTGCGCAACTTCAAACAAACATGAAATATACATTTAAATAAAAGGCTTTAGACTTCAGGAATTCATTTAACATCTCGGATGTTTTAAAATAATCCTAAAAACTAATTTTCAAATCTAAAGTAAAATGTAATTTCTGAGCCAAGTAACTTTTTACGTCTGTTCCGAGGTGGTCACAGTTATGTTTAAAATGTCTAGTGTTCATAAAATGAGTAAAAAAAAAACATTTAACGAGTTCAAATTTCACAGTTTATTTTAATAACAATTTAACTTTTGAAATAGGACCAAATGTACACACAATCATTATGTCAAATGATAATCTGCACTTTTGGGAGATTTAAATTAAATATATTAGATATAGAACAGTTAGAATAAATTACAGTAACCATGTATATAGAATAACATTAAAAGCAAAGCAGTTACAATCATCTGTGTCTGATTTATGGTTAAAATCTACTTGATTGATGGGATCCACTTTCTGCGTTTCAACCCCTCACGACTGGTTCTTCAAGTCAAGTCCTGCTTGCAAGAGAAAGAGAGAGAGGGCGAGGCTTCCGACACTATTTCAGGTGGTTCCTCGGTCCATCCGAACAACGGTCATCCAGTTAGAAAAACTTTCATCCATTTAGAAGACACGCTTAAGCTCGTTTACCCACAATGGAAAAACATTATAAACGATGGAGGCAAAAGGTTAGTAGTAGATAAACGTCACAAAATGTTTTTTGTCCTGGACCCTCAGAGTTAGAAACGCCACGTGTTTCACAGCAGCTTGTGCTTTTTACTAAGAGTGATGTATATTTCTCTTGTATTGTTCCCTCTGCAACTTCTGAGGCTAAAAATAATGTAGCTATGTCAGGCGAGTATTATTGTAACGGTGAGCCTAATGGAGATCAGAGAAACCTACAACATGACACTGCTGATTACTCAAAGTCGTGTTTAGCCAGAAGCCCGTGTGGGACCAGGCTCAGCTGATGGCACCAAACGAAGACCTTTAACACTGTTACGTTTAGAGTTTACTTCGACTCGTTCTCGATCTACCTAAAATGACCCTGCTGCAGAGGGAAGATAAAAGCAAAAGCATTATGCTTTCATCCAACATTGCTGACTCCCCTATGAAGGACTGATTCTTCGCTCTGCCCAGAAAAAAGAAAAAAAAGAAGAGTACGTCCTTTGCTGTAGTGGTCAGCCTTTAAAACTCAAATTCCAGGCCATTACCGATAGTTCAAGCAGGAAATACACATTACAGCAGAAATCCCACAAGCAACATGAGGCTACGCAGGGATACAGCCGGTAAAGGCAGGGAGGTTCTGGAAGTCCAACATCTTTAAAAATGTATGAGCCTTTATGTGAAAACTGAGGCGAGTAGGTTTGGTTTTCAGTGAAGAGTTCTGGAGACAATAGCCACCTCACTGTAACTTGGTGAGGGAGGAATTACAGGCAGCACACACAAACACAGTTTCCCTCTGGGCCTCTGGAGCTGAAAAGGAGGAAAAAAAATCACAACTAAAGTGGGACAAAAACTCTAAAAACAGAAAGGTTTAAAAGAGAACTAGATACAAGCCCCCGTATAATAAATCTACCCTCGGCATCGTGTTTCGTTGATCTTTGTTTCCTCACCTGTAGCCCCCATGTAAGACCTCAACACCTTGAAGGAACAGCATCGAGAACAGAAGCTGTTGCCACAGTTACTGCAGTTCCTCTGCAATTCAAGGCGATGCAAGTCAATAACCAGTGCTGGTTAAAAAGGCTAATTACACGCAAGCATGAAGACTAAATCTGTGTAGCAAGCGTTCAGTCTCACCCTCTTCTTCAGAACTGAGAAAACCGCGCTACAACTGGAACAGCTGCCTGTGGAGGAAGACCAGGTCACAAACAGGTGGTTAAAGCACTGAATAATGATGCAAAACATGATAAATGTTCACCTTCATCACTGAGAGAAAAGATGAGGATTAGTCAGAGCAGACGGACCTGTGACGGAGGCAGGATAGCGTTTACGCAGTTTCTCCGTCAGTTTGGACACCTTACTGCGTATTGGTTCATTGCGACTCAGCAGGTCGTTCTCAGAAATTGGGTCATACTCTGGAGCTCCAAGAGGTCCATCATCATCCTCCTGAGGGAGAGGAGAGAGAGAGGACACAGAAATGTTTACATTTGGTTAAAAATAATCTAATCCAAGTGTCAGCAACCTGTGGCTCTGGAGCCACAATGGCCCTTTATTTCTACCAAAACAGATCCCAGATTGCAGCATTCGTGCCGCCACGCTTGGTAGTAAATATAACGCCGGACTTGTGAATGCACATTACGCCTAGGAGGGAGGTGTCATGATAACATGGGGAGTTACTGCTGCGCTCTGGTTGGCAACTATATTAAAAATGAAAGTAAACACGGGCCGTAAGTTTCTCTTATGTAAACAGAATCAGCTGAGATGATAAACTGGAGTGATGCAGAGCTCCAGGAGCTTTTCTCCGTTAAGAGTTGGAGCTCAGCTCACCCGAGAGTGCACGGGGACCGTGGAGGACAGACCCCTTTAGGAGCGGCTTCCATCGCAATAAAAAGCAAGTTATGTCCAAGATAAATGGAAGTCCACGGCAGCGCAGAGACCGTCCCCTGTACCCCCTTTATACCGTCACTGCATAATCTTTTTGCAAGAAGAACACAATTGCGCCATATTATTGCCAGGATCTGACCACTTATAAAAGACCTCAGGTTCTGAGATGTCAGCAAGTGGCATTGTTCTCTGAAAGAGGCGCAACTCTCACCGGGAATGAGCCTGACTTGCTGGCAATGTCTTAAAGCTCTGGCACCGGTCCTACCAAAGGGCCCAGTGCCTCACACTCCCCCACCACCCGGGTCTGTGTTACCAAACACACATCGTTTTGCACTGATTTTGTATCCTTTTTAAAAAATAATGTTTTTATACATTCCCTAACTCAAACGATCTCCTACATCAGGTTTGTACCTCATCTGCAACTTCATGTGACAACACGGTACAGACAATGAGATGATTTTTATATGTTCTGTATAAAAGACACGTGTTTTAATATCCACTGATAATTACAGACAAGGAATGACAAACTGATTAATTCTCAAACAAAACAAGAGCTAATGAATGAAAAAGCATCCGCCAGCAGACTGTTAGCATTGCAATGAACATTCAGACAGCAGCTACAATGAAAACTCGTGTAAATGTACATTTGTGGACTTGTGAATTAAGAATAAAAGCTTTTTAAAAACATGCTTTGATATGATATGGGGTTGGGCATCGAGAATCGAGCATCGATTAGAACCGGTTCCAACTGTTCATTTTTCCCGGAATCGCTCAAAGTTTTTTCTTTCGATTCCTAGAATGCCGACGGAAGAGAAATCCGCGGCCGATCTCCGTGAAGAATAAGCGTGATCTGCAAATTGTGATCAAGGCTTTTCAGAGCTGATCACACCAGCTGTCAGTGAGCAGCACCGAGTCCCCCCTCCCCCCACCCGGCGCGCAGCGGCCAGATATAAACAAACGTGTCTGCCGGACTTTTACTCCGTGATGTAGACTCTAACTCCTGCAGCGTAGAGGAAACTTGATAAATACGTCAACATGGTGGACTTAATAGAAGCTTTAAAGAACAAACTCTGGATGGTGTGAGGTGAGTTTGTCTCACTGCAGAAATAAAAGCACACACGGAGCGTCAGAAGGCTGAACAGTAACCTGTAGAATAATTAAAGTCATCATGCTAGAGCAGCTTCTCTGTGGTGGACCACACCAGCTTCTGCCACAATGAATAATAATAATAATTATAATAATAATAAATAACATTTAATTTCCTTTCTGAACTATTTCTGTTGAGTTTTAATGTTTAAAATCTGTTAGCTTGTTACCGACAGCAGCTACGTTTAAGTTTCACTTCCTGTTGTGACTGAATGCTGCTGCAGCATGGAGGTGTGGTTCTCAGCCATCCTGGACATGATCATCCTGAGAGCTTTAGCTGAAAACAGCTGGAGTTTCTGGATATGTTGGAGACATTTAGCCTCTCATCCCAGAGGCTTCTTCCAGACTTTGGTTGTGGTCAGAAACAAACACTGGTTGTGCTGCAAGTCTTTTTCTTTTCTCCGAAACACGTTTTTGTCTAAATGAAGGTGATGTTGTTGTTCATAGAGTTAAAATTCGTGTTGAAGTTAAGATTATTTCATCAAGTAGGACCTGTGGTTAGCTGGCTCGTGTAAAACATGTCATGTCTTCAAAGAATCGGAATCGGGGATCGATAGGAACCGGAATCAAAACGAGGAATCGGAATCGTTCAAAATCAAACGATGCCCAACCCTAGATATGGAATTTAACTATTAATGAGAATACTTTAGTAAAACAGGTAAAAGACAAGCCGAGCTGTGTTTGATCACAGGTGGAATCCACTTACCAGTACGAGTAATGGAGTTTCCTTAGCAGGAAACAGAACAACACATGGAAACAATGTTATTATGCACACGGGACATCCAATCACAAAAATACTTAAAACATGCTACAGAAAACAAATCAACAGCTGCACAACAAACCCCCCGCACAAAGCTAGGAACACACAATGTTTATGTGTCATAAAGGAAGTCTTCTGTTTTCAGCAAACAGGAAAAACTCACCTGCAGTGAAACCGAATTCTCCTGAGTTTGGAATGCAGCAGAATAGAAATAAGAGGTAGAAACTATTTAATCCGATTAGACATTTTTATTTTTCTGTACAGTGCTTATGAAACTATCGAAACATTAGCTAAGTGCAAGTTCCAATTAGACGTGTTTCAAGGGTTTTGACGATGAAAGTCTCTGGTCCTGCTTCTAAAAACAAACCATTTTCTATTTTAGGTTGATTTGGGCTCACACGCGTTATTCGCAGAAACATGAGCAAAGCGGTTTTATTTTAGGAATAATCTCAGAGCAACATATTTACCAGGAAGAGTAGAAACCACCGTGATAAATGCCCTCAGCTGGGATTGGGATTTTATGGCCTTTTCAAACTAACCGGACCAGCAGCTGCGGGCTGATGCTTCACAGCTTGGATGCAAATGTTTTGTCACACCTTATAACGTATTGCTCTGACTGGATGCCGGTCTAAAGGCGATTCATAATCTGTGCGCTGATGACACTGTTTTGAATGAAAAGATTAGAATAAACAGTCTGAAGTTTAGATTGAGAGGGCAAAACTGGGATGAAGAATATTAAAGGGCATTATTAAAATGTGCTTTTACCTCAATGGCGTCCTTAAACTCATCATCAGGTTCAGCCTCCTCTGCTTCTTCTACACTTCCAGGGGAAAGGTCCTGTTTCAAACACAAACCCATGCGGTTAGCAGTTGTTATGAATCTAGCATAGACTGATCTGAGCCCTTGTCCGTCCCTCGCACGGGGGAACGCAAACTTAACGAGGGAAGTGGTTCCATCTGTGCGGTTAAACCATGTAAAGGCCATGAGATTTGGGATAACTGGGTAAGAAGCTTACATCTGTGGAGGGGTTTAATGTAAACCACAACAGCTGAATGTTCAAGTACCAACAATCACATTCACTTGCTCATTTCTCTCACCTCTAGACTAGGGGGGGTTGGCGTCCTGTCCATCAGGCTGCCCTGAGCCTGGTCTTCAGGCAGCCCCTCTGAGGTCTGAGTCGGACCAAAGTAAAAGAGCTTCCGAAGGTCCAGAAGAACTGGGAAATCAGAGTGAAAACAGCAAATAAAACATTGCAATAATATTACTAGAAATGAGTGTTTCTTTTGTTTAAAGGAGCTAACCTCTGCAGAAGTCTCGGTTCCACAGGAAGACGACGGTGTTGAGCCCAGCAAGCACCCAGCCCACAGGAACAACATAAAGCAGACACACCACTGTTAGCGTCGCTCCATAAAACCTGCAGGACAAAAATGAGGATCGTGGTTTAGCCGCGGCATTCACGACGAGGAATTTAACAGAAATAATGCAAATTTACCTCACATTTGACACTTCAACAATAATTTCATAAAAAGATAATAACACACACATTTGTTTCTGTGTGTGTGTGTGTGTGTGTGTGTGTGTGTGTGTGTGTGTGTGTGTGTGTGTGTGTGTGTGCATACAGACCTTGAAGAACTGGTGTGACTATCCCAGTATAAAACCTTGTAAATGGCTTCCGCTGATTGGCAAGCAGAGGACAACATGTCATCCAGGTGCTTCAACCTGTTGGAAACACACAATCACACACACATTCAGTAAAAACAAATAAATGAAATATCAACAATGCCTGATACATTTCCACCAACAAATGTGATTTTCATAGGCCATATTTACTGTATTTACTGAGGAAATTAAACCAGGAGAATGCACAAATTCACAAAGTCCATTTGACTGGATATAATATAATATAATATAATATAATATAATATAATATAATATAATATAATATAATATAATATAATAGTCTTCCTCCGCTTATCCGGGTCCGGGTCGCGGGGGCAGCATCCCAACTAGGGAGCTCCAGACCGTCCTCTCCCCGGCCTTGTCCACCAGCTCCTCCGGCAGGACCCCAAGGCGTTCCCGGACCAGATTGGAGATGTAACCTCTCCAACGTGTCCTGGGTCGACCCAGGGACCTCCTGCCGGCAGGACATGCCTGAAACACCTCCCCAGGGAGGCGTCCAGGAGGCATCCTGACCAGATGCCCAAACCACCTCAAGTGACTCCTTTCAATCTGGAGGAGCAGCGGTTCTACTCCGAGTCCCTCCCGAATGTCCGAGCTCCTCACCCTATCTCTAATGGGCCATTCCCATCTGTACCGGGTCGGCCCGGGCCGGGTAGCGTAGGTTGTTTACATATCTGGGTGGCCTGGTATTTTTCCGGGCCAACCAAGGCTCATTCTCAGCCCTCTTCTCGAGGGGGTCTGCTTCAGGCCGACCAGGGCCAACACACCCACTGCTGACAGCAAATTCACACCTTCCATTAGAGCAAGCCTCTGATTGGTGGGTAGAATCAGCCCACATGGGCTTAAGGCAAGGATGTGTGGAACCAACCGGGCCAGGCTGGGGCCGACTGGGGCTACCCGGCCCGGGCCGACCCGGTACAGATGGGAATGGCCCATAAGGCTGAGCCCGGCCACCCTACGGAGGAAACTCATTTCGGCCGCTTGTATCCGCGATCTCGTTCTTTCGGTCATTACCCAAAGCTCATGACCATAGGTGAGGATTGGGACGTAGATCGACCGGTAAATCGAGAGCCTGGCTTTCTGGCTCAGCTCCCTCTTCACCACGACAGATCGGCTCAGCGTCCGCATCACTGCAGACGCCAAACCAATCCGCCTGTCGATCTGCCGATCCCTCCTACCCTCACTCGTGAACAAGACCCCGAGATATTTAAACTCCTCTACTTGAGGTAGGACCTCTCCCCCGACCCGGAGTTGGCAAGCAACCCTCTTCCGGTCGAGAACCATAGTCTCAGATTTGGAGGTACTGATCCTCGTCCCAGCCACTTCACACTCGGCCACGAACCTACCCAGCAAGAGCTGAAGGTCAGAGCTGGATGAAGCTAGGAGGACCACATCATCCGCAAAAAGCAGAGACGAGATTCTCCTGCCACCAAACTCGACACACTCCACACCACGGCTGCACCTAGAAATTCTGTCCATAAAGGTAATGAACAGAACCGGTGACAAAGGGCAGCCCTGGCGGAGTCCAACCCTCACCGGGAACAGGTCCGACTTACTACCGGCTATGCGATGCCCCCTCCATCACCCTTGCAAGGGTATAGAGCTGGTCCACAGTTCCACGGCCAGGACGAAAACCACATTGCTCCTCCTCAATCTGAGATTCAACTATCGATCGGACCCTCCTCTCCAGTACCTTGGAGTAGACCTTTCCAGGGAGGCTGAGGAGTGTGAACCCCCCATAGTTCAAACACACCCCCCGGTCACCATTCTTAAAGATGGGGACCACCACCCCGGTCTGCCACTCCACAGGAACTGCCCCCGATGACCACGCAATGTTGCAGAGACGCGTCAACCACGACAGTCCTACCACATCCATAGCCTTAAGATACCCAGGATAATATAATAGCTGCTAATTGCTGTAAATATTTGTTTTAAAAAAAGAGAGAGAAAGCAGAACAGGACACACACTTGAGCTAAAATAATTAGCTGCAGCATGCATCTTACAGGTCTTTGACTTCCAGCATGGCCTCCTGTTTGGTGAGGTGAACCGTCTGCAGGTCTTTGCGATGCACAGCGTGGTAACGCCTCTTCTGGAGATCCGCTTCAGAGGCTTTGCCCCCACACCTGTCCTGCAGGTAACCCAGGGCAGCCGGCGCCGATACAACCACCACACTCCCTGTGAACCAACCAACTGATACCAGAGGCAGATACAACGACTTAATGGATCAATAAAAAATATTTGGTGACATCACAATACCACTGGTTTAATATCTATGCTAAATGAATCACCCTACCTTCAGTAATTGTGCAAAAGAAGATGTTGAGGAATATACAAACGAGCAGAGAGCACAGTGGCATCTTCCATCTGTTTGACAAAACGTAAGATAGATTGAATTCTGACATTTACTACTAATGGTCAAAACAACCATATGATAATGTGTTTACACACACCCATACACACCCGAGTAACAGGTGAATGACCTCTACTGCGTCTACAATGGGTTCTAGATACAGAGCCATTCTCTTGTAGGATGTCACCATGTTCAGGAGGTCAAAGTTCAGAGTACAGCGGGGGCTCCCCAACTCAGAGGCATCTGGAGATCCAGGAGTCTCCTTAGATAACGAGTGCACCAGCTCCCCGCGTTCCTCTGAACTCTGCAGGGAGTCTTGAAACGTTCCAGTGTTTTGAGTCGCCATCTCTGGACAGAGTGAGGAAGATTTAATTATGTTGCAGACCTGATCTTCCATTCAGCTCAATTTATAGACAATATAGAATGTGTCAAACATTAATCATTGGTGAAACATGTAATGTTCCAACAGAATTCATGTTTACTTGGAAGAATTAAAGGTTCCAGATCATGCTTTTTAAATATTTGAAAGCAAAAGTTAGGCACAGTATATAATAAAATATTACTGTTGGCACTACTGAGGTGTCATTTATCTTAAATACAAGTTATTTTTGTCAGCGTGAATTTATACCTGGAAATAAAACGCTTTGTTTCAGTGAAACTCCGCCCACGCAGTTTTGCCATGTGCTGACATGGGTTCAAATCCCAGTGTGCAGTAATGTATTTAGCCAGCTGAACCAGATTTCAAGTTTTTATATTTTATTGATTATTTCCAGCAAAATATTTTGTGTCTCTAACATCTTCGAATTTGGTCATTTCGAAGCAGCATTTAAGTTGATCTACTCTACTCACTTCACATGGCTTCACACTGGCTAAATGAACAAAGAAAGTATAAAAAATAAAAAAAAACATATTAGTCCTTACTTTTAAAACTGTTTACCAATAAAGGGTTGAAAACAGAATAATGTCAAGTGTAGCCAAAAAAGAAGAAAAAATGTACTCTGCTCCTTCTGCAGCAGCTCTCTATTATACATGAGGTGGTTTTCTAATTTCCCTGTTTGTGACATCACAAATGGTAACTTTTTCAAGCGAGTCATTTTAGACATTTTGTATATTTCTCTGTTTTTCTTCTGAATGCATTTTTAAGTTATTTTTCTTTGAGTAATTCTAGGCTCATAATTCTTAAAATTCCACTGTCAGAAAACAGATAGACAATTTTAGAGTTTATATAAGCAGTAGAGACCCACGTGGCAGCACAAAAGGATGTAAAAGATGAGTTCTACATATTATCTTGCTTTACAGTTAATTTTGTATTATTTGCATTCAAAATGAGGCAATTTTCAAGGTTCAAACAAAAGGTAAAGCAAGACATACTACACAAAATAACTTGTGTTCAGACCAATATAAATCCAAGTGTACTGTGAATATCTAAGAGCCATGACCTTTATGACAGTCTTTATTGGTTTAACAAAACTTATTTAGATGACCGAATTATTAGAGCTGGCTCCCAACATACATGTTTAAACTGAGGTGATCAGTCCTGATGTAATGAACAGTCAGAAGGAATTCCTCGTCACTCCTGCTAGTCGCAGTTTTGGCCTGAGAAACGTCAAACTGAATAAACTAATTTAAACAATAAACTCTGCTAAGCGTTATCGCGGTAAATTAAAGAACATTTGATCCAAAAATAACTTATCCACTGGGTGAGGGAGATAACTTACTCTGAGGAGGAAACGTCCAACAACAGCAAAGTTGAGTTAGCAGCAGCGGAGGTGCTGAGAGGAGCTCAGGCAAAACTAGCGAGTCCCTCCGACATCATGAGACCGGAGGAAGGAAGAGCCTCCAAACTCAACCCGCTCGGACAACATGACTGCGGACTTTCTGTCAGCAGTTCACGAAGCGTTTCGAGCAGCTCCGGTGAGGAAAAAACAGGTACCCGTAGAGAAAACCACGGGACAAAGCAGCTGTTTGTTTTGTTTTTTGGATCAAGCTAATCTTTGTTAGCTCTGTGCTCTTGGGGACGCTCACTTCCTACTCAAATCCAGGACAACTAGCTGATGGCAGATAAAGACGAAGCCGTTCAAAGCTGTGGTTCAGTCGATCCCAGACCAGGTTTATCGATTGCCGCACAAAACAAAAACTGATCCAATTGTTTTAGATCATGTAATATTAATGAAGCGTATTGTGTTGATCAAAAACGTAAAAACAATTTAAAAAATCGAATGCTTTATTAACAACCTCGAGGAAGTTGAAGAAAAGTTGATAACATGAACAATCTGTAAAATAAGGCAGAATACATTTCAGATGTATCTATCACACAGTTGCTGACAGATTAAAAAGGAGATTTGAACCTGTGGCCAGGTGCTTGAAACAATACAATCTTTTATTAGGTCACACAAACATCTTATTTATTAAAGGCATCTTTAAACACTTGAATGCAACCATGTGCTTTTTCATTTTCTGAAGTGAAAGCTGACTTTTTTTGTTATATTATGTTTCCTTCTAAATCAAGTGACCTGAAATGTTCTCTTTTTGCAATTTCCTTCCACATCAATGTGCAGCATTCCACTCAGTGATGTCATGATTAAATACATCCTCTAAGTAAAACAAATTTGACAGAAATCTTGTTTGGCAAGAAAAAATCTGCTTATTTAGTGACTTTATTTCAAATAAATCAAACAAACAAATAGCACGTTGAATGAAGGGCAAAGGCGCAGCAAAGATTAAATTTTTATTTTGAGCCTTCATGAATACTGGGCAACAATTATCACTTCAGAAAACAAACCCACAACTGCAATTCTAAATTGATTCAAAATCATCCATTTACACACTTAATAAATACCAAAACATTGTTTCATTAATAAATTAGTTAAGTTAGTGATGTGACGTTCACGAACAAGTGGAGTCTTTTGAACGTGCTTTCAAAGAGAACGATGAGAGCCAAGTCCTAGTAGAGAACCGTTCCTCCTGTCGTCCAGTAACCCCCACCCCGATGATGTCACAGACCTCAGCGGAACACTAACCCCCCACCCCGAACATCAGCAGACTGTTTTTTCTACCAAAAGATAATGCAGGAGATATGCGTAGGACACCATTTTCACATTCAGCCTGCATGGAAACTCAGTGACTGTTCATTTTCAAAAATAATAAGTAAAAAATTGTTTCTCAGTGAAGAACCTCTTTAATATATTAAACAAGGACTATGATAAATGCTTGTTATGAGAACGCTGGTGGAATTTGAGCCCACCACAGTTTCTGAAACACTTCCCACACTGTCCGCAGACATAAGGCATCTCTCCCGTGTGGATGCGGAAGTGTCGGGTTAATGCTCCAGAGTGGCGGAAACACTTGGAGCAGACAGAGCATGTGTAAGGTCTCTCCCCCGTGTGGATCCGAAGGTGGGTCTTTAGATTCTCCTGACGGTTGAACTCTCGATTGCACACTGTGCATCGGAAGGGACTGCAGCCTGGTGGGTAGAGCTGCAGCCGAGTCCTGGTGCTTCCTGCTACGGGCTGCGGACAGCGCTGCTGGAGCCTCTGGCGGCACTGGCCGTAGTGGCGCCGCAGGTGACTGGGCAGGTGGAAGGTTTGACTGCAGAACTTACAAGTGTGAATGGCAGCACCGCTCCGGCCATTTTGAACATGGACTCCGACTACGTGTGGAGGAGCTAGGGATTCTGCGGCTGGTTCTGCTAGATGAAAGATGCTTGGAAACTCTGAGGAGCTGGACTGGAGGTCTGGTGGCGGTGGGAGGGCGGTGATCAAATTTGGAGGAGCTGCTGAAAAATTCCAAAGACTTTAAACTGCAGAAATCCTCATAAAAACACAGTTGATGAGTCTTGCAAAAATCTAACTAAGTAAACTAACTTCTGCTTTCTTGTAAATAACATTGTAACATAAGATGCCAAACAATAAAAAAAATTATTGTAATTTATTTTCTTACCCTGATCCAGCTTGTTGCTGAACATCTGGGCATTTGGCTCAATACTCTCCACATCCAGGACTTCTGGTGGCCACTTTATTCCTTCCAGACCTAAATCCTCCTCTTTAATCAGGTCAAAGCAGTAAGGTGCACCATTCGGTTCCTCCTCGGACTTCTCCTGTTTGATGATCATTTGTTCTAAGGTGGACGTGCCTTCTCTGTGGGGAGGCCGTGCTGATTCTGGAGCTTGTGGGTCCAGACACACCGGGATCACGCTTTCCATCTTCACAGCACCGACATGGGAGGAAACATCTGGGAATGCAAAAATAAATAAACATGCTTTGAACATATAAACAGTTTTTGCTTCAATGTTTCAGGTCTGCAAATAAATATTAACTGAAAATAACCAAAACACGTTTTACAAATGATTATTTAATACATTTTGGTCCCATGTGAAAACACACGAGTCTCTCTAGTATTATTTAGAAATGTTAGTTCTGTTTTATGAGCAACACCCTGACCTGATTACTGCCAGTCTTTTAGAAATCACTTCAATAAAATCTCATAAACTAGGCTAAAAGATCTCAAAAGGCAACACATCATTCCCCAATCTAAAGAAATGCAGGAACAAAATAACTCAGAACATCTAAAGCACTGTAGGCCTCACTTGGGTATGGTTAAGGTCAAAGGACATCAAACCATTTGTCAAACATGGCAGTGGGAGTGTGATGATCTGGAGCTGCTTTACGACCTGAACCACTTCCTGCGACTGATGGAACCATGAATCCTGGGCCGTTTCTGTGCACTCACATCCTTGTGAAACGTCATCAACGTTGGCCCAAGTACTGTTCCAATCCTAAGTACGCATCATGGCAAGTTCACTCAAAGTTCCCAGATGTGTTCTTGCTCTGCCCATTGTATTGCATCAATGCATTCTTCTGCAAACTCGGGACAGCAATGTGTCCCACAATGCATTGTGTCACAAACCGTTGTACTCTGAACGTCAGGAGAAAGCTGGTGTCTGTAGATTTATGTCAGAAATACTAATAAAGGAACATTAAGTGGTTTGTTATTGTAAATAAGTGTGTGTAACCTGTAAAATGTGCTGTGTGTTTGAATTTTACTCTCCACAATACCTCAAATACTAATTAGCTAACCCACTAACAAAATAAAAGCAGCGTAGCTCTGATTTGATGAAAAATAAACTTTTATTCATTTAACAGCGGGAAGTGGTATTTTATCAGTTTTAATCAAAAGTGGACCAAATATAATACAAACAATATGTTTTCACTGTTCTTTTGTTATTTAAGGAACAAACTAGACTTTTATTTTTATGGCAGGTCATTTGTCTAACGGTAGCAACAAGCAACCCTTGTTGCCATAAAGCAACAGAGGCCAGTTCTGGTCCAAATGTCATTCTCATCCTCCCATACTCGGTAGAACGGACTTTCTGGTGTCCTGGCCAAGAACATACTCACACAAGAACGTAACGGCGTCCTTGAGTACTGAGAAACAGCCCTGCTCTCTTCCAGAAACTCCAGAAGAATGTCTGACCTTTGACCTTAAACAGGTCAAACTCCACAGAGATGAGGCTTGTTACCAATTATTACAAACACTTGATTTAAAAGACGTTTGTGTTCAGATTTTTACTAATGAGGCCTACTTGTGAGTGGTACAAATATAAAAACACGAAATATATACATTTCCATTTGTATTTTGAACGAAACATGTTTTTTTCCTGTGGCCCACTGACCTAACTTGATTAATTTGGAGACTGCGCCTCTCGAGATAAAAATTACAAGACGCCTCACATGAATAACATTTAAAGAGCAAGTCACCCCCTACCAGAGTCTAACTCCACTCCCACTTCATGTTTGAAAAATGCAACAAATGCTGTTGCCTGGCAGACCAAGAGGGCGGAGCTGCTAACAAATACACACACACAGGCTGTGTCTCAATTCAGGATCTGCATCCTTCGAAGGACCCAGCCTACTCGGCCGACGTGGGCTGGGTCCTCCGTCGGCTTGGTAGACCGGATGTTAACGGCTGTGAATTTGGACAGGCCTAGCCTTCATGAATTCCCGCCTCTACATCGGCGAACGTTCCGTCGCCTAGCAACCGTGGAACCGCTGAGCAGAAGGGAGAAGGAACTTTAAGCGATGGAGCTCGAAGTTTTATTTAGATCTTTAATCATTTTCTTGAGTGTTGGAGAGCTAATTCGGTGAAAATACTTTAGACAAGCTGAGCCTGAGCAAAGATGTGATAATAGTTTTTAATACTTTCTAAGGGTCTTGATTTGACCAAAACCGATTTATCACCTTTTAAGAATTTTCAGACCCAGCGGGATACCCTCTAGTAAACAATTCTCATTTGTAAACCAAAATAAAATTCAAGAGTTTAATGCAGAACTGATTTTATTTAGATATTTCTTTTATATGTACATGTTTAATCTTTATTAACCATTTTTTTCTAGCAAAGTAAAAAGCTGTCAAAATTCTCCCTTCTCTCCTGTGCCCTCTGCTGCTCTGCCTCCCTCTGCAGCCTCAAGTCCTCCCTGATCAGATCCAGAAGCTGGTCATCGCTGTCACCTTCCCCTGGATGCCCATTTTCTCCAGAATAGTCTTAACAAACATGTAAGAAAAGAAACAGGAAGAGAAAAGAGGACAACGGGTTATTCCTTTCATGTTTTTGCAGAAAAAAATAAACTCAAACGAGTTTTTAAAACATGAGATGTTATTGTACCTCCATGCCACAGCCGCCGAATACTTTGCTCCAGTGATCATGTGGTCCATCTCCGCCCTAAGCTTAATAAATTCCCTGGTTTTCTCTTGTACCTAAAATACAAACTTCTATTAAAATCAGGGGGAAACGTAGCGGGAGAAGTGCGACACCGAGCGGCCGAACATACGAGCCGAGACCGCAATACAAGCACTTTTACTGTAACATTTCTAACTAAAATAACGTTCATGTATCACCAAAAGCCCTTAACCTAACAGTTTTCAAGTTTATACTGACATTTATATGTGCAATCCTCTCCGACAGCTCCCGCTTCACTGTCCACCGTTTTTCTGCCGGCCGGCCCGCAAGGCATCTTGGGAAATGCTACCCATTGAAGGATACACCCGACCCATCCTTCATTCAGGCGAAAAGAAAGCCGCATTCATCGACGGCATTTGAAGGAGTCTTCGAATTGGGACAGGCCTAGTCGCGGCGCTGTGACGTAACCGGCCGACGTAGGATGCAGACCCTGAATTGAGACACAGCCCCTGGCTCACGACAGCATTGTGACATCATAATGTACCAGTTTACATCATAGCATACCTCTTAGCCAATAGCGGTGGCAGATATGAATTTTAATACAGTGCAGAGTTTTTACCTGACAACGGCACAACACTGCCAGTTTTAGGCAGAATATTTAAATTTTAACTAAGATGCACTGAAGTGTCAAATTATTGACTACATGTGTCTGCAGCACGATTAGACACTCGTTTATTTAGTTTATAAGCAAAAAAAAAGTTTATTTGGGGGTGACTTGCTCTTTAAAAAATCCCAATGAAAAAGTGGAAAATGCTAAATTAAAGAGTAAAAGATAATAGAAATGAAAATATAAACACAGAAGCCCAGAAAGGACAGAAAGACCCACATGAGGAAGAAGATGAACAGGTCATCTTGCAAATTTGTCATTCATCTTGAAAACTTTGGACATTACAACCTGAAGCGAATAAAGTTAGAAAACACCTGACAAACCTGATTTGTTAGAGAAACCCTACACACCTTTAGGAGCACCATTATTCTGTTCTTTCTCCAGCTCTGAAGATGAATCTTCACCTTGTCCCACCACCTCTTTGTTAGACCTCAACTCCTCACGTTTCTCTTCAAATTCACCCAGGAGGTTCAAACTTGCACAGCTGTGACCCGAGGCATCACCTTTGACCCCATCACTCTCCGCCCCGCCCCTGGTGTTTAAACTGTCCTCCTGTTGCCGTTGGTCTCCTGGTGGACTAAGCAGGCTGCCGTTACTTTCCTCCAGGCGGACCGACTCCAGCAAAGCTTCCGCTCGCTGCAGCTTCTCTTTCAGGGACTCGTTCTCTCGCTGCAGCTCTTCGTAGATGTCGCTTGTCGCCTGGCCGACGAGCGTTTTCACTTCTCGAACCGCGATCTCCACGGCCACCTCGAAAGCTCCGTGTATCACAGCAACGAGCTCCTTTTGCAACGAAAGCACAGCCTCTGTTCCGCACACTCTTCCCGCAAATGTTCGTTTTTGCGTGCCGGCCATCTGCGGCTTCGTGATTTAGCGCTATGTGAGAAGGTTATATGGTTTATTCAAAAGCGTAAATAATGGAATATCTCATTGATGTGCTGAGAACCGCAACTTCCTTCGCAAACTAAACGTCACTTCCGCCGCTTCACAGCGACACCTCGTGTTTTCTCTCGTAAATTACAATAAAAAAGGGAAAGTTTATCATCCATCCAAAATTATTGAAATGAGACGAGGCACAGTTCTTGTAAATCTGTTTCATTGTGTCTTTCATGATTTTCTGCATTTGTGATGGTCCGAACGAGACAGAATCCAACCACAAGGACCCAGGATGGTCACAAAGATCACAGTCAGGACAAACAAGGATTCCTGCAAAGAAAACATTCACATTTTTAGTCATGTCGGTGACAAACTAAAGTCCTAACATTCTTTAATATGCTCTTGTGAGATGATTTGCAAAAGCTAATAAGGCCTTACGCTCTAATCCTCTAGGAGGCCAACTGCGGACATAGGTTGCTCGTTGCTGAACACACACTCCAGAAAATGGAGCCCTTTGAGCTTTCAGTAATCCAACAAAAATTCTAGATATTTTGTTGTCCGCAAAAAGCCAAATGACTGAAGAACTGGTTCAAATTGCCTAAAGGGACACTGCACATGCTACAAAGGTTAGCTGACACACCAGTAAATTAATTGGTGTTGCTTTAAGTACTCCTGGGGAAAAAATGGAAATTAGATTGGAAGAAATAAATGTTTGTTTCATATATTTTATTTGGCTGCATGTTTAATTTTTTATGATTTAAAGGAGCTCCTTTTTATTTAGGCTGAACAAAATCTAGCACATTATATTTTTCTTCAACTCAACCCCACGTGTCTGCTATTACTGTTGCTTGTATGGTTCCATTTGTAAATACATAAATGAGGAAAGAAATAAAGGTATGGAAGAAGAAATAAACCTGAAAATAAATACATTTGGAAATACAAACATTTTGTAATGTTTTTATTTCTTTAATATTTATGTATTGTTCATTTTGGCAGGATGACTTCTCCTCACACACCAGACCCCCTGCACGTCCCTTGCAACCAAAGGGCAAATTGAATTTGAATTCCTCTTCCCTTTCAGATTGTGTTCTACATTTGAGTCCGCCTTTGCACAACACATTTGGTCTCTTCCATATGAAGAATTAGGTTGCATGGTGACCACCCATTAATCAGGAAAGAGGTCTGGGACAAGTGGGCTCTAGGCTGCAGAGCAAATTATGTCCTAACAACTAGGGCTGCCACAAATGACTATTTTATTAGTCGACTAGTCGTTTGGTGAAAAATAGTCTCGACTAATCGAGTCATTCATAAAAGTATAGCTTATTGCACCAGGATGCTCTAATACCCATCACTGGCTTCTAGTTCTATGTGTGATCAGTTATGTGCCATCTAATAATAAAGACAAGAGCTTATCAAACTGCTTTTAATGACTTTTGTTGCAACAAATGCTACAGTGTCAAACAGATCAGATGTATGCAACTGAAAACTAAAATACAAAAGAAGACTTGAGCTCACATGAAATGTAACCAGCTAAATAATCACACAAGGTCCCGGTTTACACTCAGGAAAGTTAGCATTTCCACATGTTCAGGACAAAGGCTTGCTCTCTGTTGAGAGCAGATGTTCCCAGCTGCAGAGAAGATCTGCTCAGATGGCGTTGAAGTGGCAGGGATGCACAGAAAGGATTTAGCAAGCTTAGAGAGAGTGGGGAAACGACCCTGATTTTCCCTCCACCATTTGAGAGGATCATCTCTCTTAGAAATCGCAGCTTCACCAAAATACACCCGCACTTCCCCTCTCACTATCTGGACCCTTGGACAGGCAGGATTTCAAACTTGGCTAAAACCTCTTCTATCCAAGTCGTTATATTTGTACCAGTGTGCCTCTCCTCTAGAGGCATGGTGGCTAGGTTGAAGCTTTTCATGTTCCAGTCTCAGAAAATGGCAGGAAACACCAAGGTGCGCCTCTGTCGCATGGCTGGTCCACACGTCTGCAGTCAGGGAGCCAGTCCCAACTCTGAGGGTCTGCTTTACCTTAAAGATAAAATATATTAAAGTTAGTTCATTTGCCGATGTATTGTTAATTCATAAAGCACGTTATGAATTAACATGGAGAAAAATATATATATTATGCTTTAACTTAAATTATATTAGATTCAAACTGTTCAAAATGTAAACAGTGAGCGACACGAGCACTAAACAAAGGGAAAAATCGAGCCTGAAATTGTTTTTGCGATCAAAAACAAAACTCCTCCAGCATTCCTTCACCTAGTTCATCAGAAGAAGTTGCGCATCTATCAGGGGCTCATAGAGAGCGGTATGTTAACTAGCTTACCAACGTTAGCTCACGTTCTCTCTGCAGCTGTTCATCGATGTAAACATGTGGCTGACTTTGCCTAAATTCACCCCGCTGGATTTATAACTTTATGTTGTAAACAGCGTTTCACTTTACACCAAAGCTGATTTTTAAAAGTCCGGATCACTACCAGTTTCTGTTGCTGGTGGTGTTACCGGGTTCAGCTGCTGCTCTCACACCGGAATGAGAAGATCTCTGAACGCCGACGCTCATATAAATAAATAACGTAATTTTAACACACGTAACCATACATCGGAGCTTTAATGTTGTTAATAATTGTCTCGCTTTACACTACAGTGGACGGAGCACAGCCTCCGTGGTGAAACACCCATCCATCAGGATTACCAATAACTTGTATAAACACATCACATTTATCCCTGTCCCCGTCTTCCTCGTGAAATAAATGTAAGTCTGATCTCTGAATTGTGTGTACTGAAACTCTAATTTCCCTCTGGGATTAGTATCTTTATTGATGTTAATCTTACCATGTTCGCTGCAAATCTGAGGCCTGATAGTCCGCTTGATTGATTGATCGCTCCGTCCTCAGTCTCCATCAAAGTTATTAAAAAGAAAAAACGAGTTGAGTTTACGTCCTTGTCTCTTAGTGCAGCCAACCACGCAGCAAGCTAAAACCATTCTGCTGTCAAATCAACTAAATAAAAGCGATAAAAGGCTACAAACAAACTGGCTTGTTTTGATATCATTCACTTGAGGTTCTACGTTCTTTTTGTCGTCCATCATGGTGAAGGGGACGGTCACATGAGTGGCATGACGTCACGTGCAAAGAGTCAATAATAGAACTTGATGTATTCCCTTGTCTGATTGGACGGTCATGGTGTACGCTCAGTCTGACCAATGAGCGAGTAGCGGCTTTACTATAAATTGTCGGCGTCGCGTTGCAGGTCATACTTTCTCACTAAAGCTTGAGAAAAAATATTTAATCGCTCACAATGTCTGGACGTGGAAAGACCGGCGGGAAAGCCAGAGCAAAGGCGAAGACTCGCTCCTCTCGTGCTGGACTCCAGTTTCCAGTTGGTCGTGTTCACAGACTACTGAGGAAGGGAAACTACGCTGAGCGCGTTGGTGCTGGAGCTCCCGTGTATCTGGCTGCTGTTCTTGAGTATCTCACTGCTGAGATTCTGGAGCTGGCCGGAAACGCTGCTCGCGATAACAAGAAGACCAGGATCATTCCCCGACACCTACAGCTGGCAGTCCGTAATGATGAGGAGCTAAACAAACTGTTGGGCGGTGTGACGATCGCTCAAGGTGGCGTGCTACCCAACATCCAGGCCGTTCTTCTGCCCAAAAAGACTGAGAAACCCGCCAAGACGAAGTAAAAGTCCTGCAATAAACCACCACAAAGGCTCTTTTAAGAGCCACCCACATAATTTTTAAAGCAAATAAATCCTCATTCTCACTAGTTGAATACAAGTGAGCATTATAGCCGTATTAGTGATCAGAAACTTTTAACTAACTGCGTGGTATTATATTATAAATGTAATGTGGTAGGTTAGCACCACTACTTGATTAGTGCTATCACCTTATGGAGGTTTCTCTTCAATGCTAATTGTTCTATTGGGTTTAGTGAAAGACCTGGTGGGTGAAACTTGTAGCATGGAAAACTACTAAAGACCCGTTTATCTGCCCAGCACACTCTCAAGTCATACAAAATAATCCTGCTGGACCGCGTTAATGACACTAAAAGTATTACGTAATTTGGGTTTAAGTGTGAGGTTACTACAGATTTGTGTATAAATGCTCTGAAGAGATCGTGACCAAATAAAATTCAGTCTCTATACTTAAATGCATCCAAGGTAGATAACAAACCATCCATAAGGCTGCTGCAAAGAGTTGTACCTGTCAAACTCTGTAATTTCGTGCTTCCAAAAAGGTAAAATATCTCAGTCAGGTATATATTTTGGGGAATAAGTTTAGGTCTTGTTCTGATAAAGTAGAGAACTTTGTGTAAGGTTTATTGCACATGGCCCACTTAAAGACTATAAGAATAGAATATGTTTAGGTTGCAGGTTGCTTACTGATGCTCCTATGTTTGATAAGCCTAGATGGATGAATGGAAGTGAGACTTTTGTAAATGTGTGGGTAAGCACCCTACAAGCTGTCTCAAGATATTTTATTTGTAGGCTGAACAATTCTAAAAATGTGATCGTTTTAAATCTAACCAATACCAGTGATTGCAACACATTACCAGTCAAAGATGTGGAAACACTGGTATAACAGTCTTTTTTAGATTAGGGTGTTACAATAATTTATACATTATTTTCACACAACTGTTATTAGTGTTTCTTGTTTGTGTTTGTCATGATTTTTTTGTTTATTGTGTCATATTGTGCTTGTCTCATGTTATCTGTACAATTTTTTTTTTTTACTTCTGTGAATTGGTCCAGAATAAAGAATACCTGACTTATTCTGGGGTCTTAATGCTATCAACCTTGACTTAAAAACAAATAAAACATTTAAGTCCAAAATAGTAAATATTTGCAAAGAAAGATTTTGGTCTAGTTCACTAGGCTAACATTTTGGTGATGTTATAAAATGCGGTTACTTCTTAGCCTAGTGAACTAGACCAAATTCTTGCTTTGCAAAGTAAATAATACATTTATTTAGTCTGGCTTGCCAGGCTAATTACTTCTGGGATTTAGTTCGTTTAAGCCCCACCCAGACTGGTCCCTCGGCTTGTTTTCTATCACGTTCGCATATCACACATATAAGTGTGTTACTTGTGCCCTGCAAGCTATTCGTCTTTGGTTCGTCGATCAAACGGAAACATGAGCGGTAGAGGCAAGGGAGGGAAAGGACTAGGCAAAGGAGGCGCTAAGCGTCACCGTAAAGTTCTCCGCGATAACATTCAGGGAATCACAAAGCCTGCCATCCGCCGTTTGGCTCGTCGTGGCGGAGTCAAGCGTATCTCCGGCCTGATATACGAGGAGACGCGTGGCGTTCTCAAGGTCTTCTTGGAGAATGTGATCCGCGATGCCGTCACCTACACTGAGCACGCTAAGAGAAAGACCGTGACTGCTATGGATGTGGTGTATGCTTTGAAAAGACAGGGCCGTACTTTGTACGGTTTTGGAGGTTATTTGGTCCTGGATAAACTGAAACTCAACGGCTCTTTTAAGAGCCTCCCACCTCAGTCTAAAGTGCCAAATCCATATTTACTTGTTATCACTGGTAAAATCAAATTTCCAAAGAAGTCAGCTTGTCAGCAGTATTGCACCAGCTTGCTTGCACATTTAATGTTGTAGATGTTATCTTTAAAAAATATAAATTTATATAATTATTCACATGTCCTGTTTCATATACTAGTTTACTATTTAACAAAGTAAAAATCTGAGTTTCAATGTGTTTCCATTCATAACCTGACAAACATTCTTATGGAAATGCTGAAAATGGTAGAAGGACTGGTTAAATGGGTTAATCTGTAAAGATCCAATGAGATCTATTTATACATGTATAGCTTTCTGGAATTATGTTCATATGTTGTAAATGTAGGTCCACCAGGAGATGTACTTCACATGTGCAAATAAAGTCCATCATGTCCCTCTGAAATCAGTTGTGATAAAGCTGTGCTTCCTTGCACGGTTAATGAAATGATAAATTTAAATTGCTAAGTTTTTAAGAAGTCCAGTAGTGACATCCTCGCATGTCTTGATCAAGGCTGTGAAAGACAAGTGGTGCTCGCTGCAGAACCACAAAGGTGGAGCTGCACCAGAAGGTGGAGCTGCACCAGGGTCAGCCCCGCCCATTCCATCAGAGTCAGTACAATTCCTTCCAGTTGTCAGACTTGATAGCATTCTGGAACCAAAGAGGGTTTTATAGCTAAAAAATACAAGATTGAGGACGGAGGTGAGAAGTTAACTGAACAGTTTTTGTAAAGGTTCCATATAATTAAAAATCTAACTTTTGGAACTTTTTATCATGTTATATTGTCATTTCCTCATAAGAAACACGCCAAAGCCATTTTTGGCCTCATTCATGCATTTTCCTCCCATCTCAGCTTCAATTTGGTCTCCTCCCCTGAAGTGGGTCTGGTCTTGGTTCTCAAATCTGGATATTCTGTGAATTTTCTGACAAATTATTTCTGAAATGACTTCTACTGAGACACCGCCAATAAACCATAACCTAACCCTAGCTACACTTGCCAGTACTATGTTTACAACAATTTACTGGTATACCGTTTACAATACAATGACTAATGTGTTTATTTATTTATTCGTTTATTTAGCCATTGTGAGTCCATTTGTGAGCAGAGTTTCAACTAAAATGCTGTTTAGGAATGACCAAATTCAAAGAACTTTTAGAGACATAAATATTTTGCTGAAAATAAACATTACAACTAAAATATAAACAAATTCAATGTTTCAGCTGGCTAAATAGATTGATGCCGACCCCACCGAGAATCGAACCAGCATCTGCTGAGGGGGAAGCAAAATTTGCTTCAGATGATCTTACCACTGGACTATCAGAGGACATATGACAACCACCCATGCTGTTGCACCATATTATTGTTAGAGCGGCTGTGGGCAGATATCTGCTAAAAGAAATCGTTTCATTTCAAGATGTATTCAGGCTTTGTCATGTAGCAAGTTATATTTATCTTGTTTAATTGGAGCATAGAACATAGCATTAACATTTGTAAAGTAGTAACAGCCGTAATTCATGTGGGTCAGGTTAGTTTGCGATGAAGTTGGAAAACAAAAACGGAAGTCAGTGGGCTAGGCTGAGTTTGCGTGAATGGGCGGGGCTGACCCTGGTGCAGCTCCACCTTATGGTGCAGCTCCGCCTTTGTGGTTCTGCAGCGAGCACCCTCTCGTGAAAGATGTGGAATTCATGGCCAGAAAACATGTTTCATATTTCATTTGTTTTTAAAATAGCAATAATAGTTCTTGTTTTAGAATACCAACCTTTTAACATATCTGAGCAGTCTCGAATTGGAGTCAACTGTCATTAAAAGGCCAAATGTTTGCTGGGGATCCTTACTTATATACTGTAGTTTTGAAAAATATAAAGCATAATGTACATATGTCCAGTTCTCCAAGAAGTAGTCATGTTACAATCATGCCTCAAAACATTTTATATGCCAGAATGACAAAAAATAATGCAAGTCAAAGGGGCTAAAATCGCTGTTTTCTAATTCCGTTTGCTATGTACCATGGATTTCACATGACATCCGTGAATTTTAAAGAGTCATCTTGATGCCAAGAATGTGCGTATTTTCAAACAGGAGAAATGTTGTTTTAGGTTTTGTGTTCAAATACGTCCAGGACTACAAATGCACATCACCTATTTGATGTCATCGAACCAGACACAGAGAAGAGCAGAGGCTGTAAGTTAAGCAAACGTCAAATCCTTCCTTCAGAGCTAAAGAACCACCATAAATCTGGCCATTTGGTAAGTAGCAGCTACGCTAGGAGAGAGGTGATTCTCTGGTGATGGTAAATGGTAAATGGCCTGTATTTGATATAGTGCCTTCTAGAGTCCTGGAACCCCCCAAGGCGCTTTACAACACAATCAGTCATTCACCCATTCACACACTGGTGGTGATGAGCTACAATGTAGCCACAGCTGCCCTGGGGCACAGTGACAGAGGCGAAGCTGCCGAGCACTGGCGCCACCGGTCCCTCCGACCACCACCAGCAGGCAACGTGGGTTAAGTGTCTTGCCCAAGGACACAACGACAGTGACAGACTGAGCGGGGCTCGAACCTGCAACCTTCCGATTACGGGGCGAGCACTTAACTCCTGTGCCACCGTGATGTCATTTAAAGGCTGATGAGTACGTTAGGGTTTTTAGTTTTGTTTTAAACAACTCTAGAGTTGGGGCAGATGGGGCAGCTGATTCCATATGTGAGCAGCATAGTAACTAAATGCATCTCCACCATGTTTTGTTCTGACCCGTGGTTCTGAAATAGCTATTTTAGCTCCATTAAACAGCATTTAATTTTTTGTTCTTCTGGGGACCCATGAGCTGACCGGAAATGGAGAAAAACATTCAGCAGATTGCTGTTTATCACCAGCAAACTAAAAGGTAAGAGAATATAAATATGACTTTATATTTTAGAACTTATTTGCAAAGTCAAAACAGGGAGAAATACATTCAAACAGACAAAAGGCAGGCCTTTGAATCACCCCTACAGTCTGAATAAAGCTTTCTGTGGAAACGTCACTTCCAGGGTCTTTCGATGAGCTCAGCCAATCAGATGCGGGAAACAGCACAGAGTTATTTACATGCAGTCCATATAAGTAACGCTTCCACTCCTTTCATTTTCAAACTATCTGTGTACCAGAGCACGATGCCTGAACCCGCGAAGTCTGCGCCCAAGAAGGGCTCCAAGAAAGCGGTGACTAAAACCGCCGGGAAAGGAGGAAAGAAAAGAAAGAGGACCAGGAAGGAGAGCTACGCCATCTACGTTTACAAGGTGCTGAAGCAGGTCCACCCCGACACCGGAATCTCGTCAAAGGCCATGAGCATCATGAACTCATTCGTCAACGACATTTTTGAGCGCATCGCCTCCGAGGCTTCCCGCTTGGCTCACTACAACAAGCGATCCACCATCACCTCAAGGGAGATCCAGACCGCTGTCCGCCTCTTGCTCCCCGGTGAACTGGCCAAGCATGCCGTGTCTGAGGGCACCAAGGCCGTTACCAAATACACCAGCTCCAAGTAAACTGCCAACTACTAATACTCCAAAGGCCCTTTTCAGGGCCACTCCAATACTTTTAAAGCAGCAGTCTGATTTTTGGTTACATGTGCTTTTAATGGGTACTTCTGAGTTTTCCTCTACTCTTTGAGTGCAGTGATCCCAATTGCAATGAGTGAACGGATAAGTGCCAATGTTTCACACATTTTAACTTGAGTGACCATGAAAGGAAGGCAAACTTAGTTATTTTTAAAATTTGTTGTACTCAGCTTCATATTAAATAAACTAAATATTTGCTATAACTACATTATTTCAATGTTCAGTTTTGGTTGAAGAGGAAAAACTGCCAAAAAAATCTGGTAGTAAGCCAAGCTGTAAGAACCGGTTCTTTAATAAGAGCCGAAGTTCCCACTACTAAAAACCTGTTTTAAACCAATTTATCAAACACATCACTGTAAAAATCAATTGCCTACATCCAGGTCACATCCTCCTGTGTCAGGTTTGGGCTGACCTGAACCTATTGGTCCACTTCATTACTGTGCTGTTTTGCCTTACATCATGTGTTGAAATGTGGAGGAACTTATAAAATCTATTTAAACTTGAGAATCCCAAAGTTATTTCGATTGCAGATTAGACCAGAATAATTAAGAATACATATCAGTGATATGTTGGTAATTTAAAACCAAAATGCAGATTTGTTTTGGCAGTCTGAACTCTAAATTAACAAAGCTGTTTATCCTTTTCTGTTCATATAAAGAATTGTGTTCTAAACTGAACAGTTTGCGAGAAATGTTCTTTGAGCCATAACTACAAAGCTTTTGTTTTAAAACACAGTAGAAACCTGTAGTTTTCCTGCATTTATTTCACTTATTTTGTTGAGAAGCTGTTAATCAGGTTTTCTTGTGCTTTGAAAGTTCAAACACTTTAAACCAATAGCAAAACAGCTGAAGATGACGTGACGTAAACTGTTAAGCCAATCAAAGCCGACCACCCCGCCGCCAGGCTCTTTATAAGGAAGCCATTTCTCCATTGCACTCATAGCTTCCAGCTAACCGAAAACAAACAATGGCAAGAACCAAGCAGACGGCTCGCAAGTCCACCGGAGGTAAAGCTCCTAGGAAGCAGCTCGCAACTAAAGCTGCCCGTAAGAGCGCCCCGGCCACCGGCGGAGTAAAGAAACCTCACCGTTATAGGCCCGGCACCGTGGCTCTGAGAGAGATTCGCCGGTACCAGAAGTCTACCGAGCTCCTCATCCGTAAACTGCCCTTCCAGCGTTTAGTCCGTGAGATCGCTCAGGACTTCAAGACCGACCTCCGCTTCCAGAGTTCCGCCGTCATGGCACTGCAAGAAGCTAGCGAGGCTTACTTGGTCGGTCTCTTCGAGGACACCAACCTGTGCGCTATTCACGCTAAGAGGGTCACGATCATGCCCAAAGACATCCAGCTGGCTCGTCGCATCCGCGGAGAGAGGGCTTAGATTTAACCAGACATACCAACCCAACGGCTCTTTTAAGAGCCACCAACATTGGAAAGGAGCAAAATATCCGACAAAATGCGTCGTACAGTTGACATTATAATTTGCAATGTATTTTGACGTACCATGGACTTAAACGTTAGCTTGTGAATTTGACAGAAATGCTTTATAGTGTTCGGAGATAACCGGCTCAGCACTTCATTACTGCCAAATTTACAGTAAAGATATTCATCACGAAGCAGTGCCACATAACTTCTGAAGCGACATTTTTTGATCAACTTTAAATTAAGAATTTACGATATCTTGTGTCTATTAAATTAGTGTTTCCTAAATCTTGCTGCCAGCCTGAGTTGACTCATTTCAGTTTTGAAGCACTATATTTTTCTCACCATCACGTTAAATCCAAGTTTATATTTTTATTTATACAGCGCTAAATCACTACAAGAGGAGCCATCTCAGGGCACTTAACAATGTAAGCATTGCAATACAATTAAGCCTATCAGTAAAAGTTACCAATAATGAATGTAATAGCTGTATCAGCACCTACTCCCCTTCCTGCTTTCACAGCAAGAGTCTGTGTGTGTGTGTGTACATTTTTTATTTATTTTTTTGCCATTAACTGCTTCGGGTAGGATGGAGAGTGCAGGTCGATCAGAACTCTGTTATTGTGATTGTACTAAAAAGTCCGAAGAGACTTAATGTTAATCCTGAGCAAGAATATGAGCTCCTTGTATTACTTTGAACCCACCTTGTTTGCTGTTTTAAGTTTAGACCCAGTGTAACTAAGACATTTATCTATTATTGTGTGCTAACAAAGAAAAAGTTCATGGAACATAATAAAGGTAAAAATATGTTAAATTAATGAAACTACCAGTGAAGGAAGAATATTCACTGGAAAATGACAATTAGAAATTCTTATACGATGTACACGGAAAGATTAAAAGGCGCACACAGTGACTGTGCTTTAGTGTTTTGTAATGAAGACAATCTCTGCAACATGAAATTAATAAACCAGTTGCAAAAAATGTCTAAAGAATGTGTTTTTATATGTGTTGCCATGTATGTTTGCTAATTTGGAATTACTGGATTTTCTTTGTGTTGTGCCTTGGTGTACGGTCAACCTTAGGGTAAATTATGGGAAGGGGCTTGATCCTTTGCACTGATCACGAGGGCCTATCGTTGGATGGCAAAAGCATGTAAACAGAGCAACACGAGTACTAAGTAAAGGGAAAAGTAGAGCCTGAAATAGTTTTTTGTTGTTTTGTTGGTTGTTTTTTTTTTTTTTTGCCATATTTGGCATTCCTTCAACTAGTTCAAGCCCATGTTCAGTTATCAGAAGATGTAGCACACCTAGGTGGGGCTCAAAGACAGCAGTTTTTACTAAAGTAAAGTGTTAACTAGCTTACAAACATTAGCTTGAGTTCTCTGCGATTGTTCACCAATGTAAACAAGTTCCTGACTTTGCCAAAATTCACTCCGCTGGCTTTCACTTTACACCAAAGCTGATTAAAGCTGAGTAACTCTTCAGTGATTTGTCAAAAGAAGGATGTCACTCTTGCCTTAAAGGGCCATTATTCATAAAATCTGGATTTAGAATATGGAACCACCGCTTTCTTTAAAATCTATACAGATATAAATAATATTTGTCTAAGTACAAGTATCATTTTAATTGCAATGATTTTACTTTTAACTGTTATAAAATATATGTAAATTTTATTTACATTTTATTTATTTATATTTACTGTGCTTGCATCTTGCCTTTGTGTTAGAATCCAAAGCACATTATACTACAGTCATTCACACTGAGTTACTAATTTACAAAAACGTTTTAGTGAACCCTTTGACCCTTTTTAAATAGGCATAACTTAACTAATAATAAACCTAATAATTTAAGAAATTTGGTTGGAGGAAAATAATTATATATTGCTGGTCACTATGGATTAGAATCCAAAATTAGATATTTTAGCCATTAAAGCTGTTATTAAAAACATTTGGAGCTAAAGTCAACTATGATAAAACTGAATGTGTTATGAATAGAATAGACTTTATCGATCCCACAGTGGGAGAATTCACTTGCTAGAGCAGCACATACACTCTGAGAAAAGATGAAAAATAATAAGATCACAGGACAAAGTTTGTAGGAAAAAGTAGTTTATAACTACAAATTTTTGCTCAAGAAACTAAAATAGACAAGGTTTAAAGTATTTGGGGGATTTAGGAAAGTGTAGGTTCAGAAATAAACATTCACATCTAAGTACTGACTTGTGCAATTCGTAAATGAAAATTAAGCTCAATTTCCCAGCTGTTGTGTCTAATGCATGAAACTGATGAATGAACCAAAGCTGTGATTAAACATTGTCTGATCTGTGTACAGTTGATTGGACAGATTGTTCTATATTGAACTCTTTAATCCAACAACTATTACAATATGAAGCAAACACTTTGTGTTCATTGACATATTATTATAAGAAGTTTTTCCTTGCAGATCCATCTGAGCCAGAAGCTCTGCCTGTATTCTCCGTCGGTGTCCTTGTGTTTACTTCCGTCCGAATTGTTTCGTTTTATAACAAAAATAAATCAAATGACTGCGAGTTTTTAATCTTATTGTGTTCACTTGCGTCTCCGCTAACAGGAACATTAATAATAAATCACACAACAAACGTTTTAATACATTTTGTGACACGAAACGTGAAAAAAACTCGCCGTGTCCAGCACAAAAGCGTCTTGGATCTGAGAGGTTTGGAGCCTCCTTGATGGAAATGAAAAAGTCCTGGAGACTAAAAGCAGGTTCATTATGTAGATAAGAGACTTCTCTTCCTGCTCCGTCAATATTTATAACGGATTGGTTTGTTTTTATGAGTATTTTGAACCTAAAATACGATGAAGAAAACACAAGTGTCGCCATTTTTGAGTCTACAGCGGAGCAGCGGGGCGAGTTGCCTCTCCACGGTTCTCATGTGTATTATAAGTCCCACCTCCTGTTCTCAGCACGAGAGGTTCAGAGCGAGAAAGACAAATCGACAATGGCAGAGGAAGCTCCAGCAGCAGCGCCGGCTAAAGCCCCGGCCAAAGCTCCAGCGAAAGCCGCCAAGAAGAAGGCCGCTCCCAAGAAGGACGGACCAAACATTTCCAAGATCATCGTAGCGGCCGTGGCCGAGTCCAAGGAACGCAAGGGCGTGTCCCTGGCGGCGCTCAAGAAAGTTCTGGCCGCCAAAGGAGTGGATGTGACGAAGGCCAACAAGAGGATCAACACCGCCGTCACCAAGTTGGTGACCAAAGGGACCCTGAGTCAGACTAAAGGCACCGGTGCTTCCGGCTCCTTCAAGATCGCCAAGAAGGAGCCCGCTGCGGCCAAGCCAGCCAAGAAGGTGGCGAAGAAAGCTCCCGCTAAGGCGAAGAAGCCCGCCGCCAAAAAAACCACCGCGGCCAAGAAGCCGGTAGCAAAGAAACCAGCTGCTAAGAAGTCCCCCAAGAAGGCTCCGGCTAAGAAGCCCGCGAAGAAGGTGGTTAAGAAAAGTCCGAAGAAGGTCGCAGCAAAGAAGCCAAAGGCTGCCAAAAAGCCTGCGGTAAAGAAAGCTGCTGCCAAGAAGCCCGCAGCCAAGAAGGCCAAGAAGTAAACGGCTCCTCCACCCTGCACTGTGTGCACCAAAGGCTCTTTTAAGAGCCACCACACACACATAAAGGCATCTTCCTTAAATTACAGCAACAAAGTGTTAAGTCACACAAGCTACTCGTGGTGATGTGAGTAATCTACTATTGTGACTAAGTCTAACCTTCAAAACTAAGTGTCTTAAAGTCGAATAATTTAATATTGCATATTAAACATGGTCATAGGTCCCTGGAAGAACGAAAAATAGCCAGTGGGGCTGTATATACATCACGAAGTTCAGCTCAACCACTAACTGAATTCTCAGTCCAAATAATCATTCAGTGAAGTTTAAGCTGAACATGTTTATATGTAAATTATATTTGGAGTCAAATTCATAGTAATTTATAACATGTTTCCACAACATAAAAAGTGTCTATTTGAAATTAATTGATGAGCCTAGTGAGGGATGTATTAAAACAGCACACTAGAGGGCGCAAAACGCCTCACACACAAAACATGATAGCTCTCACATAAGAACTAAAAGTCTAAGGTATGAACATTGACTGGAGAAAAGCATTGTCCCAAAGTAATCTAGATCAGTGGCTCCTAAGTTGGAGGTCCGGAGTCGGGACAACAAGGTGGCTTCACAAGACTGCAGGTCTTCCCACACAATTGTGTCTTTGCTGAGGTTGTGAGGTCAATGATATTTTATTTTGAAGATTACATTGAAATTCCAATAATACATCCTACAGTATTATCAGAGTAGTTACCTTGGCAACACTTGCTTGTTACATGTGTGCAGAACAAACCACCCATTGCTTTCTGAAATACTTTTATGAAGCCAAATGGGCAGTTTCCTCCACCGCCATCTTGGCCATGTCACTGGTCTCATCCCACCCAGACAATCCAAAAATGGGAAGAGAGGGTGGAAGCAAAAGATCGACACCCATAAATTCTGAACAGATGTAGCTACAAGCTAACATGGAGCTGGGAGTTAACCATAGACTGTTAAAATACAAGCACCGTAGCGGATCTGATTTGGGCGCCCCGGCCGCATACTCTGCTCCTCTGCGGCAGTCAGACATCAGCTAAAAATTAGCTACAAGCTAACTCGAAACTACACACAGCTTGAAGCCAACAGGGCTAGCTACGTGACGCTGAGCTGTCGTTGTTTGTTGAAGCTGAGAATAAATAAAGAATGAAAAACAAACTGATTCTTCACCCTTAAAACTTCACAGTATTCATAATGTTATAATGCTGCTCAGAGATGGCCACAAGTGATGTGTCGGTCGCGAACGAACCGGCTCTAAGAGCCGGCTCTATGAAGTGAACGATGGGAGCCGGCTCGTCATTGGGAGCTGTCACCCTCCCTCCCCTCCCCCTCTTGACCCCCAAGGTCAACGTGTGAAACTGTGTGTCCAGACTGTCCACACACAGCAGTAGGGGCGGGGAAGAGGGAGGATCAGACTCAGACAGACACACAGCAGAGCACATGCGGTGGAGGGAGACGAGAGGGAATGAGGAGGAGGAAAAGGGCGAGCGAGGGACAGGAAAGTGCGACGAAGACGGTGAGAAAATGAGCGACAGCAGTCGGAAAGTTGAGATTTCTTAAAGTGTTCAGTAAATAAATCCATATAAATGATAAGTATTTGATATGTAGCATTTTTTACATGAGTAAATCATTTTACATATAGTTATGTCTTATTTTTGGTGATAAATATACTTTACGCAACAGAAAATCTGAGGAGCCACTTGGGAGCCAAAAGAATCGGCTCTCTAAAAAGAGCCGTAATTCCCATCACTAATGGCCACCATTCACTGCTGGTGTAAATATCCTCTAGAGTTGGACTAGCCGCTCTTTGCAGCATCTTCTCAGCCTCAGAGCAGATCCCAGACCAGCAGTGGAAGACGTCAGCACACATTCCACCACCAGAAATCTACACACCAACACTGATACCAGCCTCTCCAGTCTCTTTTTCAGCATTAAACATATTATCTTCCCTTTCTGTTTATATTTACGTGATTCTTGTTACAGAAAACCTTTGAACTTTTTTACTGCATGCATCCTTCTGTTATGTGTTTTTCACTTCAGACTAACTCTTTGAGGTCACCGCTCTGGCCTTGACGTCATTAAAGGATTACTCTTGGGTCATTCCTTCCCCCTGCAGCAGCTCTGCGCTCCCCGGATGCTGCAGTTAGAAGTGGGTCAGCTCAGCATTAGGGGTTGGGAAGGTTGTAGTTAATCAGGTTGTCTCTCTGCATGTAGCTGTTTCTTTCAACCTACAGAAGGTAAGCTTCAGAATTATTGCTGTCTGTTTCTGGTGTTCATTCTTAGAGTAAAATCACTCCTACATTTCTGTGAAGGAAGCTTACATTTAATTTAATCAGCAGAGTTAATATGAAGTTAAATTAGAGAAAGTTGGAGTTGTTTGAAAATGAAAGTCACTAAAAACAGGATTTAGTTGGCATTTTATATGATTAAAGATACGTGTGCAGGAAAATTATTGATATACACTTATTACATTTCTGGGAGAAAATTATTAAGCAAACACTGTTATTAGTTAACCCTCTCACATTGTTAATGGGGTCAGACGGGCCCCAGGTGCTTTTTTATTAATTTTTATTAGGAATGCACCACTCCACCCTTACCCAGGGATAAACTATCAACCATGTTTAACCAACCCCTGTCCTGGAGGGGCCACCTGATAGTCCGGTGGAAAGGTTAAGAAATATAGTTTGTGTTTTATTGGCAAGATGGCACTTAACATGATTATAAATCAAAAGAAATATCCTTTAAAATGCTGAATTTCTGTAATTGTATTAAATAAATTACAAGGCACATAAAAAATGAGATGAAGGACTGACACACATTGAAACGATGAACACATTAGCTTGTTTAAGGGTGAATTTGTCATTGTTCTGAACTCTATAATCCAGAATAATATTTTGTCACACAGAAAGAGCTGCTAGGGCACAGGTAAGTCTTTATTTTTGACCCATTTGGCCTCATTCTTAAATTCTCTATTACCTTCCAGTTATTATGTCTTCCTTCTGCTCATGTAATCCCTTTACAGCGAAAAGGACCTGGCAGCTTTCTGACGGAGTACCATGGCAGAGGCCTTGGATCTCAGCTCCACAGAGGACGATCTCCGTTGGAAACCCTCCAGTCGACACAGCAGGAAGTCCGGGTCCTCGAACATCTTCTCAGGGGTGAACCTGCATCAGCTGCACAAGCTGTTCAGGACAGCAGGGGACAGAAACGCTGAACATCGGGCCAAGCTGGTGTGGCAAGAGATGGAAACAGACGTGGAGAGGGCAGAGGAAGAGAAGGAGCAGGAAGGAGAGGACGAAGCTGGGTTGGCCCAGGCCTTGGTGGGGCTGAGAGTTCGAGCAAGGAACAAGACAGGAATAAGAACGGAGGGACACGGGGACCACAAGTGGCTCAGAGGACCTGGGTGTCTCCGGTGGGAGAAAATACAAAGCTTTACTTTTCAAATTTTTTACTGATGGAATCAGTCTTGAATTTACAACATGCTGCAGCTAATTCTAGGAAAAACACCGGGTTTCACTCTGTGTGTCGTCATCAGGGTGTTATTTCATAGCATGAGGTCTCATAGTGGAATTGAAACAGCTGCTAAGCAATATATTTTTATATGTTCTATTCATATTAGAGTGAATGTTATGTTGCACTGCCAAAGGGTTGAAGTGCTTCTGCAGAAACATGACCGAGCTAAACTCTTCTTGCATAATAAATAAACTGGTATTCGTCACTTGTAGTACTTAGACTTTCCACAAGAGGGCGTACATACAGGATCAAAGTTTTTGGGAGAAAGTACAAATATTATGTCATTTGTTTTTAGGGTTGAGGAGCCATTAGCTGCCCTCAGCGCTGAGGACGATGAGGCTAACCTGACACCAGCATTTGAGCTGCCGGCTTCGGACGACATCCAAGAAAACCCTAACCCCTTTAAACCAGCTCCATGGCGGATGGGAGTCAGGCTGGAGAGCACCAGAGACTCTGAGCGCTACCTACACCGCATCCTCCACTGAAAATCACACACATGCAGGGAACATAAACCCTCACAGGACTGAATTTGCATCAAAAACATTTCATAATCCTGCTTTCAGGTTCTGCTTTCATGCACTGCACTCTGTAGACAAGATTTTCTATAAGAATGCAAAAATACAAGTATAAATATAATTCATACTGTACGTATGAAAATCAGTTGTGTTGGTATATCTGGTCAAACCTGCAAGAATTACATCAAATCAGTTGTGTTTTATAGAAAATATTGTGTGGCCATAATAATGGCTTACTCATAAATGTATTGATGATTCTGATCATGTGTCTTTATACCGATATTAGCTGTAAATTTCGAGTTACTGCAACAGTAAATAACCTTAATGATCTGTAATGAAAGCAGCTGGACTTTGTCTCTTGGCTCTTAGTTTTGTTCTGCTTATCAGAAATGCATCTTGACTTCTGACTGGAGAGTCCCAGGCCCACAGATGAGACCGTCATCCTTTGACCCATTTAGTTGACCATTAAACTGAAGTGATGTGGCTGTAGAGTCATCCTGACTCATTTCTGAGAGGAACTTTGCCACGACTTGTGTGATTATGCAACATTTAAAAAAAATGAAGTCAGTGACTGAAGGTGAGCTGGTTGCTTCTCTGTTTTTAATAATGACTCTTTAAAAAGATTATTAATAATAAAACCATAAACAGGTGTGAATAGTTATAACATATTAACGCTGTGGCACCAAAATAAAGCATTACAAAGTAAAATCTGTCTTAATTGCCATGATTTTTTTAAATAATAACACTAACATTTATGTCAGTGTTTAACAGGAAGTTAGAGGTAACTGTTGGTATTTTGGGTGCTGGACAAGTGACATAAAAAGACCAACTTTACTCGTTTGTTCAACACAATAGCAGTGGTCTCTAGTATTAATGCTCAGAGTCGATCTTCGTTGGGAAAAAGCTCTTGCGCTCCTGTTTCAGGAACAGAGGTGAACTGAAAATTTGGAGTCTTATTTCTAGATATTTGGACATCTTGTCTCTGATTGGCTGACAGCAACACAACTCTACCACTGACTGTTTCCTTTGCGACATTGATGTTTTATCTCCACAAATAACACAATCCTGGAGGAGTTCTGTTGTGGAGTAGCTAATGCTAACAGTTAGCATCTACTAGTTGAGACATGCTCTGCTTTCTCCTGGACACTAAATCAACAACAGCCTTCCCTGTTGTTAGCCACGATGGATGAGTCCATCAATGGTAATTTTCAATGTGACGTAGATCTGTGGGACTTTTCTAATCCGAGCGTTTCTCCGTTTATCAGCGGCTAATGCAGGAAATATGGGAAGATTATTTTCCCATTTAGCTTGCATGTTTTATGCTTATTTATTTGGCAGACGCTTGTATTCAAAGCGACGTACAATTGTGGATCTATAGGGCATGATGTGATCTGTGGGGGGAAACCGGGGTACCCAGAGGAAACCTACGCACGCATGAGAACATGCAACTCCGTGCAGAAAGACTGCAGCCGAGTTTCGAACCTGCAACCTTCTTGCTGCGAGGCAACAGTGCTAACAGCTGCATGTTAAACTCAGAAGGACCAATTTCAAAAATAAGGGTCTCTCATAAATGTTACTTAGTGCTTTGTTAAACAAAGGATCCTTTTATTAATGTTCCAAATACTGTTAACTGTTAAGTGTCCTTAAAAAGCAAGTCACCCCCAAATCAACTTTTTTTCTGATAAACTATATAAATGCGTGTCTAATCGTGCTGTAGACACATGTAGTCAATAGTTTTGCCCTTTAGTGCATTTTAGTTAAAATTTTAATTTTCTGCCTAAAACTCTGTCGTAAAAAACTCTGCACTGCATTTGAATTTAAATCTGCCATCGCTATTGGCTAAGAGGTACCCTAGGACGTTAGCTGGTGCCATATGATGTCACAATGTTGTTGTGAGCCTGTGTGTGTGTATTTGATAGCGGCTTTGCCTTCTCGGTCTGCTAGGCAACAGCATTTGTTGCATTTTTCAAACAGGAAGTGGGAGTTGAGTAAGAATCTGGTAGGGGTTACATGCTCAAAGGGCCAGGGGTGTCTGCTTAATAATGCATTACCTTTTTTAAAATAGTAAGTAATGTTAATAAAGGGACCTTTGTTATAAAGAGTTTCCAAAATATCTGAATCTGGCCGTTTTGACACCAGAGTGTTAAATAAAATGTTTTTATTTTCTAGAAAACAGTAAGAAACAAGAGATGTGTGGATTTGTCGCTTATGTTTCTACATTAAGAAAAACATTGTAAATACATGCTCCGCGTGACGATTTTGTCCTTAAAGGGATGTTTCGGAGTTTTAAATTTTTATGCTCGCGATTCCCCCCTCAGGCCAAAAGCGTAATGGCAGCTTCAATAGCAGGCTTGTGCACGAGGCGCGCTGTATGCTGTAGTGCTGTATGTGCACAGACCTTAACGAAAATACAGCTGAGACAGTCCCGTGTGTGTGTGTGTGTGTGTGTGTGTGTGTGTGTGTGTGTGTGTGTGTGTGTGTGTGTGTGTGTGTGTGTGTGTGGCCCGGAGGACAGAGGACAGGAGAACGCGCAGCTAATTAATTAAATAATTTAGTTCTGTACGTAACTCTTCAGCACAGCCGACAAAGGTTTGTGATGGGTCAGTCCTCCTGCATGCTCAGATCATTCCCTTCCCTTGCTTGAAAAATTGTTCCAAAATGAAAGTTGAACCCACATCTTTTTTATCTGAGGATTCAGTGCCGTTCGGCGAGTCTCAAATAAAAATTTGGGCATCTTACTGTAAAAAAAATATACCATTAATGTAAAAAATAAACGCCACATAAATTACCTTCACATCAAGAGTCTAACCCAGATCTTCTGCACAAGAGTCCGATGATTACTTAAGTGAGATAAAGCACCAGTATCTGTATCTGTAACTTTTATATTCTAGATGACAGCTGAAACAACATTCAAAGAACGGTTCGGAGCAAAAATGGCTATTTTGTTTCTAATTTGCAGGAAATATCTAGAAAAAAGTAGCTAAGGGTCCTCAGAAATGTAGCTAGGTTCATCACTAGGCGTGAGGAACAGCGACAAAGTCGCTGAGTTGGCACTACCTCACTCTCTGCTGCTAAAGCTACTGACAGCAAATGCTACGGGCGATGCCTGAGCGTGAACGCGCATGAAGCAGCCTGCTCGACCCGAGCAGCTCTCTTTTTCTGTGATTTTACAGAAAAACAGGCAATCACAGTAAAAATGCCAGGGCTCATTCTACAGGACCAGGGCACTGCAGGAGAATGTATGAAGAAGACATTTATTATTTCGATACATGTTTTGGCTGTCACACTTCCATAATGCCCCTTTAAAAATGTCGTCGTCTTCCTCCGCTTATCCAGGTCTGGGTCGCGGGGGAAGTATCCCAACCAGGGAGCTCCAGAAAGTCCTCTCCCCGGCCACCTCCACCAGCTCCCCCGGCAGGACCCCAAGGCGTTCCCAGACCAGATTGGAGATGTAACCTCTCCAACGTGTCCTGGGTCGACCCGGGGGCCTCCTGCTGGCAGAGCACGCACAAAACACCTCCCCAGGGAGGCGTTCAGGAAGCATCCTGACCAGATGCCCAAACCACCTCAACTGACTCCTTGCGATCCGGAGGAGCAGCGGTTCTACTCCGAGTCCCTCCCGGATGTCCAAGCTCCTCACCCTATCTCTAAGGCTGAGCCCGGCCACCCTACGGAGGAAACTCATTTCGGCCGCTTGTATCCGCGATCTCGTTCTTTCGGTCATTACCCAAAGCTCATGACCATAGGTGAGGATTGGGACGTAGATCGACCGGTAAATCGAGAGCCTGGCTTTCTGGCTCAGCTCCCTCTTCACCACGACAGATCGGCTCAGCGTCCGCATCACTGCAGACGCCGAACCAATCCGCCTGTCGATCTGCCGATCCCTCCTACCCTCACTCGTGAACAAGACCCAGAGATACTTAAACTCGTCTTGACAGGTTCTTCTGCCAGGCGTTCCCAGCAGACCCTCACTATGCGTTTGGGTCTGCCAGGTCTACGCGGCATCTTCCCCTGCCATCTGATCCAACTCACCACCAGGTGGTGATCAGTTGACAGCTCCGCTCTCTTCACTTGGGAGTCCAAAACATACGGCCGCAGGTCAGATGATACCACTACAAAGTCTATCATCGACCTGCGACCTAGGCTGCCCTGGTACCAAGTGTACCGATGGGCATCCTTATGTTCGAACATGGTGTTCGTTATGGCCAAACTGCGGCTTGCACAGAAGTCCAATAACGAAACACCACTCGAGTTCAGATCAGGCGGGCCGTTCCTCCCAGTCACACCCCTCCAGGTCAAGCTGTCATTGCCCACGTGAGCATTGAAGTCCCCCAGCAGGACAATGGAGTCCCCTGATGGAGCACTATCTAGCACTCGTCCCAGGGACTCCAAAAAGGGTGGGTACTCTGAACTGATATTTGGCCCATAAGCACAAACAACAGTCAGGACCCGTTCCCCGACCCGAAGGCGCAGGGAAGCTACCCTCTTGTCCCCCGGGGTAAACCCCAACACACAGGCAGAGAGTCTTGGGGCTAACAAAAAGCCAACCCCAGCCCTCCGCCTCTCACCCGGAGCAACTCCAGCAAAGGAGAGTGTCCACCCCCTCTCAAGGACTTGGGTTCCAGAGCCAATGCAATGTGTCGAGGTGAGTCCGACTATATATAGCCGGTACCGCTCAACCTCTGCCATAAGCTCCTGCTCCTTCCCTGCCAGCGAGGTGACGTTCCATGTCCCAAAAACCAGTTTCCTTGTCCGGGGATCGGATCACCAAGGCTCCCGCCTCGGTCTGCCACCCGATCCACATTGCACCGGACCTTTCATGTTCCTCCTGCGGGTGGTGGGTCCACAGTTGGATGAGCCCATGTAAATGTATCCGTGTCGGGCTGGGCCCGGCCGGGCCCCATGGGCGAAAGCCCGGCCAACAAGGTGCTCGCTCACGGGCCCCAACCCCAGGCCTGGCAGTAACCCTCCGGGCCGGGTACTCCGACTCCTAGATAGTTCATCCATGAAAGATCCTCTGGACCATTCTTTGTCTCACCCTTCACCTAAGACCAATTTGTCATGGGAGACCCTACCAGGGGCACAGAGTGCCCCAGACAACATAGCTCCTAGGATCATTAGGGCACTCAAACTCCTCCACCACAATAAGGTGATGGTTCAAGGAGGAGCCCTTAAAAATGTTTATATTAAAATACAACAACTATAACACACACCATCTGTATTAATTGAAGTTTAATTATAATCTGTCATTAAATATTACATACAAATTATACAGTGCATTATCACGATACATTTCCTGTTAGTGTAGCACAACAGAAAGTCACTTTTTCCTTGAACGTTCAACCAGATCCACCCTAGGAGGCTGAAATACAAGTAAAGATTATTTAGCCGAGAAAACCAGGAGCTGGTAGAAAACACCAACCCCAAAGATTTATCACAGCTGCAGGAGATTCTGTCCTCTTCACTAATGAAGTGATTTGTGAAACAAATGAGGAAAACGAGTCATGATTCTCACTTGTGTCTGTAACCTAAAGTACCGCAGCCAAGCAGCGTCAACCCAGATGAGTTACAGATCTTCATCTTCAGGGACGTGGAGCATAATTAGAAACCAGTTCGTGTTTGTTTGTTCGCTGTCGTCGTCTCATCGACCTCTTCCTAAACCTGTAAATAGTTTCCGACAGTAAAAACTTATCCGACTGGATGTAGTGGAACAGCTTCGACTAGTTTGGGGTTTCTTTTACTGCATAGCAGAGAATATGAGTCAGTGTTAAAAGTGTAGCAAAAAGAACTAAAAAAAAACATGGAATGAAATGACTTTCAATCAAAAAACAAACAGGAAGGGGTTTAAAGTGGCATGCACGTAAGCAGACCACATGCACATAGGAGTGCAAGGATCAGTCGTCTCACCGACATCGAGCTCAGGAGGGCACAGAATCAAAAACCATATTCACTCAAGGCACTGAAAACAAAACAGGGAAGAAATGTTATGAAATTCTTCCTTTTGGCCTCAACTCAACACCAGCCAGCTTTTCCTCCTGTACCCAAAAATCCACGAGGAGACAAAAAAGGATGAGGATGGTTTCCAGAACAGGAATCGGTGCTTTCGGGCGCAGCCTGCTCCTCCGTCTGCACGCATATCATCCTTCCTGCAGCTTTCTGATGTTCCGTGTCCTACCACCAGGTGAAGAAAGGTTTTCTGCTCTGGAAACTCTGCGTGTATGATTCACTGTTTGCTCTCTGAGGTGCCCGAGCCGTTTCCACGGTAACGGGGGGCATCTGGACCAGCTGGAGCGGTGATTTACCATCTTTCAGAGCTTGGCTCAGATTCAGGATCTAACAGCAGAAGAAGAGGTCATTTCTATAAATCAGACACTTATTTTGGGGTAAAACAGAGGAGCATTTTAACTGCTTAGAAGTGTGATTAAATCTATCTTTTCTGCGTGTTTTCGGCATCGTAGGGCTCAGAATCAGACTCACCTGCCCCCTCATAACGGACACTTGTTTGTGAAACTGTCCCCTGTCGAAACCGGGATCTTTCTGCAAGATAGTTAATAAAACACGCATGTTCATTATTGAGTCATAAACTCCACTGCATTTTCCACATGAGCTCTTCTTGCCTTAAAAAGTTCGTAGAGGTCCTCTTCCAGGTCTTTAATGAAGTTTGGGTCAGCAAGTTTAGGAAGAACTAAATCCCGGATTTCCTGGGAGAAAGGAACTTTGGCTTGGGGCAGCCACGCCCAGTAGAAGGGGTCTGTGGATCAGAGAAATAAAATTGTTATCCGTGTGTGTGTGTGCGTGCGTGTGTGTGTGTGTGTGTGTGTGTGTGCGTGCGTGTGTGTGTGTGTGTGTGTGTGTGTGTGTGTGTGTGGTGCTTACAAGCTCTCCAGGAGTCAGGGTGTTTGAGGGGGAAGGCAAGGCCATTATCTATGGCTGCTAGCTTAATGATGGGTTCCTTTACTACAACCCAGTCTGTGTCCTGGAGACAGAAAAAGCAGATCTAGATTAAAAACTCGGACACGACAGAATCAAAGGTGTGATTTTCAGTGAACGTTAATTACAGCCGCACTTGAGGCGAGATGATGATATGATACAAAGTCCACAACATGGCTAATATCACAATCCCGTGCTCTGTAGGGACGCAAGAAAATATCGATACACTGATATAAAGGGTTTGGCATCGTTTGGTTTTGAACGATTCCGATTCCAATTCCTCGTTTTGATTCCGGTTCCTATCGATTCCCGATTCCGATTCTTTGAAGACATGACCTGTTTTACACGAGCCAGCTAACCACAGGTCCTACTTGATGAAATAATCTTAACTTCAACACGAATTTTAACTCTATGAACAACAACATCACCTTCATTTAGACTAAAACGTGTTTTGGAGACAAAAAGAAAAAGACTTGCAGCACAACCAGTGTGTTTGTTTCTGACCACAACCAAAGTGTGGAAGCAGCCTCTGGGATGAGAGGCTAAATGTCTCCAACATATCCAGAAACGTCCAGCTGTTTTCAGCTAAAGCTCTCAGGATGATCACGTCCAGGATGGCTGAGAACTACACCTCCATGCTGCAGCAGCTTCAGTCAGAACAGAAACTTAAACGTAGCTGCTGTCGGTAACAATCTGACAGATTTCAAACATTAAAACTCAACAGAAATAGTTCAGAAAGGAAATTAAATGTTATTTATTATTATTATAATTAGTTATTGTGGCAGAAGCTGGTGTGCTCCACCACGGAGAAAGCTGCTCTAGCATGATGACTTAATTATTGTACAGGTTATTGTTCAGCCTTCTGACGCGCGTGCGCGCGCGCGCGCACACACACACACACACACACACACACACACACACACACACACACACACACACACACACACACACACACACACACACACACACGTGTTGGTGAGCGGCTGCATCTGACTGCTGACGCTCCGTGTGTTTTTATTTCTGCAGTGAGACAAACTCACCTCACACCGTCCAGAGTTTGTTCTTCTATTAAGTCCACCGTGTTGACGGATTTTAGCAAGTTTCCTCCACGCTGCAGGAGTTCAAGTTTACATTACGGAGTAAAAATTCGGCAGACGCATTTGTTTATATTTGGGTGGGGGGACTCGGTGCTGCACAGGCAGCTGGTGTGATCAGCTCTGAAAAGCGCTGATCGCAATTTGCAGATTACGTTTATTTTTACCGGATATCGGCCACGGATTCCACTTCCAGTTGGCATTCTAGGAATCGAAATAAAAATCTTTGAACGATTCCAGAAAAAACTAACAGTTGGTCCCGGTTCCAATCGATGCTCGATGCCCCACCCTATCATGATATTTTATGTTATGATACTGAATCAGTGTTTAAAACTAGTTTATAGTTATTTTATTGTGAATTTAAAAGCAAATATTTACTGTATTTCTTTTGTGTGACATCTCGTGGTAACACTGGATGTGTCTGGGAAGCGTCTGGCATGAGTCATAAAAATGCTATTACCAGCTTTTAGAATAGCGATTAATCGTATCGTCTCCTCTGTATCGCGATATGCATCGTAGCGCCAGATTCGTGCTAAAACACACCCCTAGTGATAAATGATCAAGAACTCCAAAAACGTCAGCGTTGACAATCTCCCTCTCTTTGCTGTAAAATTCCCGTATCAACAACTGGCCAAAAGGAAAAGTCAAACTGAATGATAAATGATAAACGACCCACACGTGTACAGCACCTCTCAGAGTCAGAGGACTCCAAAGCGCTTTACACTACAGTGCATCATTCGCCCATTCACACACTGAAAACACAAAAGTGTTCTGAAAAAGGTTTTGCTCGTGAAACATGGATCCGACACCAATGCGTTGATTCTTATGTTGTCAATAAACATCGATATTTAGCCTTTTGTCAGTTTTCTGTCCCATCTTATTTTTAGACTAGTGGTTGGATTTGAGTCAGAAAAGTAGGATGGTGAAAAAAAATAAAGATGTTGCACAAGGTTTTCAGAATCCCCCAGATATTGTCACAAAATAGGGAAACACACGGAGGTAACAAACTTTGCGACGAGGTCTCGAGTCATTCCCAAACCTTTAGCCTTTCTGTTTGTCTACAGGAGTGTGTGTGGACGTCTCCTCACCCTGTTACCGACAGGATCCATGGGACAGTCGTACTTCAGCAACCAGTTGTCGTTTCCTCTGTCTACATCACAAAAACATGCAGTTTAATGCTGACAAGAGCTGGTCGTGTAACATCATCTTCACTAACTTTGCTGTTGTTGTTGCAGGGTGTCTACCTACCCGTGTTCCTGATGATGTAATCAAGCACCACGAGCCGTTCAAACTGCAGCAGAAGTTGTCGGTTGGTGTTTTCAGGCAGAGGCTCAGCTTCAAACCTCCGCAGCCAGAAATCTGCATCCTTGTATCCATCAACGAAGAGCTGGAAGGAGCCAATCTGGTGGAGATGACATAGAAATCAGTTTTCTCTGTTTATTTATTTAAAACCGATGTAAACATCATTAAATAAAGTTGCTTATTTCGTTTTGTGTGTGGGGGGGCTTTGTACTTATGACTGCAGTTAAACCAGTGGGTGTATTAGTAAGGTTTCTAGTTTACCTTTGGTGGTAGTCCAATTCTGTGGAAGCGCTGACCCACTTTAGGTACCTTCTCCAGAGCTAGCTTTTTTCCTCGAGACTTCACTCTGTCGATGGCGCTGTAGTTGAATGTTTCACTCGCCAAATACACCACCTAAAGATGACATGCTGACATTAATGAATGCCCACTCTGGATGGAAAACGGATAATCTAGCATCTGGACGGATTTCACAAGTCTAAAAGCAGATGTGTGTGATGGCGCGGGGATGCATCAGCGTCCTTCTCCGTGATCACGTCCATTTCTGGCACCTCAGCATAAATGCAGTTAATTAAAATGTTGATTTAGTGCAACATTTGCTGTCTTTACATGTTCAGGTCAACTTTTTGCCCTCTGAATCCTAACAGTCAAATCAAATTTAAGTTCAAATTCAAAAAAATTTGATCACGCAACTACATCTAATTGTTTCCACACTACAAAGGCGTGGCTGTGGCAGAAGAATTCAAGTATTTTCTTTCATTAGGATTGTTCCAGCCACTCCAACTTGCTTTTTACTTGCAGTGGCATTTTTAAAGGTGTTGAACACTCGTTTAATCAATACATTTGCAGTGGTCTCTAGCAGGAATGCCTTGTAAGTCATACCCTGGGTACAAAAAGCCCTGGTGCACCAGGTTCAGGATCTAGAACTGCCAAATCAGAGGAGAGCTTCAAAGGGCAGACTACTTCCTGATATTTGGACATCTTATCTCTGATTGGCTAACAGCAATGCGACTCTACCACTGACTCGGTTTGCTCTGCAACGTTGATGTTTTATCTCCACATATAACACAAGCCTGGAGGAGTTCTGCCGTGTGGTGGAGATGCTAATGCTAACAGTTAGCTTCTGCTAGCCAAGGCATTCTCTGCTGTTTCCTGGATGCTAAACCAGCAACAGCTTTCCCCAAGGAGAGTAAAGATTGGTGAATCCATGAAAGTTTAGTGACAGAGTGAAATAGATCTGTCAGGATATTCAAATCCTAGCGTTTCATCATCTTCCATTAGAAGCTAATGCAGGATACCATTTACTTGTTCAGCCTGCACAAAAAATGCAAAGTGACCGATTATAAATCAGAAATAATATTTAAAAATGCTTTTTCAGTGTTCCACATATTTAAATAATTGGATTTGCATTTTGATCTATTTTTGGTTGCAAATATGAGACTAATTGAATTGACTAAACAAAAAGAAAAAGCAACCTTGCTGCTTTACAATATTGTGATTTAAAATACTGAAAAAAATAATTATATATATATATATATAATAATAATAATAATAATAATATAATAATAATAATTATTATTATTATTATTATTATTATTATTATTATTATTATTATTATTATATTAAAAGTTCTAGTATTAAATGTTTTTAGTACTATTCTTCCGTCTGATGACAATACCAAAGACAGGAAGTTTAAATGGACTAGCAGAGCCGTGTGATGATACCTTGGTCCTGGGAACAATATTGAGCTCCAGTTTCTGATCGACCAGGCTGGCCCCAGCCTCTGAGAGGTAACCTTGATTCAGGACCAAACAGTCACGGCCAAAACAGCAGGGACAGCACAGTTTCTGGAGCCACTTAGTCCATTTTGGATTTAGATGTCCGTAGGGTTCTTCATTTTTAGGCTTGAACACGCCGATGATCTTCTGTAGAGGCAGAAAGCAGAAAGGGAAAGGTTTCCTCTGTGTAAGACGATCAAAGGGGTTCTAGAACAACTTTTGTTTTACATTCAGAAACTGTTCTTAGAGACTCTATTTAGCATATGAAACTTTGGTGCAGCTAAAAATGGCTCAAGAGCTCAGATAAATGGCCAAATACACTTCCATAATAAAGTCCTACAATGGAAGGGCCGGTTTGCCCCGCCCACTGTTTCTGAACCGTTTCTCTGCGACCGTTACATCATTAATAATTTACATTTTAAAAAATCAGGTTGGAGATGGCACAGACTTTTTGGTATGGTACATTTGACACCTCAAGCCGTCTGCACTCAACAACATTATGGTGGGTTGCAGGTTTGAACCCCGCTGAAAAGGTTTGAGGAACAATAGGCAGATCCCACTCAGCCGATGGAAGAGAAAGCAGAGGCGAATGTGACATCAGCACTATGGGAGGTTGTAGGACTCTAAAAGGCACAATATGAAATAGAGCTATATTTAACAAGGTAAACACAGTTTTGAATGTAATTACTCCATTTAAATTCTTGACAGAATATATATATATATATATCATATTATTATTATATATATATCATATTATTTAAGGTTTAATTAACAAACGTCTGTATAAAGACAGATAAAAGAGCAGTTATGCCAAATCAGCTGTTTCAATACAGTTTTAATACATTTAAAAAACACCTTAAACAACTAAAATGTGAATTGCAGAAATTAAACTAAATTTGCCTTAAAGTGAAAATGTGTAGTTTTTAATTGTTAATCTCTGGAAATATCCATCAAAGTATGGTTGAAAACTAATCAGATGATGACCAGCTGCTGAAAAATATTGGCAGCTCCATAACTAAACCGTAACAGTCTGGTCTAGAATACATGGGAGCGGGTCTAAGTCCCTGGGCGACGCAATATTAAAGGCCATGTTTCCTTCTACGGGAGCCCTTAAGGACAAAATGCATTTGCTGATTTGTAACAGATGGTTAGAAATACTTTCACCATTAATAAACGTTGTTGTTTTACACATTTACCTCTTCAAGCTTTGCCAGTGATGAAAGGGAGTCTGATGTGCTTGTCATTTTACTGAAGTTTGCACTCCCCAGGCCTTTTTGACCCTAATGGGGATCCATTGGTAAGGTCTTACTCCAACACAAAAATACAGCTTGTTTGCAACAATTTAGGTATTTACTGCCCTCTATGATCAGGATAAATACACACTGTCACTTTAAAGCAGAATGGTAAAAAGCTTGTGTTCGTATAGCGCCTTCTTAGGGTTCTACAACTCCTTAAGCGATTTACAACACAATCAGTCATCCATCCATTCACACACATTCACATAATGGTGAGGATGAGCTACGATGTAGCCACGGCTGCCCTGGGGTGCAGAGGTGAGGTCTGCAGAACACTGGCACCACCGATCCTTCTGACCACCACCAGCAGGCAAGGAGGGTTACGTATCTTGCCCAAGGACACAACAGCAGCATCCTCTTGTGGGAGCCAAGGTCGAACCTGCAACCTTTCGATTACAGGACAACACGCTCTACCTCCTGAGCTACTGCTGTTCTCAGAAATCCAGAGTTATTTTTCTCTGAGGCCACCGTCTACAGGTGGAAAATGTATTGCACCTTTAAGCCCATCTCCTTACGTTTATGTATTTAGCAGACGCTTTTGTCCAAAGTTACAAGTGATAATGAAACCAGCAGGTTGCCCTTGAGGCTAACAACAAAACACTAATCAGGCAATCCTAGGTGGCAGTGAGGACGCATAATGAATCATAGAGGGAAGTGAACAAGTACCTCCATGATTATAGCTGGAAGCAACGCCTCTCGTTCATGAATGTGCACCTCTAGTTGGGCATCAGAGCTAAAACTCATCGTTTTACAATTATTATTCTTACTTTATGCTGTAAGAAATGTTGCCAACTCTGCATCAGTCTGGTTACTTCAGCAAACATGCGCGTGCTTGCTCTGTGACCAGTCTGTAGCTGCTGTCCAAAGCTACCGGCTAAAGCTGAGGGGCAGTCAATTCAAACTGCATGCAGCGTCAAGGGATGGCGAGCAGCCTTAGAAAAATAAACTATTTTGACACATTGCATACAGTATATCACAGTACAAAGTAAGACTGTCCCTTTTACGGATTTCTAAAAACTTGGACATATTCCTGGACACGGGAAAACTCCGGATTGCTGCTTTAAAACCCAAAATAAGAGCCAGATGTGGGGTGTGTCACAATTTGATATGGAAATCACATGCCTCATCGTGTTAGTATCACGCACACACAAACACAAAACGTGGTCAGAGGAGAGAATTGTGTCCACAGAGCGGTGGCACATGACTGCTTAACACAGTGGTGACTAACTGAAGAAACTAAAGAAGTGGGGGCTGAGGAGAGCAGGTCGCTGGATTCAAACAAACCATTGAGGCTTAGAGCAGATTTTCGTGTTTTAAAGTTTATTAAAGAGGCACATAAAAAGGCTTGTGTTGAAACAAAAGTGAAAACCAAGTATTCCAACCCAAAGACCACACACACTTCCCTTTTTTTCCCTTGCACAACCTGAGATGCACTCTTGATTTGGACAAGTTGCTCAGGGCTCTCATTATCCAGCTCTGGCTATCAAAGTTTCATCACTGTTTGGCGAGAACGACAGAGCGGTAATTCCCAGTTTTATTTGAGCCGCAGCTGCAGCAAATGAGACACGTTCATTTAACATCATCAGTTTTTTTGGGGTTTTTTTACCTAAAAGGATTTAAGAAAAGCAAACTCTCTAAGGAATGTTATCGCTGACGTGTGCTGACGTTTACAACAACATGAAGGCAGGCTGCAGGAATCGATGCTGAGATGTTGCCTTCCTCAGCCTCTGCCTGAACGGTCTTGAGCTTGGACATGAAGACGTTTTAACCGAAACTCAGAACTAGTTCATCGAAATAAAAATCTAGTGTTTTGTTTCTAATGTATTCTGTTTTAAAAGTGGAAGAAAGGTACACAAGAGTGATTATTGTGACACTGATTAATATGAGTTTAATAATAATACATTATCTCTGTTTTAAAATGTTATTTATCCAATTAATAACTGATTTCATTGAGATTTTACTTATAAATTTGTGTTTTTTGTTTGTAATTCTCAAACAACTCATGAAAGGTTGCCTGAGGTTCAGGTTTTTACCTTTGGTGCCAGATTTGTGGTCTAACATTTTTATTCTAACATCAAAAGTATATGTAATGTGAAATGGTTCTCACTTGACCTACCTGATGAATTTCATGTTTGTCATAATTAAGAAGAATGTTCTCCTATCTGCCATGTCATCACAGAGCTGTTCGAAGAGGTCTTTCCCAAAACAAACGTGTTCATAAAAAGGCAGTGAAAGATCCAAACCCAGATCGTGATAAAACATCTGTAGGTTAGCATCAGCTCATCTTACCCCCTGTGAGTCTTTCACAAAATAGCTTCCACTGGAGCCCTGGTAGATCCTTTCCGGGTAGATTCCCTCCTCGATTGCTCGTTCGGCCTTGCGGATGATGTCTCTGAACTCGGGATCTTCTGGAAATTCGTTCCTGTGGGGGTCTCGAGACGTGTTCCCTCGGTCCCGATCTAAGAGCGGCTGTCTCTCCCGGTTCCGATCCGGACTACCGGCCGGGAGACGCACTACGGATCCTGGTGTGTTCCCAAACGCGCCCCGAGGGCTAGTGGGCTCTGCGGGACAGTAGCTAAAATCAACAGGGTCCCGCAGCGGAGAGACAAGCGGACTCGTCTCGTCCATACTTTGAAGGTAGCCGAATAATTCGTATATATTATATAAAGAGATTAATTACGATGATTTAAGACAAAAAAAGAAGAAGTAACCAAAGCTGGACAGTTGTTTTGCTGTAACACTATCAGCGGCTAGCAAGGAGAAAGCAAAAATAAGAAAATCAGATGACTGTCAGCTTCCGGTAAGAGGCGGGACCTATTGCGTATTATGATCTTTAACTAATCACCGCTGTCGAGACTTAGTCCTCTGTGCTGATTGGACACTGTGACACCGTACACAGAAAACACGTGAGAGCTAATAAACCTAATCAATTAAATCCACACAAAAAACCTTTGATAAACACTTTGTGATTTAAATGGTTTAAGGAAGAGGGGATTTTATTTTTTTAGTTTCTTTTAAATTCCAGAAGGGCAAATTTAATTAAACAGTTTATTTTTATTCCTTTAAAAATCTGAGTTTAGTTGCAAACGGGTCTTTATATATACTCAACAAAAATGTAAACGCAACACCTTTGTTTCTGCTCCGATTTTTCATGAGATGGACGAGAGAAGAAAAAATAGATGAATGGATACATTGGCACTCCCAGAAAAGTGTCATGAAGGTGGCCAGATGGGGCCTGTGAAAATTTTAGGGTTTTACTGGAAGGGTTCGAGTTAGGGGGGGGGGAGCTGTGTGGAACCCAGCTCCCTGTTAAAAGGGTGACGGGCTCCATGGAAGCACTGAACTGATACGCCCAGGGGGAAATTATAAATGATTAATAATAATAATAATGCATTGAACTTATATAGCACTTTTCTAGACACCCAAAGATGCTTTTCACACACTCTCACATTCACACACAGCTAGTGATGGTAAGCTACTTGTGGCCACAGCCGCCCTGGGGAGGTCTGACAGAGGCGAGGCTGCCATTTGGCGCCGTCGGCCCCTCTGACCACCACTAACACAGGCAAGTTGAGTGAGGTGTCTTGCCCAAGGACACAACAGCAGGATACCCCTGGCGGGAGCTGGAATCAAACCCATAACCCTCCGATCATGAGGCAACCCGTTCTACCACCTGAGCTACTGCTGCCCCAAGGAAGATGTATGTATGGTTTATATGAACATGGATACCATTTGTTAAAGAGGGGTGTGCTGGTGAAGGTTCTCCGTCATCCAGGTCAGGGATTCATATGAAGGCAACTGGACTTCTTTGGTTTCTTGAAGATGCTTCACTTCTCATCCGAAAAGCTTTGTCACTTCTGACTGGAATATGGGAGGGTCCCCATTGCCTTCATTTGATCCCCTTTGGATTAAAAGGAGGTGGGGAGATCTTTGCTGGAGAGGGGACAGTTGGGTGATCAGCAAGTTTCAAGTAGTGGCCACAGCCCCTGGCCACCCCTTGGGGGCGCCACTGTATGGATATTGCAATGATTGTCAAGCCAAGTATTCCTTATTCTGGACTCTACAGGTGCTGGCCAGTAAATTAGAATATCATCAAAAGGTTGAAAATATTTCAGTAATTCCATTCAAAACGTGAAACTTGTACATTATATTCATGCAATGCACACAGACCAATGTATTTCCGATGTTTATTACGTTTAATTTTGATATTTATAGGTGACAACCAATGAAAACATCAAATCTGGTATCTCAGAAAATTAGAATATTCTAAAGGCCAATGAAAAAATGTTTGTTTCTCTAATGTTGGCCAACTGAAAAGAATGAACATGAAAAGAATGTGCATGTATAGCACTCAATACTTAGTCGGGGCTCCTTTTGCCTCAATAACTGCAGTAATGCGGCGTGGCATGGACTCGATCAGTCTGTGGCACTGCTCAGGTGTTATGAGAGCCCAGGTTGCTCTGATAGTCGTCTTCAGCTCCTCTGCATTGTTGGGTCTAGCGTATTGCATCCTCCGCTTCACAATACCCCATAGATTTTCTATGGGGTTAAGGTCAGGCGAGTTTGCTGGCCAATCAAGGACAGGGATACCATGGTCCTTGAACCAGGTGCTGGTGGTTTTGGCACTGTGTGCAGGTGCCAAGTCCTGTTGAAAGGTGAAGTCTGCATCCCCATAAAGTTGGTCAGCAGCAGGAAGCATGAAGTGCTCTAAAACTTCCTGGTAGACGGCTGCATTGACCCTGGACCTCAGGAAACAGAGTGGGCCAACACCGGCAGATGACATGGCACCCCACACCATCACTGACGGTGGAAACTTTACACTGGACCTCATGCAACGTGGATTCTGTGCTTCTCCGCTCTTCCTCCAGACTCTGGGTCCTTGATTTCCAAAGGAAATGCAGAACTTGCTTTCATCAGAAAACATAACTTTGGACCACTCAGCATCAGTCCAGTCCTTTTTGTCCTTGGCCCAGGCGAGACGCTTCTTGCGCTGTTTCTTGTTCAAGAGTGGCTTGACACACGGAATGCGACACCTGAATCCCATGTCTTTCATGAGTCTCCTCGTGGTGGTTCTTGAAGCGCTGACTCCAGCTGCAGTCCACTCTTTGTGGATCTCCCCCACATTTTTGAATGGGTTTGTCGTCACAATTCTCTGCAGGGTGCGGTTATCCCTAGAGCTTGTACACTTTTTTCTACCACATTTTTTCCGTCCCTTCGCCTGTCTGTTAATGTGCTTGGACACAGAGCTCTGCGAACAGCCAGCTTCTTTAGCAATCACCTTTTGTGTCTTGCCCTCCTTGTGCAAGGTGTCAATGATTGTCTTTTGGACAGCTGTTAAGTCAGAAGTCTTCCCCATGATTGTGGTGCCTTCAAAACAAGACTGAGGGACCTTTTAAAGGCCTTTGCAGGTGTTTTGAGTAAATCAGCTGATTAGAGTGGCAGCAGGTGTCTTCTATATTCAGCCTTTTCAGAATATTCTAATTTTTTGAGATACCAAATTTGGAGTTTTCATTAGTTGTCACTTATGAATATCAAATTTAAATGTAATGAACATTGGAAATACATTGGTCTGTGTGCATTGCATGAATATAATGTACAAGTTTCACGTTTTGAATGGAATTACTGAAATATTTTCAACCTTTTGATGATATTCTAATTTACTGGCCAGCACCTGTAAGTCCAATTCACAGAACCTATTATGAATCTATGTACCAATAAATTAGCTTGAATTTGTCTTTGGTGATTTGTAACACTTCTCTAATAAAAAAATAATGCATTGGCTATTCTTAATTGTAAAGACTGGCTTATTGTCTGTTTGTGTGTTTGTTTGTTTGTTTGTTTGTTTCCTACGTAACTGAATTTAATTGAAACGAACAGAAAGTCAACAGAAGCAAATGTAGGATGCTGTGGGAAATTCACCTCCAAAATGACTCAAACACTTGTGTGCATTGCAGTGTTCTCCAGACAGACCGGATGCACCGCTGGTTTTGCGGACGTGCCGCGATGCGCATCCTCCTCCTTTGACTCATGCAACTCGGCTCCTGATTGGTGGAAACCACCAGGAAGCGACGAAGGGAACTCCTCCATTTGAGAGCAGTCAACTCATTCCACTCGCTCCTGCAGCATCCTCACACCCTATCTGATTGTAAAAGATACCGAGACCTATTATTTATATCCTTTTTTAGTGGCCTCATCGCTAATCCGAGAGCGATACCCCCTGTTTCTGAAGAATCCTCTGTTTAAGAGTTACCGGAAGTACAGCTCAGAGGGCATCGGTGTGAGGATGGCCGCGTACAAGTTGGTTCTGATCCGCCATGGAGAGAGCTGCTGGAACCAGGAGAACCGTTTCTGCGGCTGGTTCGACGCGGACTTGAGTGAGACCGGAGAGCAGGAGGCAAAACGGGGCGGACAGGCCCTGAAAGGTGCGTTAGCTCACCCTGTCACCTGGTTTAATCCGAGTGGCTGGATTAAGAAAGGTGGCGGTTGTGTAGCTAGTTAGCCGATGGGGGAAAGGCATCGACAGCTCATTTCGACACCTTAAAGCAGCAACAGGGGAAGTCCAGTAACTGGGATGTTTTACCTACCCAGAAAAATCATCATTAACTACTAGTATACTAATACATACAAAATGTTGGCTGCTATTACATATATTTTCAAAGGGGAAATTTAAATTAAGGCAATAATGCATGAAGTATTAAATTTCCCATCAGTTGTATGTTGATTTTTTCCCCCCAAGTGAGGGTGTGGGTCCCCCAGAGCCACGTGGTTTCTGACTGAACACATGCATCAGGGCACATCTGCCAAATGATGCTCAAAGCCATTCAAAAGGCTCAAGAGTAGCAGTTTCAGTCAACATTACACAAAAAAAATCTGCATTTACCTGCACAGTATATAAGAAAGTAATAAATAGTGAAAGTTTTTCTTTATCTCTCCAATTTGACTCAGATGCCGGCTATGAATTTGATATTTGCTACACCTCTGTCCTTAAGAGGGCCATCCGCACCCTGTGGTTTGTTCTGGACAGCATCGACCAAATGTGGCTACCAGTCCACCGGACCTGGCGGCTCAATGAGCGCCACTACGGTGGCCTGACTGGGTTGAACAAGGCTGAAACTGCTGCCAAACACGGAGAAGCTCAGGTCAAGATCTGGAGGCGTTCTTTTGATATTCCTCCTCCGCCCATGGATGAGGAACATGCCTATTATCAAAACATAAGCAAGGTGATGTTCTCCACTGTTTGCATACGTGCTAAAAACATAGAGTAAACCCAGCTGACATGGCTAGCTCTTCGTTTTTGTGTGGTAGGACCGGCGTTATGCTGACCTGACGGAGGACCAGCTTCCCAGTTGTGAAAGTCTCAAGGATACCATCGCCAGGGCGCTTCCCTTCTGGAATGAAGTGATAGTTCCTCAGATCAAGGAGGGGAAAAGGATTCTGATTGCTGCTCATGGGAACAGCCTTCGGGGTATTGTCAAGCATCTCGAGGGTAAGAGAAAGAGGAAGCTTTTCCTCAGCACGTTGACAAACATCTCACAGATCTACAAATCTCCATTTGTTTTCCAGGCATGTCCGAGGAAGCCATCATGGAGCTGAACCTGCCCACGGGCATTCCTATTGTATACGAGCTGGACAAGAACCTGAAACCTCTAGGACCCATGCAGTTCCTGGGAGATGAGGAGACTGTCAAGAAAGCCATGGAAGCTGTAGCTGCTCAGGGCAAAGCCAAGAAGTAGACTTGTTCTCCCCCTGGATCAAATACTACAGATTATCAACGTGCAGTTCTTTCAATGCGTTTAAAAAGGAAAAACAAAGGTCATTGAATGTTTTCTTCATCACAGACTTGCACAGCTGTGCACTTTATAGAAATAATACCCCACCTTCACACATGTACAGTCCGATGTTTGGCTTCATTGTGCTGTATGTTGTGAAGCATTCATAAGGTGTAAGCACTGAGAGAATGAAAGTTAGGGACCAGAGAATAGAAGCATATTTAAATATCTGGTAGAGATTTGTCCTGAAGATTCCTGAAAACTCGACGGGAACAGAATCGCCTCATCAGTCACACTGGATGTTGATAAAAAAAGAGCAAATGTTATGTGTTCTGCACTGCTACACTTTGTTTGCTGTGGTGTTGAGAAAAAGAATAAATGTGAGATAATATTTGTCTATGGTGGTGTTTTTCTAACACGGCTTAACTGTTTGGACTTTGTGTCAAAAATAAGAAAATTATTACATTTTTTGGGTTTAGGTTTTAATATGTATATATTTTTTTAATATGATGAAATTTCTCTGCAACAGTGAAGGCAGACTTGTCTTATGAGGCTTTTTTTGCTTGTAGAGGAAACACTACGTTTGTAGAGGAGGATAGCTCACTACTGGTTTAATGTGAAATTTACATCAAACAACAAAAAATTTGCAGTGCTGATAAAAGCACTTCTGTTTTTTTTTCCCTGAATACAATTTACAAGGCATTCAGTCCTACTAGAGACTACTGCAGATGTACTGATTCAATGAGTGTTCAACACCTTTTAAATGTCCTTATGCGTGTGAGGGTTGTTTCTGGGCGCTCTTGGTTCCCAAAGAAATTTATATTGCCAAACTTTATTCACAGGAGCAAAATTTTAAAAGTTTCCCTTATTTCTTTGATTCCACCCATCCATTTTCATCTGCTTATCGAGGGTCGGGTCGTGGGGGCAGCAGCCTAAGCAGGGAGGCCCAGACTTCCCTCTCCCCAGCCGCTTGGGTCAGCTCCTCCGGGGGAATACAAAGGTGTTCCCTGGTCAGCTGAGAGACACAGTCCCTCCAGTGGGTCTTCCTTTAGGTCTTCTTCTGGTTGGACGTGCCCAGAAAACCTCACCAGGGGGGCGTCCTAACTAGATGCCCGAGCCACCTCAACTGGCTCCTCTTGATGTGGAGGAGCAGCGTGTCTACTCCAAACCCCTCCTGGATGACCAAGCCTATCTTTAAGGGAGAGCCCAGCCACCCTGCAGAGAAAAATTTCGGCTGCTTGCATCCGCAATCTCATTCTTTCAGTCTCTACCCAAAGGTCGTGACCATAGGTGTGAGTTGGAACGTAGATCAACCAGGAAATCAACAGATCGGTACAACACCCACGTTACTGCAGACGCAGCACCAATCCGCCTGTCGATCTTGTGCCCCATCTTCTCCTCACGTGTGAACAAGACCCCGAGATACATTAACTCCTCCACTTGGGGCAGAACCTCATCCCTGACCTGGACAAGTTCTTCTACCATTTTCCGACTCAAGACCATGGTGTCGGATTTAGAGGAGCTGATTCTCATCCCGACTCCTTCACACTGTGCTGTGAACCGCTCCAGTGAGAGCTGGAGATTACGTTCTGATGAAGCCAACAACAGGACAACGTCATCTGCAAAAGCAAAGACTTTCTTAGCTTTTAAAAATAATTTCATATTTATGTTAAATCGTTAACAGTTATGAAAGAACAAAAGCTCAGAAACTATATTCCTTTTCAATAAATATTATCTTGTCAGCAAGATAAATAACTGATAAACCTTTAGTTTTTTTACCCTTTATGTGATTCTCTTGATGTTTGTGGTCTTTATTTGATACTTCAGCCATGTTTGTTTGTTCACACACTTAAATGAATGTTCTTTATATGTGCTTCATCTTTAATAAAGTAAAAACAAGTTTTCCCTTACAAACCAAAAACATAAAGGTTGGCGACACCCCGCGGAGAGTGTGAGTACAAATCGGAGCGCTTCGTTTTCTCGCACATGAGCACTGGAGCCTTCCTTCGCCCTTTTCCGGTCTCCACAGCCGGACCAATCAGAATCGACTCCAGACGACGTCCCAACCAATGAGCTCGCAAGCTACTCTTGTCGAAAACATGTCGCCCATGAAGTTGTGTGTTCCAGGTGAGTCCGCTGATTTAATGTTCCATACAAGGCACTGCGTAGATTTAGAACCGTGTTTTGGTCACGTACCAATTCCAGCTCGTGTAGACGTCGATGTGTCACTAAAGTATGCATTTAAACTTCAGTCAGAGGGCTTTAAAGTTGCCCCAACTGCTACACGCGTGGAATTAGCACATATTTATCATTCGTTCACACACCCAAAAGAAATCCGCTAACCAGCTTTAGTACTAAATTGTGTTTATGCTACATCAAAACAAAACGATCACTCACTAGACTATGCAGGATTAGCAGTTTGCCATGTTGATAAAACGAAATGAAAGGCAACTAAATCACAAACTCACATTAAAAATGAGAGGGTTTGACTAAAGTCACAAACAGTGGTTGTGCTCTTCAGGTGTGTTCATGTCTGTGATGTTAACACTGTTCGTTTGTTATTTTACTGTAGCGTTTTCTGACCCTTGTTGTCTGTTTGCACTCAGGTGACAAGCTTTGCAGTGAGGGAGACTGTAATCCAGGCGCAGGAGTATATCTGCGGCATGGCTACATTTACTCCTCACTCGCAGGCTTTGTGCTCAAGACAACCGAAGGCGAGAAGGTGAGGATCATAATGTAATACATATACTTAAAGAGCAAGTCACCCCAAATCAACTTTATTTTGTCTGATAAACTATATAAACGTGTATCTAATCGTGCTGCAGACCCGTGTTGTCAATAGTTTTGCACTTAAGTGCATTTTAGTTAAAATTTTAATTTTCTGCCTAAAACTGTCAGTGTTGTGCCATGGTCAGGTAAAAACTCTGCGCTGCATTTGAGTTTAAATCTGCCATCGGTATTGGCTAAAGCCTGATTCATGCTTCTCCGTCTGCGTCAGTGTGGAGACACGCAACGTCCTTGCGGGCCTGCCGGAGAGCTCCGCAAGGACGGACGGAGTCGAGCTCTCTTTTCTAAACATCCGTCAGTCGAGACGGACAACGCAAGCTTGTGATTGGTCAGGACGCCGCTGTTGTCTACAGCGCCGCCATTGCGCCCGCAAAAACATAAAGAGAGCCGAGGATAACAAGCGGCAGACACGGAGAAGCTTGAAGAATACCTCGCGAAAAACCTCTAAAATATGAACGTTTAATTCCCCGTGACTGGAGGAGTGAAAAGATGCGCAGCAAGCATTTTATTTGTGGACAGAAATGACAGGAAACCTGGGTTTAAGGTGGCGAGCGCATGAAGAAGACAATGAAAAAACATAATATAAACGCACTATCTTGGACCGATAAATGACAGGATACCACAGAACAGCGCTACGCCCTCTGTTGTCCTGCCGGGGAATTGCTTTGCAACACTCCAGGGGACGGAGAAGTATGAGAGCAAAACGCTTCCATCAATCCATGCGTGTCTGTCCCTTGCGGAGCTGACGGAGAAGCATGACCCAGGCTTAAGAGGTACCCTAGAACGTTAGTTGGTACCATATGATGTCACAATGCTGTGTGTGTGTGTGTTAGTGGCTCCGCCCTCTCGGTCTGCCAGGCAACAGCATTTGTTGCATTTTTCACACATGAAGTGGGAGTGGAGTACAACTCTGGTAGGGGGTGACTTGCTCTTTAAGTTTCAATGTTTAAAACTGATTCCAGGGAGCAAAATTGTGTCACATTTGATAAAATAAACAAAATAAATGCAGTTAGCCTCATTTCATCTGTAACTCGACTACTCTGCCTAAATTAGGTGAAATAAGAAAATCCAGCTAATGAATTACGACTTGGACAGAATGTGACTGAATTCATAATTTTAGGCAGTTTTTCTTGCACTCTGAAGCTTTTCTGTGTTTTTAAGCTTAATTCTTTAATGTTGAGATGAGCAGTGAAGCTCACACCCGTGATGATACAACTCTTTCTACATATTTTCTTAAACACTGCTTGGTCTCTATCCATTTGTACTAATTTATATAAATGAAATTCTTAATGTGATGGACAATGTTTAATTCCATTTAGGTGATTGTGGTATTTGGACTAGAGTTAATAGCTGTTGTATACAGTAGCTTTGTAGTGGACCAAAAATGATATAGTGCCTTCTAGGGTTCTACAACCCCTCCAAGGCATCACCCATGCACACACGCATTCACTTGCTGGTGGTAATGAGCTACAGTGTAGCTACAGCTTCCCAATGGTGCGCTGAAAAAGGTGAGGCCTTCCATACACTGGCACCACCATTCCCTCTGACCACCACCACCAGCAGGCAAGGTGGGTTAAGTGTCTTGCCCAAGGACACACCAGCAGAATTCTGTGCAGGGATCGATCCTACAACCCTTCGATCACTGGACTACCCGCTTTACTTCCTGAGCTACTGCTGAAGATTTAAATGTACTTATTACTGACTTTTGTACTCATGAATGCATTTGTGTGTTTTTAGTTACCAGTGATCTCAGTGGTGAGAGAAACAGAAGCTCAACTACTTCCAGATGTAGGAGCCATTGTCACCTGTAAGGTATGTTATGGAAACAGTTTTCTAAAATGAGATTAAAGACGTCTCTGATTAAAGGGGCATTATGGAAGTGTGACAGCCAAAACATGTATAGAAATAATAAATGTCTTCTTCATACATTCTCCTGCAATGCCCTGGTCCTGTAGAATGAGCCCTGGCATTTTTACTGTGATTGCCTGTTTTTCTGTAAAATCACAGAAAAAGAGAGATGCTCGGGTCGAGCAGGCTGCTTCATGCGCGTTCACGCTCAGGCATCGCCCGTAGCATTTGCTATCCGTAGCTTTAGCAGCAGAGAGAGAGGTAGTGCCACTTTGTTGCTGTTCCTAACGCCTAGTGACAAAGCTAGCTACATTTCTGAGGACCCTTAGCTACTTTCTGTAGAACTTTCTTCTAGATATTTCCTGCAAATTAGCAACAAAATAGCCATTTTCGCTCCGAACCGTTCTTTGAACGTTGTTTCAGCTGTCATCAAGGATATAAACGTTACAGATACAAAGGACATCACTGGCGCTTTAGCTCACCTATTAAGATGTTGGACTCTCGTGCAGAAGACCCGGGTTCGATTCTGGATGTAAACATAGTTTAATTAGTTTCTTTTTTACATTAATGGTATATTTTTTACAGTAAGATACCCAAATTTTTATTTGAGACTCGCCGAACGGCATTGAATTCACAGATAAAAAAGATGTGGGTTCAACTTTCATTTTGGAACAATTTTTCAAGCAAGGGAAGGGAATGATCTGAGCATGCAGGAGGACTGACCCATCATAAACCTTTGTCGGCTGTGCTGAAGAGAAAGGTACAGAACCACATTATTTAATTAATTAGCTGCGTGTTCTCCTATCCTCTGTCCTCCGGGCCACACACACACACACACACACACACAAGGGACTGCCTCAGCTGTTATTTTCGTTAAGGAGTGTGCACGTACAGCATGCACGCCTCGTGCACGAGCCTACTATTGAAGCTGCCGTTACGCTTTTGGCCTGAGGGGGGCGATCGCGAGCATAAAAAAAGCATCAAACCTCTGTAAAGTCCCTTTAAGGACAGTTATTTTTGTATTATATGTATTTAGGGGGTGTTTTTTTTTACACAAATCAAGAAAAAAAAGTGCCTTTTCAAATAAAATGTATTCATAAATCACCTTAAAAACAAACAAAGTGCAACATAATAAACATCATACAAATGACCAAAAGAAACATTTAAGTTAAGCTCTTTATCATTTTTTACACCAGTTAAACTCAGATGATCATATCTGAAACGTGCACTAAAACTCAAGACGGGGACAGCCAGTGCATTCACAGATGTCAGTACTTTGTGTTCAGGTTTGCCTTTTACTAACTTGTCTTTTAAAGGTGACCAGCACCAACCCCAGGTTTGCCAAAGTCCACATCCTGTATGTGGGTTCCACACCGCTGAAGGACCGCTTCAGAGGGACCATCAGGTAACCTCACTACGTAAATCCAGTTTGATTAACTTTCCTAAACTCTTAGCTCACTCTCTCCGTATCTACAGGAAAGAAGACGTGCGAGCAACAGAGAAGGATAAAGTGAGCTAGAATTCGTACTTTTACTTGGATTGTTTACTTATTTTTGCTCCTTCTGTTTCCTTACTGATGGTTCTGTTTTGTTTACAGGTGGAGATATACAAAAGCTTCAGAACGGGCGACATTGTTTTGGCTAAAGTGGTATCCTTCAACAAGCTCTCCAAGAAAGAAAACCAAACAAATTTAAAAGCTATTTTCAGCTCATAACCCAGTTTCATTGGGACCTGTAAAATTTGCTGAGCTGAATGGGACAAAATGAATGAATGAATCTTAGAAATGACAGCAAACAATGTTCACATGTTACTACTGACTCCGGTGCTTCAGTCTGAACGTTACTGATTACTAATCTTGACCTTTGATGTCAGATTTCTCTCGGTGACATTCAGTCTAACTACTTGTTAACAACAGCTGAGAATGAACTGGGTGTGGTGGTGGCCCACAGCGAGGCAGGTACGTTCCTCACCTCTTTCACTTCATCTTTCCAAACTAAACAGCTGCTCAGATCTGACCAGCTCACTCAGGTTCTGCAGGAACAGCAGGGGGTCCAAAGTGGGAGGAAAAGATTTCTGATTAGAACTTAAGTAACATTATTAACTTCCATAATGACAGCATTACTGATTAATTCTCTAGTGTTATTTTCATCATAGCTAAATATTATTACTCTCAATTTCCGACCAAATGCAAAGATATTATCTATCTGATTTAGTAGCTAATTATTTGCGCTTGAAAACATTTCTTATCGTATTTTCAAGGTTTGAAAAGTGCTTAAAATTGGCCAAAAATACTTTAAGCTTCTTAAAAATGTAGTTGAATTCATTTTGTAAATCATCAACTAATAATTATCTATTTTTAAGAACTATTTTATTCAAAGATATTTCTTTATCTTGTGTCCTATGTTATATAATAATAGAGTTAAATAAAATATAACAATAATAAAGAAAAAAAATTTGGCCCTCACCATCTGTAGAGCCGCCACCAGGGGGCAGTAGACATGTATAGGACTAAATATGGCAGGTTTGTAGCAAAGTTCTTCACTGCACTTCTAAATGTACATATGTGATCTTATGGTAATTTTTTCGAAAAAAAAATAAAATAAAATAAAAAAATTACTCTTGAATGTTTAGATTTTTTTCTAACAATTCTTTTAAAGTAATTGTTCATTGTTTTTTGTTCACATACATGTTTTGATGTGTAGGCCATTAAAAGCTTCAGCAGAACTTGTAGCATTAACATTCATTCATTCAAGCTGCCTTTAAATAAATAAAATAGATTTCTAAAAGTAAAGTACTGGTTTCATGTGTGAAATGGTTTCAGCTTGAACACATAGCTGGAAAGCCTCAAAAATTCTCAACAGGTCTAAATTGGGCCATGGTGGCAAAAGGGTTAAGTGCTCGCCCCGTAATCGCAGGTTCGAGCCCCACTCAGTCTGTCGTTGTGTCCTTGGGCAAGACACCTAACCCCCCTTGCCTGCTGGTGGTGGTCAGAGGGACCGGTGGCGCCAGTGCTCGGCAGCCTCGCCTCTGTCAGTGCGCCCCAGGGCAGCTGTGGCTACATCGTAGCGCATCCCCACCAGCGTGTGAATGGGTGAATGACTGATTGTGTTGTAAAGCGCATTGGGGGGTTCCAGGACTCTAGAAGGCACTATATCAAATACAGGCCATTTACCAAATTTGCATTTGGAAAAAGTGTAAGAGCCTTTTAATATTGCTGACATGAAAACAGGTGTTTTCCGTCGTATTTTCCCTACTTTCTTTTCTTGTAAATAACTTCCCATTTTTCTGCATGTTTCTAACATTTTTACCACATTTTCCCCTGAACCAGGAGCCCAGATGATTCCCATCAGCTGGTGCGAGATGCAGTGTCCGTTGACTCACGCCAAAGAGTTTCGTAAAGTGGCTCGAGTCCAGCCTGAGTATTTGGAAGCGTGACAGCCTGGACAGTCTTCACTTGGTACACGCAACTTCCATCTTCCTTCAAGCAGCTCCTGCTCCAGCTTTTGTTTTTCTGTGCATCATGTGATTCACGGGCCACTTCTGGTTTAAGTGTTTCAAACAGCTGCACATTTTGTCATCCTTTCATTGTGCTTTTCTGACTGGTAAACAATAGCAGTTAGTTTTTTACCAGCAGACCCAAGAACACAGAAGTTAAACATGATTTTTATTTTTGGAAAGGGCCAGTAACGGTAGCTGGAAGAGCTCTACGCTTTATGGTTCGTCACAAATCGTGCTGGTGTTTTGCTGTCTTGGGCTTAAAGCTGATGAAGACATTTGTTCACTGTTGGAAAGCCCAGCGCTAAACCAAATGTTTGATGCAGCTACAGCGTAGAAAATAATGAAACGTTAAGTTACCTTCCTGTATATAACTGAGTCAACCGTACATAAGCCTTGCCTTTTACGAAAATGTACTTTGCTGTTTAACTTTCAAAAGTACAATAAATTAAAATGACTGATTCTACTTTGTCTGCAGTTCCTGCTTTGTGCACCTAACTATTCAATTGTTTTCTACAATCCTTCAAATTAAACATTTTGTAACTTACTGAACATCATAATTCATGTGTCACATTTAGAATTAAATGGCAAACTTTGGTTTTGTAGATTTATTTTTCAAAACATCAAAATGTATCAAAGCCATTAAAACTAAAATATTCACACTAACAGAGGCGTTGCTTTGAATTGTTTTACATAATCCGGTTTTGACACTGATGGTTTCATCTACATTTTGTACAACTCAGCCAACATTCGATCACCTCTAAAGTGAAACTAACGAGACTGAACTCATTTACAACGCTGATATAAAAAAAAAAGGTTTATCCAAACATCCACCTTCCTGATCAGTCATCAAAGCGAATTGATCGACTTGCATTGACATCAATGAAGAACTTTTTATTGGGTGGGGCGTTAAACCCAAGCCCCGCCCCCTTTTTACTGAAGTCCATTCTGCGTGAGTGGGCTCGCTCAAACTCTCCCATCAGCCCTTGCTGCAGTCGCTGCTGAGCATCCTTTCCCAGTGCCATGCCGCCTCCTCCAGATGTCCCCACAGCTGGCTGGAAGCCCTTTTTGAAGCCTCCCATCAAACGCAGGAACTTCTGCTGCTGGTCCGAGTCGTCGAACTGAGCCGTGCTCCACTGGCCGAGACCCTGAGACACACACAGTGGGAAGAAAAGTGAGAAAAAACTGAACTTGGAGGAGCCTGCTCTACTCGACTCGAACTTTATTTACCTAGCACTTTACAAAAGCATGCCACCAAAGTGCTTCACACACACACAGATGAAATAGAGCACATAAAATTTACAATAAAAACAAAACTACACAAACAAAACCATAAAATGAGAGAAAATTGGCAGCACTATGAATCAAAAATGGGTCTTCAGCTTAGATTTTAAAACTACTAGAGAAGAGGACTGCCGAACATGTAGTGGAAGCTCATTCCAGAGTTTTGGAGCTGCTACTGAAAAAGCTCTGTCACCACGCATCTTCAGCCACGACCTGGAGACCACGAGCAAGGACACGTCTTCTGAATGAAGTGCCCGAGAGAGGGAACACATACTGGAGCCAAACCATTAAGAGCTTCAAAAGCCAATAAAGTAACTTTAAAATGGTTTCTAAAAGACAGGTAGCCAAAGTAGATCTGCCAGCATTGGCGTAGCATGTTCAAACTTTCGCCTGCCTTCCAGAAATCTCCCGGCAGCATTCTGGACAAGCTGCAGACGACCAAAGACACTCTGACTCACTCCGATGGGGTCAGAGTTGCAGTAGTCCAGGCGAGAAGTTATGAATGCATGCACAACTGTTTCCAGATCACATCTAGACAAAAATGGTTTAACCTTAGCCAAGTGTCTTAGATGATAAAAGGAAGATGCTACAACCACATTTATGTGACCTCTACAACAAAAGTCTTTGTCAATCTTCACATCTAAATTTACAACAGAATCACTCATGTGGGGGTTAAATCACCACAGTCTACCATGGAGGTATCAGTGTGACTACTGAGACCAAAAAGCATTGCTCCGTCTTCCGTTTGTTGATGCGCAAGAGGTTCTCTGCCATCCATGCTTCGACTTCACTCAGACAATTTAAAAACTTTGACACTGGTCTACCACCAGACCCATCCTAAGGTAAATAAAGCTCACAGTCATCAGCATACAGGTGAAAAGCGATACCATGCTTCCCGTGGGGTATCACCCAAAGGCAGAATGTGCATGCAAAAATAAATAAATAAATAAACTAGTATGTATTCATATGTGTATATATGTATGTATATAGGTCTATAAGTAACGTTATGCTTCTTTCTGTATAACTTGTGTTCTCTCTTTTCTTCAATTCATGGGTTGAGATTGTGTCGGCCAACAAGTCCAGGAACTATATTGTTCAAATTTTTTTAAGAATCATATGATAATTTCATTTGTATTTATGTTATTTTAGTTAAAAGGGGCAGACAACATAAGTTTTTCTTCTTTCTGTCCCCTTATTCATTTTGGCTTGCAGCAATTTAGTTCTGTATTTTTATTTTAATGTCAATAAATGAAAATAAAAGCTTTAAAAAAAATTAGTGATGGACAATATATCTGCATCAATACCTGTATCGGCCAATGTTAGTCGTTTTAACATATCGGTATCAATCTGATAATTAAAAAAAAAAGCAGCCCGACATTATCAATTGATATTTTTTCCATCTTGTACCATTCGTTTGCCTGTATCAGAGGGTGAGGGGGGTGATGTGTATTTGTTAAGTCATGTCACAGTGATTGTAATAATTGCAGAAACGTGAATGTGTGTACATAATAACATAAATTCAGCTTTAATATTTTTTTATTCTATACAAAATCTGCTGATTTTAGAAGCATTAATGTCAGGATATCAATATCGGCAAATATCGGTTATCGGCCATAACAGTGATCTTAATATCGGATATCGGTCCAAAAATTTCATATTGGTGCATCACTACGCAAAACAGCGGGGGGTTTCAGTATAGAACCCTGCGGATCACCCTAGCGAAGAAATCTGAAGAAAAACCACCCATCTGCACACTCCCCATTCTGTTTGAGAGATAGGACCAAAACTAGTTTAAAGCCATTCCTAATGCTTAAGACGATGCAACAACATCTCGTGGTCCACCATCAAAGGCTGCGGTCAAATCCAACAGAACAAGCAGCACAAACCGTCCGTCATCAGAGGCAAGAAGAATATCATTTAAGACCTTTAGCAAGGCTGTCTCGTTATGGCCTAGAGGTCTAAAACCAGATTGGAAATTTTATAAAATATTTTCCTGAAAAAAATCCATCAGCTGGCCATAGACACATCTTTCCATCAGCTTCCTTAAAAAAGGAGGCTTAGAGATTGGTTTATAATTAGATGGCATCTAGCCCGGGTTTCTTTTTAAGAGTGGATGAATGACCACTCTTAAAATCATTAGGCACAACACCATGCTCTAAAATTATGACTTAAGAGGAAACTGATTAGAAAAGCCAACACTGACCATTGGTTTGGTTGTTTTCTTGGGTTGAGACGCCACATCTATCTCCATTTGTAGAGCCTTTCTTCTGTCCTGGCACATATATGATTCAACTGATGAGATTTAAAAGAACACAAACTCAAAGTTACACTAATGGAACAGTGCAGAGGGTCACGGCTACCTGGTTAATGTCGATCTCATCAGTGTTTCCATTTTTCTTTGACAGGAAAACTACGTCCACAATGGAAACCTGTAACACAAAGTCCAATAAAACCATTAAATTAAAACATCCAAACACCGTGCTGGTAAACCATGACACTTTCTCTCACCTGGAGGTCATTTTCTTCGCTGTAGGAGTCTTTTTGCTCTTCTTTGATCTTTTTAGCTGCAGGATCAATCTTCTTCACTTTCAACACGGTTTTATTCTTTTTGCCTTTTTTTATCTGAGCGTCTGCCGACATTGTCACATAATTTTCCCTGCTCTCCTCATCAGCCTTTGCTTTTTTCCTTTTCTTCTTTGGCTCCGTCTCTTCTTCATTCACATCCTCCACAGAAATCGTTCCAGGCTTTTCTTTTATTCTCTTTTTCTTCTTCTTTGGCTTTCCTTCATCTGTGACCTTCTCCTCTTCTGGAAATGTCTCTTTTTCGTCGTCGTTTTTGTATTTCTTGAGAATTTTGACAACTTTTGTCTCTCGTTTCTTTTTGCTTTTCTCAGTTTCTTCCAAACCATAAGTAAGCCCTTCCTTCTTCTTTTTCAGTTTTCTCTTCTCAGGCTCTTCTGACTTTGTTCCATTTTCTTCTACTTTTAGTTTCCTTTTAGTTTTTGTTGTAAATGCACCCTCTGCAGTTAAAAGTCTGTCTTTCTTCTTTTTCCTTTTTTTAACATTTCCACTTTGCTCTGGGTTTCCAGTGAGATCATCAGATTTTATTTTTTTACCTTTCTTAGGGATTTCATCTTTTTGAATTTGTTCCTCTTCTGTTTTGCTTTCTGTCTTGTTTTGTATAGGTGGATCTTTTAATTTCTTCCTCTTTTCTACTTTTTCTTCCTTTACAACAATCTGGATATTTTCTAGTTTATCATCATTTGCTAACCGAGTCTTCTTTTTCTTCTTGCTCATGGTTTTCTCCTCATCGATGGCCTCCTTCACAAAATTACTATCAACTTTTCTTTTTTTCTTTATTTTCTTTTTCTCTTCATGCTCACCACTTTCATTCAAACCTTCCTCTTCCTTTGCCACCATTTTAACCTTTTTACATTTTTTTTCTTTTTTCACCTCCATGGTGCCAATTTCACTTTCATGATGAGAAGCTTTTTTCTTTTGCTTCTTTTTCTTCGGTTTGAGATTTTCTTCACAGTTGTCCTCTTCCATCTTTATTTCTTCAAGCTTCTTTACACAAACAGCTGGCTTAGTCTGTTAATAATAATTATATAAAGAATAGAAGCTTTACTTTATAATTTCAAGGTGCAGGTTGAGCCAGTAGAATACATACTAACCAAACGTTTGAGTAGCTGCGTAGGCTGTGATTGCACATCAATTTCTCTTTGCAGGGCCAGTCGCTTCTCCTGCAAGAAATCAAGCAGAAATTATCCAAAATGTCAATCGTCACCACATTAAAATGGATTTTTTGTTTAAATCTCATACATTGTAAGTACAGTTGACCATGCAGATACACTAGTTTGACTGTGTAAATAAAAAATTGTGTAAAGTTGTATTTTTCCATGTGTAACTAGTGTTGGCTTGGCTGCTATAGCTTTCTGCATCAACTACCAGCACATCCAGCATCTCGTAGCTTCTGTAATGGTTAAATGATTCTGGGGAGATAAATCTGGATTGCACTGTGATGCTCTCACTCATAAAACAAGCAAACTAGGCCAATTTGAAAGGCAAATGTAAGCCTGTAAAGTATCCTTACCTGGTCGATTGTGATCTCTACCGGTTTAGAAACAGACTTTTCAGACACAAAAATGACATCCTGATCTGAGTCCGTCTGAGGAAAAAAGTATGTTTTCACTCAAATGTTGATTTTCCGTTTACTACAAACAAAGTCTAGAGCAATAATGCAACAAATAAAACGAACAGGACCGTAGCTGCTATGCTAGCGAGCAAACAGCAGCTAAATGCTAACAAAAACATCTAGAAAGCAATGAATAAATGAACGAATCGGCTTGGACGTAAAACTGTTGAACCACAACCTCAAACATCCGCATAAAATATAAACTTAATAAGAGGTTAGCTTACTTTGCACAATTTGATTTTCACGTGGACACTCGTTTACACGCTCCACCCGGAAGTTGTTGTTTTCAGTTCCTTTTACTGACGTACAAAACGGGGTCGTCCCTAGCAACGGGCGCGCGCAGCAGATGTCGTTGGTTTGGTATTTGTAGTAAAAAAAAAAAATATATATATATATATATATATATATATATATATATATATATATATATATATATATATATATATATATATATATATATATATATGTGTATATATATAATAAACAAACAGACATAGGTGCTGTCTGGATTTTAAAACAATGAAATCAGGTGTATTCTTTTTTTTTTTTTTTTTTTTTTTGCTCCATTCGCAAATTATGTAGCACTACAATTTGATAATACAGTGATAGTTCAGATAGTTTGAAGTGAAAAGGTTATGGAAAAATAATAGAGAAGATGTAACCAGACACGAGTTAATGGCTATTCTCAGTTAAGCCAGTCAAAACGTTTCTGCTGTTTTAAACCAACTCAAATCTCAAAATCTTCATAGCGGTTCATCAGAATAATATTTTATAAACATCCTCATAACTATTAATTTTGTATTACATGGTTATGTATAAATACGTTTTTAAACAATAGCAATTATTGTCGTGCATTCTTTTAGACATTGCAACCAGCTTCTTGTTGTGTCTACCACTAGGGGGCAGTATTAAATAAGAGAACATAGGTGGGAAAGAGAAAGAAAGAAAGAAAGAAAGAAAGAAAGAAAGAAAGAAAGAAAGAAAGAAAGAAAGAAAGAAATATTTTACATAGTGCCTCTCAAGATAAAAATCATAATGATTAAAAACATGTTTAAAATGACAAAAATTAATTGTGATAAAAATATAAGGAAAGGTAGCCTAGTGAACTAGACCAAATTCTTGCTTTCCAAAAATTGGTTTAGGAACACTCCACTGGAACCTCTGCAGCCCCTAACAGCATTCTGGATGGCCAATCACAGCTCTATAGAGGGGTTTCAAACATGTAAAGAGCTGTGATTGGTCCTTAATGGTGGGTCAATCATAGTGCTCTATCTGCTTAGTGAACAAATCACTGAGCTTTATCCGCTTTGTGGGCCAATCAAGGCACTCTGTATGCCTGGTGGGTGGGATGATGCAACAGAGTGAAACAAGATGGCGACAGCTCGTTTGAAACGGCTTTTACATCAATTTTGGACTATTAGAACTTGGGCTTCATTAGAATCAGGAGTAGATAGATGTATTTAAGTGCTTTTTTTTTAAAGAAAAAATTATGTGTTTTCTCCTTCTTCAACTGCGGACCGCCTCATTTACCGATAGCTGTTGCGGTGATTATGTCACATTCATTGTCCAGTAGCATGCGAAGATCATTTGAAAGACAACGGTAGAACCCGCCCCACAACCGAGAACCGTCAATGGAGCGTTGCCAGACTAAATAATACATTTATTTAGTCTGGCTTGCCAGGCTAAAGGAAAGGTAAAGAAAAACTGAATAGGAAAGAGGGAGATCAGTGAATCCCGGGAAAGGCGGAATAGGTAGAAACAGCAAAAAAGGAGAGGGTGATGACGAAGTGAATTTTCAGCTGCTTTTTGAAGGAGACCACTGATCTCGGGCTCAGGGGGGGCGAGAGAAGCTAAAATGGATGCCTGACTGCTACATGTGATGCAGGTTGGAATAAAGCTTGGAAAAATAATTCTTGCCTTTTGTGCTACATCCTGGTATAACGGCCGCCATTAAACCTTCTCTCAGGTTGGAATTTCACAATATTTATGCTGGAATAGCCATGAAATGTGAAACTTATCACAATGTCAATGCTGTAAAACATTTGCGCAAACTGTCATGAATTCTTCAAGACTGGAATTATATTAGGACACTATCTAATTGGCCCCAGTGCCTTTGCTATCTGTCAATCAGAACTAATCTCTGTTTCTCTGGACTGAAGCCTTTCAAAGAGCTATCTCCAGTGGTAAAGCATTTACCACTGGAGATAGTTGATCGTAGAATTTCATTAGAGCCCCACCTTAACAGATAAAGTATAACAATAACGATTCACTAGGAAATATATTTTTGTACTTTTATTGTTTTTGTGAGGCAGACTGTTGGATTCAGATTATTTGGAATTCAATCAAGTGTTTACATATTTCATATAAATTTTATTTATGACAAGTGGTAGTGCAACATCTCTTATGGAGTATTGGGGTTGGTACCTTTATCAAAAACCTGCCATATCCATTCTTACACGTCTGCTGCCCTCTTACGGAGGAGCTGTATAAAACTGTGATTTGTTCTAGTTGTTGCTGTTGTAGAAAGAAAGAAAGAAAGAAAGAAAGAAAGAAAGAAAGAAAGAAAGAAAAAAAGAAAGAAAGAAAGAAAGAAAACTGATTTAGTTTTATTAGCATTAGGCCATAATTTGTGTAGTTTAAAAATTAGATGTATAAATTATTATTAAAATGTATAGAACAGATGGACTTGAGTGGTTCCAGCTGTAGCCTCATTTTCTATCTCTAGCCTCCAGCTGCTCACGCATTCTCAGAGTAATGATTCACTTAATATTGAACGGTTACTTTTATAATACTCCCACATGCAGTGACAGTTTGGGCTATTTTGACAGTTTGAGTTATGATTGGGCTCAAAAATCCGCACGATTTACAGTTTGTTTTAGAAAAGCTAAACACACACACACACACACACACACACACACACACACACTGCTGACATATGCTGAATGCACATTTTTGTACATGTGAGTAGGCCACACAGAACTGGCCTTTTTTTGTTGTTTTGGGGGCATTTAAAATTTCAGTAGCTGAAAGTTTTGTGCAATTAGTCAAATATAGCTTTTTTCATAATCTCACTGGGATTTTAAAGAAACCAGACTACATTTAATGGAAACTGAGCAGTGTTGTATTAGCCACTTTGTGCAAACACATTACAAACAGTAAATGGTGACAGTGCTATCACCATAAAAGCATCATAAAGTGCTTTTTTCACATTCTTTACAGTTTAGAAATGAGCTATACTGGGTTATTACATAATAATCCCACTGTGTCATTGTACAATATAAGAGCTAACATCTAAACAAACAAAAATGTACTTGTACAGTTCATAGCAACAGCAAAAAATAGTCACAACATAAACACAATGCATTAGCTGGATGAAATGTCCGGTCTTGAAGTACCTGTTGCCACGAAAACTGCTAAACCATACCGATAGATTGATGTGTTGATGGATTTCAGGTGAATGACAACAGCTTACATAAAAAGGTTTCTTGTTATGTTTGTTAGGAAGTGGCTAAAAAAAGAAAGTGAACCCTTTAGATCAGGGGTGACCAATCCTGGCCCTGGAGGGCCGGTATCTAGAAGGTTTTGTGGTTTTTCTGCTCCAACAGACTTGATTCAGTGGTTGAAACGCCTGTGCAGCAGCTCATCAGGCTCTGCAGAAGCCTCTTAATTAGCTGCTGATTGAAATCAAGTGTGTTGAAACAGAGTTCAAACTAAAACATGCAGGATACCGGCCCTCCAGGACCAGGATGGGCACCCCTGCTGTAGATGATCTACATCTCCAGTTCGTTCAGGCAGATTTCTATCAGATACAGAAAAGACTTCATGATCTTTAGATGTTAAATATTCTCAGTTTGCTCAAAGTGAATGAATAATCACAAAATATTCCATCTATTCTAACGTTCCAGGCACTTGGAAATTCCAGCAGAATTTTAGGTTAAATCAGAGAGGTCCAATAAACTATCATTTCCTGAATATTCCTGCCTGTTTTTACACAGTGAATGTATAACCAAATGAAGATCATTCTAAAGGGTTCGCATACTTTTTCTTTACACCGAGTTAAGTTGCTGCCCCTAATTTTGGGCCCCAACTTCACTACTGCAGATACAGACAAGAAGCAGAACTTTAAGTTAAACAAAGTTGAAATACCTCTTCCACTCCATTAGGGGGCAGTAACATCCACATTAACAACACTAAAAAAAGAAAAAGAATGTTTTTGTATCTGTGGGAAAACATTCCCACTCCTCAGTTCTAATAGGTCATGGTGGCAAAAGGACAGTTTAGGCTGAGTTTTACCAGAGGACTATAGGGAGCCAGTCTGCTCCATTTCCGGTCGGCTCATTGGTCCCTGGAAGAACGAAAAAATGAATGCAAGTCAACGGGACTAAATGGGCTATTTTCTAATCCGCTTTGCCTTATGCCCTGAGTCACACCTGTGTTGTACTTCATTTTAAATGAAAACCAATGATGTGTGTTTCGACCACACCAGTCACGTACTTTGAGATTTATCAGCTTGTAAACATTCGTAATGAGCCTGACAACAAATCAGACGTACATCGCATACATCGCCACAGAATCTTCTCTCCCCTAGCGTAGCTGCTACTTACCAAATGACCAGATTTATGGTGGTTCTTAAATGTTGAAGGAAGGATTTAAAACTTACATAAACTTTCATACACTGTGAACTGATATCACAATTATTATTTAAAACAAAAGCCAGCAAAAAATAATGCGACACAGGTTTATTTTGAAATGTGCTGGACGCACTTAGCTGAAAGATGTCTCACTTCCTGTCTGGCTCTGTAATTAACTTCATGACAATACGTGTGTGGCGTCTGGAAAAAAAAAGCACATGCAGAAACTTTTCAGAGCTCCATAGCCGGGTCTGTACCATAGTCGATGTAAATGCTCTGGATGGACTCGATTTTTGATGTATGGGGAAGCCTACGGAAACCGGACCACATTAGTTCCACATCAGATCCACATTCAGTGTGAAAGAGGTTTCACTGTGAAGCATTATTGATTGTCATGTTACAAAAATTAACTGAATTTCCCCCAAAATTGAAATGTATGTTGTAACCCCAACCTGAAAATTCACAATGGCTCCCTCTCTCACAAATGTGCATTAGCCTTAGCATTAGCACTCTTGGTTCTTTTCATCTAAATAAAACAGGATTTTGTTGCCTACTTCTGATGGCAAACTGAAATAACTGAAACCTTTAAAACGTCTAAATAATCCACTTTTAATGAAAAACACTCATTTTCAAATGTAGGAGGTGAAAAAGCCACAAAATGTAGCTACAAATCTGTATTAGTGTGGATGAGGTCTTTGTCAGGATCTGGTTTAATGCAGAAAAAACTTTGGATTGGTCCATGGCATCAAGACTTAACATTATGAAGGTATATAACAGTTTTTAGATTGGATGTACAAAATGTTACTTAAATATTTAGTTTATTTAACTTTAAGGCCATTTTGTTTATGCTTTAATTAGCAGATGAGGATTTGTCAAAGTGTTAGTTGTGTACGAATCTTCAATATAAATATGAATAAATACGTATTCCAAAAAACACCCAAAATATACATTTAAACACACACTGTAGATAAAATACTTTAGGACCTATGAACTGCTTTTACATGCAAAAGCCTCACAATTCTGCTTTGATAAAATTTAAAAATGATTAAAAAATAATACTTTCAACAGTAATCTCTGTACTGTAGAGTAAGTATTGCAGTGTTCAATGGCTTTTATTATACGTGTTTAGTTTTAAAACAATAGTATTGATTTGAATTGTTTCATTCTCCCCTTAAATCCATCTGCTTCTCCAGTGATCCACAAGCTCAGCCTAATATTTGGTATTTGGATTACACAAAAGCAGAACTTCCCAGTCTGGATTAGCTCAAGAGAAAAACATTCACCATAAGAATCCTGAAACGCAGAACAGAGGCCAAGCAAGCTTTGTAGACATGGTGTTGTTGTGCTAAAAGCCAAATATGACAGTTGGATTTTGTTACTCTGAAAACTGCATTCATAGCTCTGAAGTCAAGCTAAACATGTACTTCAACGCATCTCTAGGCCCAAGTTCCTCATGGTATAGAAAAAATAACTGGTTGGTTATAGTGGGTTAATATTTCATTTGAACAGAATTGAACAAATATGAACTCAGCTGTGAGTTTATTCTCCCTCTCTTGTGTTTTTGAGCCAAGTCCCTTTGTAATGTGTGCAGAAACACAAAAACATCCCAACTCTTTCTTCTTCTTAGGCAAATTTAGCAAAGGTGACTTTAGCGTTTCTTGTCAGGTCTCGTCGTCACTTTACCATAAACGTCTTCCTGTGTAGTTAATAGGAGCCGTGGGCATCTGTGAGAGGAAACAGTCCCTTATTTACTGATCTGAGGAATGGATGGACATATAGTGTTTGGGTTTCAGTCCCACTTACTGTCCCGCCGTTCATGACCAAGGCCATCTCAGTTGGCTGGTAGACGTGGCCCCTGAAGGCAATGCCTGGACGGCCACCCCCATGGCCTCCATGGTATGTTCCACTTCGAACAGCTGAAAATAAATAAATAAACAATACATAAATACCTATACAGGATTTATTCAGTTAACATCGCCATTCATAAAATACAGAAATTCCAACCATCATTTATGGCAAAAATTAGAAACTGTTGAGCAAACTCAATAATTTAAGGCCCAACAAAGCTAGATATTACTCTCGACCCCCAGCTGGTTAAGGTAGGATGTTTTAGTTCTGCTGGAGTTTTCCTTCCCACTGTCAACCTGTGCTTGGCGACTGCATTAAAGGTGAAACCGGTGTTGTTTTCTTCAAAGATAGAAGTTTTTACTAATTGAAATCTTACAATACCGCAAATCTGGTTATAACTGGCTTCAAATGTGAATGTTTAAATGTTTAAATTTGTCTAAGTAAACCCTGAATTAAACTGAATTTGTCTGTTTAGTTCAGCTTATAACCAAACCCTCTATCAGGAATCTTGGTGTGACCTTTGACCCAGCTCTCACCCTGGATTCTCATGTCAGTTCTCTTGTTCGAGCTTCCTTCTTCCATCTCAGGAACATTGCTAAGCTGAGTCCCATTCTGTCCCGCTCTGAACTTGAGACAGTTCTCCACACCTTCATCTCCTCACGCTTAGACTACTGTAACTCTCTTTTCACGTGTCTGAGCAGAACCTCCCTGAACCGTCTACAGGTGGTTCAGAACGCCTGTGCTCGGCTTCTGACCAAGTCCTCCAAACACACCCACATCACCCCGCTTCTCCTCCAGCTTCACTGGCTGCCAGTCAACTTCAGGGTTCATTTCAAGATCCTGGTTCTGGTCTATAGGGCCTTACATGGACAAGCACCATCTTACATTGGTGATCTTCTTAGTCCCTACACCCCCAGCAGGTCCCTCAGGTCCAGTGATCAAAGCCTACTGGTTGTGCAGCACCAGGCTAAAGGTCAAAGGTGACAGATCATCTGCTGCTGTGGCCCCCAGAGTCTGGACCTCTCTCCCCCTGAGCCTGAGGTCAGTGGACTCAGTGGTCTCCTTTAAAAAGCAGCTGAAGACTCACTTGTTCAAGCTGGCTTTTGTATGACCTTCTTCACCTCTCTCTCTTTATTCTGCTCTCCCCACCTATTCCACCTTCCTCAGGATCCACTGGTTTCCCTCTCTCACTTTCTTTTTCATTTTTTAATCACTATTGTTTATTCTTTTCTCATTTTAAATATATTTTTTACCATTTTCTAAATTCTTTTTTATATTTTTACTTTTTTGTTTGGTGAAGCGCCTCGTGATTTTTATCTTGAGAGGTGCTATAGAAAAGATCTTTTCTTCTTCTTCTTCTATAAATGGTTTCACTTTTGCACCAGTTTACAAAGAGACAAAGTGTAGTTTTTAGGGTTAATCTCTGGAAACTTCCATCGAAATGTTGTCAAAAATGAATTAAATGATACTCGGTTGTTGAAAAATACAGGTGGCTTTGTAACATATAACCATAAAAATCCTGTCAAAATACATGGGAGCGGGTCTAAGTCTTTGGGCGACGCCATATTAAGAATAAAAATACCTTTATTTATACCTCAGTGGGGAAATTGCATTATTGCAACCGCTCAGGGACAGAGAGTAGCAGCAGTAACACACAAAAGATGTCACACGAGAGTATAATTTTAAATGAGATCATCGAGATAACTCTTGCATATAATGACGATAGTAATATTGCAGAGATGGTATTTGTTATGGAATGTCACAGATGTATGAAAAAACTGAAACGGCATGACAAAAAAAACTTAGACGACATGTTTCCTTCTACAGGAGCCTGTGAGGACAAAATGCTTTTACTGATTTGTAACAAACGGTTACCTTTCACCATTCATAAACATTGTTTTACACTTTTACCTCTTCATTCGTTGCCAGTGATGAAATGGAGTCTGATGTGAGTGCTTGTCATATTGCTGGAGGTTGTGCTCCAGGGGTTTTTGACCCTAATGGCCATCCATTGGCAAGGTAACACAAAAAAACTGCATGCTTCCAAGGATTTAGGTATATATTGTGTCGTGAAACCTAAGATTTCTATGTTAGGCATTTTAAAGTCATCACTCATTGGATAACATATAGCCTTATACCGGTTATTGTTGCAGAAGGCTTTGAAATACATTCAGCTATGATAAAATGTACCTGATGAAAGCAGAGGTGGTAGGTTAGAAGCAAATGTGTTGCTGCAGACATGAGTCATCAATAGGTGAAGGAAAACCACTAAGTGGGTCCCTGTCGCTGTTTATTCACTGGTCTGACTGAGCCTTGTGGCTCACTTACAGTTCAGGGGTGTAGGCGTCTCCAAGGAAACATTGATGGTTTGTATTATTGTTGAACTGCAGCAGAAAATGCACAGTTTTTTTTTTTTTTTTAACTGAAATCAAATCAATATGAGCAAGTTTAGTGGTTTTCTTCTAGCCTGATTCTGTCAGGATGCAATCCAATGTTTTTGTGACCTGTTGCAAGCTTTTAGGTTTACTTCACTGCAATTTTTGAGTTATTCTTAATAATCCAACAGAAAAAAGTAACAAAATTGAGTAAAGAAATACATTTTTTCAAATACACAAAACATTATCAACATTATTTGGGTAAAATGGCAACAGAAACATGACCAAGTCTTTTAGAATAAATAAGAAGGTGTATAAAAGTTGTTGAGCACTGGTTAGAATGAAGCACTTGGATCAGCACGGACAAGTCTGCTACAGCAGAGTGGCACAACAACACGGGAGGATTTTGAAAAGCAAAACTAATTCCCCGTGTTTACTTTCATTTTCTATCCGGCTGGGGCTTGGCATTAACTCCCCACGTCATCATGACACCTCCCTCTATTGCGCCATGGCGCCATGTCTACGTGTTGTTGTGTTTAACCTTGATCAGGTTGGGCTGTGGAGACTTATGCTCCAGGATGCTGGTGCAACAACAATAAAGCTGATTCTGATTCTAAATATCAACACATTTTTCATTGTTCAGGCAACATCAGCTAATTTCAGAAAGACAAAAAAAAAAACAATGGTAACACTTTACAATAAGGGTCCCTTTATTAAAGTTACGCCCTCCATCCATCCATCCATCCATCCATCCATCCATCCATCCATCCATCCATCCATCCAACCATCCATCCATCCATTTTCTTCCACTTATCCAGAGTGAGGTCGCGAGGGCAGTTACCTAAGTCGAGAGGCCCAGACTTACCTCTCCTCAGCCACTTGGGCCAGCTCTTCAGGGAGAATCCCAAGGCGTTCCTTGGCCAGGTGAGAGACATAGTCCCTCCACCGTGTCCTGGGTCTACCTTTTGGTCTCCTCCCGGTTGGACGTGCCCAGAAAACCTCACCAGGGAGGCGTTCAGGAGGCATCCTGACCAGATGCCCGAGCCACCTCAACTGGCTCCTCTCGATGTGGAGGAGCAGCGGGTCTACTCTGAGCCCCTCCTGGATGACCAAGCTTCTCACCCTATCTCTAAGGGAGAGCCCAGCCACTCTTTGGAGAAAACTCATTTCGGCCGCTTGTATCCGCGATCTCGTTCTTTCGGTCACTACCCAAAGCTCGTGACCATAGGTGAGGGTAGGAACGAAGATCCACCGGTAAATCGAGAGCTTCGCCTTCTGACTCAGCTCTCTCTTCACCACGACAGACCGGTACAACGCCCGCATCACTGCAGATGCAGCACCAATCCACCTATCGATCTCACGCTCCAGTTTTCCCTCACTCGTGAACAAGAACCCGAGATACTTAAACTCCTCCACTTGGGGCAGGACCTCATCCCTGACCCGGAGAAGGCATTCGACCCTTTTCCGAATGGAAAAAGGGTCGAATGCGAAGTTACGCCATATTAAGTATTAATAAACTATTTAATAATGTAAAAATAACTTCATATGTAAAGATTTACTAAGCAGACATCTCCCCTCCCTCCGGCCCTTTGTCCTTACCTTAAGGACACATTTATATGTAGCAAAAATGTTAACATAAAGAAAGGGACCCTTTATTTATTAATGCTTAATAATGCAGTAAGCAACGTTAATTAAGAGACCCTTATTGTAAACTGTTATCAAAATAACAGGAATCTTCTTTATGTTTATATCGCATCATTAATCTGCTGAAAAAATAAATACAATAAAAAGAGTCTGAGCATTAAACTGAATTTATATCAGTACTTTAGAAATGATGACGTAAACCTGTGGAGCTCTATAGCTAAATGCAGGATTAACCCCACAGGTACTTCTTTTTTTGTTGCATATATTTAATTAAAATGTGTTTTAGAAATTACTGAAAAAAGCTAGTAGAATAGGAAAATACAAACAAAAATAGACAATAAAAATTCTAACATTATTTTCATATATATTATTACATTAATTTATTTTTTACACTATCATCTTATGTGTTATGAACCTCTAATTTGCATTTTCATTCATTCTTTTCTAGATGTTAAAGGGTAAAAACATGTTGTTGATGCACAAATGCTGTGTCTGGAACTGGGTGAACCAATCTCAATCTGAACTAATAAAATGCTTTAAAGATTCTTGGTTTGTTCTCTTTTAATATTATAATTAATCTTGGTAGATTTTCCACCATCACCAATGTGATTTTTGTTATTTTAACCAGCAGTTGTCATCTACTTCTGGTAACTTCCCAGAAGCTGAAAACAAGCTTTTCTGAATAAATGTGTTATGACCCAGATGGCTTATTTCTACAGTTGCACTAATAAATTAGCCATGGACTGTTTTTGTGATGATCAGGCAAAGTGAGCAACAAATATTTCCGATTACAGCCTTTAACCTCGTGCTATCCCTTCTTCCAGCTCGCTCCTACTGTCCTGCAGGACAGTTCTGAAGTGCCGCAATAATTTTAGCTGTTTGGCCAACACCAGATACCACCGTCCTTAATCCTCATCTGTTCTTCTGGTTTTGGATTAAATATAGAGCGCAACCAAAGCAAAATGACTCATGATTCTTCCTGATAATGGAGCGAGTGTTCCATTAGATGTAATTTGGGCTTTAGAAGAAACTTTTTGATCAAATTCTAAGAAAACATGAACAGATTATGGGAGCCAGAAGATATTTTCATCAACTTTAATTTAATTCACTGACATTTCTAATTAATTTATCACTTTTATTCTTGAAATATGAAAATATGAGTAAATGATTCCGTTTCAGGAGCGTTTTGTAACGAGTCTACATAAAGTCTTTCTGATTCAGATTCATGAATGTTAGAATCGGAACGTCATCTGTCGTATTTCATAGAATATAGAGACTCATCGTTTTTAGAGTCCAAAGCACCAGCTTTGTTGTGGGTTACCTAGCAACAGAACACTTTACTGGAAAAATGCATGAATGTCAGACACATTGATTCCTGAGCTAATGCATGCATGTTATGGCTTAGATGTGAGCTAAAATAGAAAAAGAGCCTACTTGTGCTGTGCTCCTCCATCGAAAAGGCCTGGTTTTCCTGGAAGGATTGGTGGGAATGTGCAGGTAGCTCTTCTCCAAAAGGCGGAGCCGGAGACGTGCGACTCGTGTCGAAGTAATCTTGTGTGTTGGATTCTGGAGTTTTCTGCAGACAGAAGTGTGACTCTGGAATGGCGTGGAACAGCAGCAGGATCCAGCCCTGAATCACCAAGGCCACGGCCAGTGCAGGCTCATCCAACACCTTCAGACCATTCCTTCCTCCTCCTCCTTTGTCTCTACCACCCTTTCCCCTCAGCACCTGGCTGCCATAGAGGTAAAACCCCAGCCAGGCCACCCATAGCAACGCCGATGCCCAGACTGGACAGAAAGACCCAGACGGCGTTACATTTCCATCTCCGTCTTTCATTCTCTTCTTCTCTGTCTTCTTCTCTGCCATCTCCGCCCTCATCAAGCCCACTCTCCTCCACACAGCACCACCCCGAGAGACAGACCCATGGCTATGAGGAGTAGGCCCAGGGTGTAGCTGCACATCAGAGCAAAGTCCAGAGGTGGATATTCACAAGCTGGGTGACCCTCTCTAACTACTGTCAGCAGAACCCATTCAGCAGAAATGATCCCCTGAACCAAAGCCAGAGCCAGTCCAAGTGCTGCCAGGGCACTCCCCGTTGGGCTCGACTTTCCGGCCACCAGCCTCCTGAGCCTCACGCCCTGCACCACCAGACAAGAGAAGCAGAGCGCAAAGAGGGGTCCCCAGAAGGCCCTGCGGACGACGCACAACACCTGGGTCTTCCCCACCAGGAACGCCAGAGAGATGGTGAAAAGCCCGAGGGAGCGTGCCCAGGAGCAGAAGCAGAGGCCCCACTCCGGATCGCTTGGATGGCTCAGAAACCGCATGGAGCTTGACTATCAGCAGAACTGCGAGGACCAGAGAGGCGAGGCCACCACAGCAGGCCACAGCCTCCAGGACGATGCCCCCAGACCGCCTCCAGGTCACACAGCACTCTGTAGGGGGGCTCCACATCCCCACTGCACCCCCGGGGGAGGAGGGGGGAGGAGAAGGGGTGAGAGGAGCTGTGGCCAATCAGGGACATGAGGCAGATGATGACAGGGATGAAGGCCATCTTAGAGACACGAAGAGAAATAAATTAGACACAAAGTTAAAGGAGTCTCAGATAATAAATAACTACAAGTTCTGTAATTCAGGTAACAGTCTAAGAACAAAATAACCATAAATAATGTAGTTACCATGGTTACATCCTCATGAATCACAGCAGAACTACAACAGCAGTTTCTTTTAAAACCAAATAGACCTGTTGTGTTAGATGCTCATCCTCCAGACACACACACACACACTCACTCTCTCTCTCTCTCTCTCTCTCTCTCTCTCTCTCTCTCTCTCTCTCTCTCTCTCTCTCTCTCTCTCTCTCTCTCTCTCTCTCTCTCTCTCCTCTCTCTCTCTCTCTCCTCTCTCTCTCTCTCTCTCTCTCTCTCTCTCTCTCTCTCTCTCTCTCTCTCTCTCTCTCTCTCTCTCTCTCTCTCTCATCTCTCTCTCTCTCTCTCTCTCTCTCTCTCTCTCATCTCTCTCTCTCTCTCTCTCTCTCTCTCTCTCTCTCTCTCTCTCTCTCTCTCTCTCTCTCTCTCTCTCTCTCTCTCTCCTCTCTCTCTCTCTCTCTCTCCTCTCTCTCTCTCTCTCTCTCTCTCTCTCTCTCTCTCTCTCTCTCTCTCTCTCAGCACAGAAAAGAACCGCTTTTAGCACTGGGCAATAGTTTCCATGGAAACGGGAAACAGCGTGGGCTGGCTATTGCATACTGGGCTTTTCAGGAGTCGAGTTCAGCACCTAAAAGCGCTGAGCATCTGAGCGCACAGAAACACACACGTACTGTTATATGTGAATTATGAGGACCTCTGCATGATATGTTCATTCTGATTCATTACATAAAAATCATTTTATCCTCCATTCTGACACAGAAAGGTGATAATCTTCAGATAAGTAACATAATCGTCCCAAAATGCTCTGTGAACATTTGAACCTGAAACGCATCTTAACTGGAAAACCAAAATAAACACAGAATAAGCCGAATGAAAGCTGCAGCCGCTGCGCAACGACTCAAAAATAAGTAAAACTCACCTCAGAGGAATTCTTGTCTTGAATTCTTGCTTACTGGTGGCACGGGAGCATCATCATTTCCCACACATCCTTTCTAGCATAACTTCAGTCAGGTTTTTTTTGTATTTCCAGTTAACGAGGTCCCGGAGGCAGCAGAAACAAAACGGTTTCCATCTTGCCTCCTTACTAACTCACTTTGAAGGACCAGTGATGTCCTACTGATGCTGTGACTCGTCCAGCTGCACCAAGAAGAAGAAGAAGCCACAATTATGATGCATGCTTTGATACTTCACACGCCCACACGATAAAATATATCTCCAGTCTCTTTCACTTCTTTCCTCTCACTCCCTCTGTCCTCCTCGTCTTTCTGCTCATTCTGTCTGCACGTCTGCGTTTCCTTCTCCCCGGCTTCACACTGAATCTGCGGAGGTGTCAGCAGAGATGCAATCCCATCTTACTTCTGCTCGCCCACACGCGACCAGTGTGATTAGCTGTTGCACCTGTCTAACCAGGAGAGAGAGAGGAAATAAGCTCAGTCCAGGAGCACATCTGTCCAGGTTAATCACTTGTTTGTACTTCTTGGTGTTAATTCCTTCCTTCATACACCCCCAGCTGCCTGTTAATCCTCAGAGCTTAGGGACATGTCAATCCAGCTTCAGCTGATGGATTAAATCCTCAACAGTGGCTTCAAAGGTTGGAATTAGATTTATGGCATGGAAATATTTGGAACAAGGGGAGTAAATCTAAACTTAGGTGAGCCACCCTGGTTCAGATTATTGAATAACACCCTGAAGACATGATTCAGCTAAATCTCATTAAAGACAACTAATCTCCTGAGCTCTGTGTGTGTGTGTGTGTGTGTGTGTGTGTGTGTGTGTGTGTGTGTGTGTGTGTGTGTGTGTGTGTGTGTGTGTGTGGTGGGGGGGGGGTTAAAGGAGGGCACGGCAGGAGGAGAACCATCACAAGCTGCTACCACTCTCCAGTCACTGGTAATGGATTCACTGTTGAATCTGTTGAAGAGATTTTTACACTGGCAGAGGAGTGGTGAGTGAATGTGACAGAAAAGCTAAAAAGGAAGAAACTGGAAACTAAAAACAGCAGAAATGGGTTCATGAAAAAGATCATTTAGGAAACATGTATTCCTAATCTCTCAACATCCTGGTTCGTTCTGGTTTACGTTCTGTGGTGACATCGTGTTTTTGTAAATCTGTTGTATCTGGAGATGATCCATGTGGACAGTTTATTTATTAAAACAAACCCTCAACCATCATTTTACGTGGGAGGAAAATCCAAAAGATCTAGCATCATTTCATCTTAAAATTCAAAACTGAAGTCTGAAGTCAAAGTCCCAGTTGTCACACACACTGCTCACAGTTGGATCCATTCACTTACTGTGTATTGTGCTAAACTTGTTCCCCGCATTTGACGCATCCCCTGGTGGAGCGGTAGGCTGAAGCGCCTCGTGATTTTTATCTTGAGAGGCGCTATAGAAATTATATTTTCTTCTTCTTCTTCTTCAGACACAGCCGCGCTCGGGAACCATTTGGTGGTTTAACCCCCCAATCCGACCCTTAAATGCTGAGTGTCAAGCAGGGAGGCATTGGGTCCCATTTTTTCAAAGTCTTGGTATGACCCGAGCAGGAATTGAACCCTGACCTCCCAGTCTCAGGACCGACACTACCATTAGGCCACTGAGCTGCTCAGACCAGCGCAGTGTGGCGGCCTTGCCCTGGCCGCACGCAAGCGTGCCGTTCGAGTAACCTGCAAGGGGTTCAAAACCTCCCCCAAGCGCCTGGGTGGTCCACCTCCTCCGGTTACAAACCCCAGGTCTTGGATCCAGTTGACCCAAAACCAAAACTGGACAACACTTAGAAAAAGTTCAACACTTAGAACATTTCCAGCTTCTGTGTGTTGTTTGTGTTATATGTGTGTTATAAACAATGTTAATACCATGCTGTAGTTCTTTTTTAAAACACAGAACAGTTTTGTTACCTGTTTTCCCGGATAAACGGAGAAGGAAGTGACGCCACCATCAGCGTCAGCCTGAGGAAGTTTGCAGCCGCAAACGAAACGTAGCGAGAAAACGGGTAACAAAACTGCTCTGCGTTTTAAAAAAGAACTACAGCATGGACTTAGAGATACGACACAGCAAGAACACACCTAACAATGTTAATAGTTAGATTTTGGTTATCATGACTCATCCCTTTGGCTATTCAGCCATTGGTTGAAGCCTCTTTAACATAAGTGTGGAGCAAATGCGGTCTAGACTCTGTACAGCTATCACATATGGCACTTTACACACTAGCATCGGCTCCACTCCGCCTGGACCAGGTTCTGAGTTTTTTCATTTGGGTAGCCTTGGATTTTCTCGCGCTCAAGCGGACATCTTTTCAGCCCTCTTCCTGAAGTGGTCTGCCTGGAGCCAAACTGGTCCAAAACACCCTCTGCAGACTGATTGACCAGCTCAAAATCACGCCTTCCATTAGGGGGAGCCTCCGATTGGTGGATAGAATCAACCTGCAGGGGCTTCCCACAAGCGCAGTTCATTATCTTTCTGGATGCTGTAAGGTTAACAAGCCTCGGACTAAAGCCGTTTTCTGTTTCTCACTGCTGTGAGGAGGCACGCACACACACACACACACACACACACACACACACACACACACACACACACACACACACACACACACACACACACACACACACACACAGTGCTGCCAGACACAACACAGCAGAATGCAATATCAGAGTCAGTTTCCAAAAGCAAGACTGTTCAGGCCGCTTTTGTTTATTAATGGGGACACTGCAGACTTCTCTGCACTCTTTTGCTCCGCCCACGTCCTCGGAGATGCACTCATGACATCACTGATATCTATTTTTCACACCAGTTTTGTAAACTGCCCATGTACTCGATCATGTCCACATTCCTAAGGCAGTGTGGGAGGAACGCGGCCTGGCTGGGGCGGCCCACGCGGAGCAGAGTGGAGTAGAGCCGATGTTAGTGTGAAAGTGGCAATAGACCAAAATGACTGAGTCTAATCAGCGCATTCACACCAGCAGCAGGGCGGATCCAAATGCGTAGCTCTGGAATGTTTTTACATAAAAGAATGTCTAAAATGGATTTTTTAAAATTCCTTTATGTTACTAATTATTTCCCCTTGCAGTCAGTCTGATCATTTAGGTCACCAAGCAGAACTGGGAACACTACCAAGTGATTTTAAGGACTTTTTTGTTCACAATACCAGTTGGATCCATTCATTTACTGTGTTTTATGCTAAGCTGAAGCTAAAAGTGTACAGCTGGGTCTAGAGAAATATTTTTCCCACTTATCTAACTCTTGGAAATATAGACAAATTAAAAATTTTGGGTGGAATATCCCTGTAATGGTCAGATTTCCAGATAACCTGTTCCGTGAGTCACTCTGTTGGAAAGCAGACAAATTATGTAAAAAACGGATTAATTTAAAATCTGCTTTACTAATTTTTTATTTTATTTTATTTTTGCCACAGCCTTCCATTGTCAAGAACCTAATTTCATATTCAAGAAGAGACCAAGGACATAAAATCTAGTGAGAGACATCTGGCAAACAAAAGCCTACCAGAGGCAAAAAAAGAAAAGTAGCTGATGTAACCCCAAATGCTTCTCACAAAAATATTTGACTTGAAGAGACCGTTTTGACCTCAAACACTGATTAACTTGTCCCCATTTTAAAAGATTGTTATTGTCATGTGCACATAAATATTTATAACATCTTGAAGTTCACAGTTTTGTCTTAGCAGTAGCACATTTAAATGTGCAACATAAAAGCAGAGTTTGTCGCTGTTTGCCAGAAATGCTACCGAAATTTCTGCATGTCAATCATTCATGCAGTTGCTCTCTTCCCAATAAATAACATGAACGCATCCATCTTGTTTAGGATACATTAAAGTAGCCATAATGCTTGTGTTATGTAAGTATAGTTTATAGAGGTGCTGCAGATTGGCGTTGATATTAAAACACAATCAGAGGTGTGGC